TCAATAAAATACTTTTTAAATTTGTGGTTGTAGAGTGACAAAATGTGAAAAAGTTCAAGGGGTTTGAATACTTAAGGCACTGTAAGTCAGTCCAACCAAAACAACACACTAACTGCAGCGTTGTGTGCAGAGGCTACTGAGCTTGTTATGGCTATAATGGCCCCTTGCCACCAGCAAAACATCTTCCTTTTCTGTGCAAAACCTTCAAACATGTGCTCCCTTCTCTTCTTCTGTCCTTTGGTGGATATCCAAAGCCGCGTTGCATCGTCACTTGCTAGCTTGGCATATGTACTACATCTTTTTCAGTGGTTTTATGTTTATGTGGATATGTCCTGAAATTGTTTTGTCTCTCTAAAACACTTTTTCAAAACGACCATCAGTATTAAATTTTTGTCTCTGTGCGCACAAGGCTTGAATCAGTCTTTGTTTATCTTGATTTTTACATGCTTAAGTAGTGTCATCTGATAGTCTGATAAGTTTTGAAAAAACTGTTGTGAAATTGAATGTGTAAAATGCAAAAACACGTCTGTTTCTTCAGCTGTACCACTGACATTTTTCCCCCAAGCTCAGGTTTCAGACAAAATGTCAGCAAAAAAATAATCAGTCTTATCAATGTTGGTCTTATTTACCTTATTGCATCATAGCAAGGCATTCACGCAAATTTCAGTATATTCAATGAACATCAAAATGCTCTTCATGGCAGCTTTTAGAAAAATGCACTTTTGTTATTTGATTCAAAAAGTGGACACAATATAAAAAAAGTTTTCAGACTTTAACCGTTTCTATAATATCTTGTGCACATAAGGCGGCTGATATTTTATGAAAAAATGAATTTACAAAAAAGGAGGATCTTTTCACTCATAATATGTTGGAAGCTATTTTCTTCTAAATAGAATTACGTTCTGGACCCTTTGAATAATTAGAAAGACACTGACTCAGTGTCTTTCACTCACCCCTGATCCCGGAAATATTTCCCTCATAAGAGGAATAAGCTCCAGAGGTTTATACACCTCCTGTATTAGTGGAGAACTGTTTGCTTCTGCCCAAGGGGAATGAAATGGCTAAATGGCACCATCTGCTGGAAAAAAATAAGAACTGCAAGTTTGAAGCCTGACCTGTATATGATAAGACATTACTTTGTTCCCTTTTTTTTTCACATTTCAGCCATACAATAAAAATCAACAACAATGCTCTAATGGTTTTAAAATGGCCATATTTGACATAAATAGACTAGGTGTGATTATTTTATCTTTACTTTCTTAAAAGTACTGTAAGACTAAAACTAAAGTACGTAAAATAATGAACTCTAGAGAATGGCATGCCATATAGTTTATCAATAGAAACATAACCTTGAGGATGAAATACCTTGCAGCCACCAAAACACTCCAATAGGACCTTATAGTTTAATGTGTCATAGATTAAACACTCAAAATGGATAGTTTTTTTTTTTTTTTTTTTCACTTTTCTTTCATTCTGGCCTGGATTAAAAAAAGATTTCTCCCCTGACATGTTAGAACAAGTATTACTTTACACATCTGTCTTTTTCATTAAGAGAAAATATGTATAAACTGTCAACTCATATACATCTATAAAGAACAGCACCTTTAAGAGTCCTTCAATTTTTGTGCTAAAATTATAGGAAAAATGAGGGAAAAGTAAGCTAATTAAAAAAATTTAAGTAACAGTTTGATCATTGCATTGTTACTCTGTTTTAAGCACCTGACTCACTGTAGCTGTTAGAACAACACTAAGTAAATTTCAACCTGTAAGTTGCACTTGATTGCATTTTAAAACATGTATGCTTTTTGATAACTGCACCCTTTAGCCAGAAGTAAATATCATACGACATGTTGAAGATCGGTTGCTTTTAGTGTTTGAAATTAACTCATTTTGAAGCATTTAAAGTCGTTACATAGAAATAGCCACATATACTGCTAATGGCCTTGTTTAATTTTATAGGTCATCAATTTCAGCATATTTCATGTCAGGTTAAAAACTCCTCACAGGAGCTTTAAGTAAAGTGGAAGTGTATATATTTTGGGGCACACCTTGCATATCTACAAACAAAAAAAAAGTGTGTTGTGGCACTATTTAATTGGCTTTCACTGCCTCTAAGTAGCATCCCTTGTCTTTCTAAAAGTCATAGCTGTCTTGTAGATTTATTTCATGTTGCCATAGTAACCACGACACCAGCCCCACTATGGAGGAATTGTAGATAAATGATGATGTGTAAAATATATGGACTGAAAATATAAAAAACAATTTCTACCTATCATTTCTGAACAGTGGTTAAAACAACACAACATGCATGTAGGTTTTTGACCGGCACATGTGGGTTTAAAGTAAACAAACCTCATAGTGCAGCTGAGAGTTTTGTAAGCTGGATTCAGTTATTGCTTTATTTGATGAAGCTGAATTTAGCTTCTACTCCATAGAGAATTACTATTGGACAAATTTATTCATACACACACACGCACGTATGCACGCACACACACACACACACACACACACACACACACACACGCACAAAGTTGAGGACACAGTGGGGAGACACAAACATGCCGATGTGCACAGTACTAAAGTAGCCTGGAGATGGACAGATGGACGAGTGCTCTTTTACAGCCTTTTTTTCCCTCCCTCTGTGTGTATCTGTGTGTGTGAGCGTGTGTATGTACATGCACTGTGTGTGTATGCCCCATGCCTGGCATGACACTGGCAGAGTGTTGGTGCCAAAGTGGGCATCTGGTCTGTGGACTATCACAGGGGAGAAAAAAGTCACACCAACAGACTCGCTGCTCTCTCTCTCTCTCTCTCTCTCTCTCTCTGTAAAGATGTTTGTGCAGCTAATTCTGCCACAGATCTCGCTCTGGTTCCTGGATGTCACTGTGCAGCAATAATTAGCTACAACACACAAACACATGCACACAAAGGGAAGGAGAAAGATCATGCTGACTGCTGATTTCCACAACAGCAAAACTGTGTTCAGTTTCCAAAGAGAGACATATTTGCAACACACAGTGAGGAAAGACATTTTGAAGGTTTCACACTTTGCTAGTTTCATGTTTTGTCAAAGCCAGTTTTAGGTGTGAATCCATGAATGCGTTTAGGGTATGTCATTGGCCTGCCTCCAGGGTGTGTTGGACTTCAACTGTCCCCATATCCTGAAGCCCAACACTGGTTACACCTAAAACATTCGTTGTCTGCTCCCACCAGAGGTTTTTGTTTCCTTTTTAGTGTCACCAGCCTAGTTGAGTTGGTTCTGTCGCTCTTTGTGCAGCGTGAGTGATAAAGCTGATCTGTGATCAGCAGTGGCCTGTTTTCCCTGTAAAATTGTTCCCATAAATGTTTGACTTTTCTCAGCTTTATGGGGCAGGGGAACTATCTACAGGACATGCATGCAAATTCACACAGTGGACACCCTTGAAGACTTTTAATTGTTAAAGTAGATTGACCGTAATCATTTAAACAAGAGCTCAGTGTTGTTCAGCCTTTCCAAGAAGACCTTTGTTGAAAATCACAATACCACAAAATCACTGCACAAACAGTGACTGTAAATATCAAACAAAATGTTTATCGTTGTATTATTGGGTTGCTGTGAAGCTGAGCAGTGAACAAAATCTCTAGTGCATGTAAACTGGGACAAAGACAGTGGTCCCGTTAAATTGCTGAGTCAGATGAGCTACGCAATCCTTGTACGCCCCTAGGCTGCATCAGGTGTCAATCATAGAAGACATGAGTCCCCTAATAACTTTTAGAAACGGAGCTGCACAGAAAAAAGAGGACTTGAGCACAAACCAGTCTTACTGTAACTACATGTCAACATCGCAAGCAGGGGGAAAACAATTATGTTCTGTGTAATAAATTTCTAAAGTTTGTCCCCAGCCCTGTAAATTTTGCGGGATTAATGACCTATACTGCAGCCCGTCACCAGAGGGTGCTGTTCTTGGAGAGGCTTCACCCAGCAAGGAGGCTGACGGCGTCCATACAGTCTATGGTACAAAATAAACAGATGAGCGGCAGATGTTTTTCAGTCATGGGAAAATGGATGCACTGCAACAAAGTGAAGAAATTATACATTTTCTAAAGTGGCTGAGGCCTTTTGCACTATTTTTGCGTATTTTATTGCGAAATATGATTTATTCGGTTAGATTGAACACTTATGACGTTTGCTCAGTTTTGAGAAATATTTACAGCATTCTATCTGATATCAGCAGTTAACTTCTAACACAACCTCGACACCACGAGGTCTTCTATATACACACCTGCACACCTATGCAAACTGCACCATTACTGCTGCCAGTTCTCACATGAAGTATGGAGTCTGTCACCAGCCTGCAGTATTAAACATTCACCACCAGAGGGCAGACTATTCCCAGACACGTAATGGATGTGGATTCACGTCATCCTCTGTCGTTTTAGGTCAACACTGCTCTAAGGCATCAACGTGTACAGTGAAATATAATATGTATCACTATGACACATCCTGAATAATACAATCAACCAAAGACGAATAAAATTACAAGTTACAAAAAACAGACAGAGTGTCAGGCTGTATTCACATGCCCTCATTAACTGCTCACACTCTTCTCCTCAGGCTAATGTGTGACAGAGAGAGAGAGAGAGAGAGAGAGAGAGAGAGTGTCTTTATTGCTTGAGAGAACACCCGAACTTTGACCCCTGAGGATTTTCCTGCTCGGCCAGTCCGTCTCATGTTTTGGTCCAGTGATCTCCATGGTGACCAGTTCCCCTGACAGGTCTGTAACCTGAGTCACCAGTCAGGTAGGGCAGGTAACCGTGACGATGTAAAGGCTCCAGGCAGCAGGTGTGTGTGCGGAGAAGCCTCGGCCAACAGACAAGAAGACGGGAGGAGAGACAAAACAAGAGCAAAGTTTAAAGAGGGAAAGTGACAAACGCTGGAAAGTTCCGACTCTGATGGATGACGGAGTGAGCTGAGGAAGAAAAAAGAAAGAAAACTGGAAGAGGGAAAGGAGGATCAGGTCATGGAGGCTGAAGTGGACGAAGATGATGGGACTTTTACTAACATCTCTCTGGCAGATGACACAGGTAAGGCCATGGAGGTCTCTTAGCAGCTGCCTCCTCTCAAAGTCAGTCATTTTCTATTCTTTACTGTAACTTCAGACATAAAACCAGTATAATGAGTTGTGCTCAAACTTTCATTTTTAAACACAGACTTCCTTCCGAGATCCTGGTGATAGATTGAAGTTTTGTCTCTAGTGTTTATGTAGAGCAAGTGCCATTGACAGCTGTAGTCCTTTGTAAATGCAGCATGTTTCTCAGGTGTAAAGTAGTTAAATCTATGCTGCTGTAATACACAGATATGTTTGATAAAACTTGCCCTTGTGTTTTGAACACATTTTATTTCTGTCATGCATAACTGTGCATATGACAAACACTTACAGCTCTTTTTATGGGTATGAGACCGAACAAAGGGCAACATAGCAAACAAATAGGCCGTTAAACCAGAGCGGTTATGCTAGAGTGCTGTGTTTTGACAGGACTGAGGTGTGGCTCCAAAAGCTGCATTGCTTTGTTTTTGGTATAACATCGAACATCTGTGTTTGAGGGCATACTCCCCACGACTTAATTTTGTTGAAACAAAAAGCCCTGTCATAAATGCTGAGGACATATACCATGAGGAAATGATCTTTTCTTTTCCTAATTAAATCCTGCGTTTACATATTTATATGGGCTGCAAGGATAACAAACATACACACGTGCATGAGCATCATAGAGGAGGGTTAAGAGGGAGTGTCTTTCCAGGAATCCAAAGAGGGAATGGAAATGAGAATATTAGAGAACTTTCTCATTACTCTAAAGACAAAAAACACTCTTCAGTCTTGTGATCTTATACCCATCTGATGAGTTAGGAGTAGGCCCTAAAGTTGATTGAATAAAACCTCCCTCCTAGCCACTCTGTAAGTAATAGCTTGCCGTTACTAATACCTCAAACTATTCTCTAAAGGACGACATAGAGGAGAATTTCCTCTGAGCTAGGCAGCACCACAGTTTATAACTTTTGATCACTCACCAATTGGTTCCCACAAAACTCACTGTAGGATTTTTAATTATGCCAAAACATCAATTATTTTGTCTGTTTTGTCAGTCTTATAAAAGGCTAAAAATCTTGGGGTCACATTGGAACTAAATAATGCTCACTTTGGATGGAGTAGTGAGCGCCTTCATTGATCAATAAGGATGGAATTGTAAAGGTTTAAAATGATACTTACATTGTTGCTGATGCTTTGGTTATGGTATAAATAAAAGCTTCTATAAACCCAGCACTAGGGGCTTCAGCACTGCTTATTTTTGCTTGTTGCCAATTTTTGTTTTTAACACCAGTGGAGCAGTTAAGTAGTTTATTAAACATTACATAAGAAAGATGCCGCAAAAATGGTATTCTGTGGGGCAAACATCTCAAGCAATCCACACTTAGCCTCTGGCTGAGGGCAGCAACTGTCCCTGTGGCATAAACTATAAGACAGCTTATTGGTTGAAGTGGTCAACTCGGCATCTCATCTATTAGATGGTTAACCCCCAGTCGGGACTTGTGCCTGGTTGGGCTTTAAAGTAGTTTGTGGCGCTTACTCACATTGTTCCCTGACTGTCTGGATCTTTGCTGATGTTCTTCAGATGTGCATCACTTTGGGCAAAAGCATCTGCTGAAGTAATTTGTAACATTGCAGTGTAAGCAAATATTATTCTGCCTTTCTTATTATTTAAGCCAAATTTGCATGGTGTTTGAAGTTATGTTAAACATAAGTATGGTTTTAATAATAGTGCAGGATTAAGGGGTCAGACTAATGTTGCAGGGCCCACTGTGATATCGTACAGGGCCCGGAATGCATCCCCACGGACATACTGTACAAACAGCCTTTCAGATTTTTATATAAGTTGCCAACACCCTCATGCAAGATGGACACAAAATGCATAGAGATGCATAAAGGAAAAGACACACCTAAGTGACTGAAATGACACGTGAGCATCTGTTTGCACTGCAGCAACCGTCTGTAAGAGTGTGTGTGTAGAAGTTTAAAGAGTGTACAGTGGTGGACAGGAGCGCCCTCTGTCGGTGGAAGCGGTGGCTAGTCAGTGACGTGACAGTGACGATACTTACGGGTGAAGCCATAGATAAATTATGACACTAGATGCCTCACAGCCGTACCCAGGATGCTGCAAGACCGCCGCCATCTTGAAGCGGTACTAGTTAACGGTTTTGAGGTTTTGCAGTTGAAACGTTGGAAGCCTGCGGTTTACCTGACAAAAGCATTGTTTACACGTTGCCCAGAACCGCCACTGCTGCAAATTAAAAAAAGAATGCAAAAAAAAAAAGTCACAATGGAAGTTACCGATGCAAAAAAGTGGCAATGCAAGAAAAAAAAAAAAAAAAAAAACCCATTTAAAATGAACAGACAAACGGTGCAAAAAAAAAAAAAAAGCCACATTGGAAATTGAAGCCCATTGAAAATACGAAAAGAAATCTTCCGAAGAAAAAGAAAAGCCACAATGGAAACTAATGATGCAAAAAAAAGTGGCGATGCAAAAAAGAAAAAAAAGGTCATTTACAGTGAAAATAAAAGGATGCAAAAAAAAAAAGGTACAACAGAAGTGAGCTGCCGTGGACCAATGATAATAATACACTGGTGTTTTACGATCTAGGCACAGACGACAGCGAGAAAACAAGCAAAAAAGTAAGTGTAACGGTTATTGTTTAATTATGCTTTGTGTGCTTTTCAATGTGGTTAGGCCTTGTAGCCCCTGAGTCAATATGAAGTTAATCTGAAGCAAACACCACACCGCCATCCTCCAGTTCAACTTAATGTCGACTCAGGCACTACATGGCCTAACCAAATGACACATTGAAAAGCATATGAAACGAAATTAAACAATAACCTTTCCACGTACTTTTTTTGCTCATCTTCTTGCTGTCGTCATCTGTGCCTGGATCGTAAAACATCAGTGCATCATCATTATTGGTTCCCGGCGGCTCACTTCTGTTGTGGCTTTTTTTATTTGCATCCTTTCATCTTCACAGGAAGAAACTCTTTTTTATGCATCGCCACCTTTTTTTGCGTCATTAACTTTCGTTCTGGCTTTTTTTAAAATCTGCATTGTTTCTTTTTTTTCTTTGCAGCGGGCTTCGGTTTCTTTTTTTGCATCAGTAACTTCTGTTGCAATCTTTTTTTTTGCATTCTTCTTTTATTTGCAGCAGTGGTGGTTCTTGGCCACCGTATATTTACATTCAACACCATACTTGCCAGCAGTCACCGGTACCGCTTCAAGATGGCGGCGGTTTTGACGTTGTACGGATCGTGAGGCATCTAGTGTTATGACATCTACGGGTAAAGCAATTTTCACTATAAGCCCAGAACCTCTGGTCTGTTTATTAAAGGCTAACTCTGCTAAACAGTGAAGACGTCTCTTGCTTTAGGTGAGTTTAAACACCGGCACATACTAAGCCGTGATAGTGTTATTTTTGCTCCTGATAGTTTGTTGAGGGTAAATCCAGCCACCGTCTCAATTTGAAGTCAAAGCTAGCTTGCACGAATGGTTAGCTTGTAGCCGCTAGCCTAGCAGCAGACTGGACGAAATGTGAAATGTATTTGGAAGAAAAGCCTTTTTTTATTTCAATCCTGTTGTAGCAGCTTTTTGAAACGCATGTCGAGATGTTATGCCAAAACAGTAAAGTCAGATCTCAGTGTATTTAATGTAAAAGCGTCCATTATCGGACACGTCCTCTGCTATTCCTTATTTAGCATAGACGGGTCCTGTCAGCGTCTCCACTTTGATCATCCCACACTGTGATACAACCCAGACCTGTGTGCAGATATAGAAATGACAGTCACAGATGTTTTTTTGGTCCATGTAATTGCCTCTGTCTGAGGGAAAGCTGGGTGTTGTAAAAATAGTACAGGACATTTTGACTTTAATGACAATCAGTTCTGATCAATGACTTCATGTGCTGGTCTGATGATGATGATGTACCGAAAAACTGCTTTATTTTTAATGGTCACTGAGACATGAAGTTGATCTAACATAGACTGATAACCCTGAATTTTCTTCACATGGCTAAATGAGTGTGTGTGAAAAGTCAACAATCATTTGGCAGATACTTGTACATGTCAGCAGAAGGCAGTATGAGTACCTCAGCTCAGTGCTAAGTTGGGTGCGGTGTCTGCTCCCACCCTGCTGCCCCTCACCCTCAGGCGGGACTAAACCATGGTCTGTTTACACAGAGGAAAACTTTTCATTAAAGGGTCAATGACACCAACTAATCTTATAATAAATTTGGTAAATACAGGAAATAATCAACACAACTTTTTCTTTGTCAACATTGACAACTATATAGAATTTATTGATATTCCTTCAGGAGCCAAGTCTACCATGTCAAGTTCAGTTTATTTTGATCTCCCTTTGAATGTCTGATCACCCATCCTTGGTGTCGGCTTTTTTGCAATAAAACACCCATTATACAAGCAGGTTCAGTTCTTCTGTTTCTGATGTTTATGGATGGTGAGTAGAGATCATCTGCAGCCAGATACATAGATACATACATTGTGAATCCGTCAGCTGAGATGGCACAACAGAAATCCAAAATTCTCTTGTGGCGATATCAGCCATCGGCCTAGCTGCTTTCTTGTTATTTGTATCAATGTCGGCATTAGAACAACAGTTATTGGTCAACCACTACTAACACAAATATATTGTTCCATTTTGCGGCTCCTGTATCAAGCAAGAGCCTTCTCCTTGAAACCAAGACTGCAAACTAATAACCGGCTAGGGAGCCCGTTATGAGCTCGTTATTAAGCCATTACAGAGCTTGATAACGAGCTGATCATTTGAATCAGGTGTGTTGGAGCAGGGAAACATCCAAAACATGCAAGACAGTGGGCCTCGAGGACTGGACTTGAAAACCACTGGTTTAGGCCATTACTTACAAACTAACTATCACAAGAATAGATTTCAGCATATGAGTGATTGACCATTTTAAACGAACAGCTTCCAGGGAAACACTCTAACATCATTTTAGTTCAACACGTATGAATGGAAATTCTATCGTCACATTCCAGATATGATATGATATGATATGATACGATATAGTGCTGGACGATATTGGAAAAAAACTAACATTGTGATTTTTTTTAATACAGGAATGTTCACCTGAATAGCACTTTATGCTATGCTGCACTGCTTAAATCTTGTGGACAGTTAAACTGCACTGATCTTGCCTCTTTTTGTAAATGTTAGTAGAATGGCTTCTGTCTGTCTCAGTGATATTTTTAGCTTGCTTTTATTGTGCTGGGACTTTATTGTGGCAACAGATGAAAAGCACTGCCAACGCAGACCACGTGTTTAGTCGACATCATCCTTCTTGTAACTGAAATAATTTCAGATAACTGACTGTCCCTTTCTTTTTGGCGACAAATCTTCATTTCGGTGTTTTTTTTCTTGTTCGTTGCTCATTTTGCAATCGTCGTTGTTGTCACGGTGTTGTGCCAAAAAAACGCATGCCGGCTGAGAATTGCATGCACCTCGCAAAATGCGCACCGCCTATAGTAGAGTGGTCCACGGAAATGTACAATTAAAAACCCATGCAATTCTTATTTGTGTGGCTTAACAGTAATGAGTGTGATCTGAAAGTAATTCTCAGTGGTCACGCGTTTCTCGGCACAACACTGGCAGCGCCAGCGACTCACTCCATGTGTACCTCAGTCAGCTACACTTGAAATTAGATGAGTTCATTCGCCACTTTCATCGCAGGCTCTGCGATGCGACCATGTGCACACGTACATCGTGATGACGATGCTCAAACGATGTATTGTGCAGCCCTACTCCAGACTAAATCACTTTCTCTCTGTAACATGCTCGCTGTGTCTATCTCTCGTCTCTTCCAGTGGACAGTGGATCTGCAGCCCTGTATACTAAACAGGAGAAAGAGCTAGTCATCATGAACTGCGACATAGATGGTAGGTCTACTCACATGCATTAGTGTGTAACTATGTCTGAGTGTGCACTGCAAAATAACAGTGGTGTCATCTAACTGTATGTGAATGACATCAATGTTTCTGTCTGTTTCAGGAGACATGGAGAACCAGGTGGAGATGGAGGAGAAGACAAGGTTAATAAATCAAGTTCTGGAACTTCAGCACACACTTGAAGGTGATATACTCGCTTTCTCTGCACTCAATATGGGGGATTCCTCAGTGGTTGAAGTGAACAACAAATGGCTGCATAATCGATAGTTATTTTTCTTACAATAACCATTTAACTCGAGTTGTAGAGATGCTATGGTAAGAAATCCCTCATTTTTATGAGTAAAGATTTCAGCTGATGACTCTAAATGTGAGTAGAACAAAAGGTTTGACTTGTATCATTAACTCCTTGTTAGTCTACCTCTATGTTAATGCTGTCAGGAGAAGGGAAATCTGACTCCTACTATTCTGCAGAGACTCAGCTGCTGCTGCTTCCCATCTGAGGCAGACACTTTCAGTTAGTAGTTGTCGCTGCTGCTGTCAGGCCAAGTGTTGATAAAATTCAAATAATATACGTTGAATTATTTTACCTGTCTTAAACCTGTAGTGCCCAGTGCCAGGTTCCCACCAATTCTCCACCTCACTATTCATTCATTCATTCTGCCAGTCCTGTTCGCTTTCCACACCCACAAACTCCAAATCCACTAATCGCAGCACGCCGCCATACCCGGTCAGTTTGAAATCCCAGACCCAGAGATGTTTGTAGCTGGGGAAAAGAGCAAAACATCGCATGGGGAAAAAAGAGTAGAGCAAGCAATTTCCACACGCAAGCTTATTACAGCCACTAGAACTGGTAAAGTCCGCTAAATGACGTTTAATGTGGTCCTCCTGTCAGAATTATTGTTACTGTGGAGTTAGGCGGACTGTGTTAATCACACTTCTTGTGAGCATGAAGGTTCAAACACCTGATGCTTTTCTCCATGCTTTAATCCAGCAACACAATATCAGCTACAGCTTACATAGTTGACTGTTATCATGCAAGAAAAGGTGGCCAAAAAACTGCTATTTGAACCAGATCACATGAAACCTTCCCAAAAAAGGAGGTGGGGGCTGAGTGGATGTTACTTTAGTTGTTCAGCAGTATGAAATATGTAGTTAGACCTTTCCTTCATTTGTTTTTTAGATCTGTCAGCTCGAGTCGACGCAGTCAAGGAGGAGAACCTGAAGTTAAAGTCAGAGAACCAAGTCCTGGGCCAGTACATAGAGAACCTCATGTCTGCCTCCAGCGTCTTCCAGACCACCGACACCAAGGGGAAACGGAAGTGAGGTACCCTCTTTGTGGTCCTCTGCTCGCAGCTGGGAGGGGCAAACCCATCATGGAGACATGGGGAGTGTTGGCATTGCCTTCAGACCAGGGGCACCACCACTCCCTTATCTAAGTAAAAGCAAACGATTTGATATTAAACGGATCCTTTAACCTGTCCTGCAGGCTCAGAAAAACAATGAGTTTAATGTTCGTTTGGCCTGGGTCTGTTTTGCAACAACCTCCCTCCACACTTTGAACGAGGTAGACATCACCTTCGATCACAAACACAGCCAGTATGTGAAATGGTTGAGGGAGATTTGTACCTTGAGTTTCTTGTAATGCTCCCTTTTAAAGTAGTATCTGTAAAATAATCCCTCATCCTGTTGAACCTGCTTGGTTTTCTGTTTGAGGATAGGTTGTCCCTGTTATGTGACGGGGTTTCTGTCAAGCTGATCTGTTAGGTGGCCTAAATAACCCATCAAATATAACAACAAACATGGACCTTAATTTCAACTGTTTTTTTATGCTATTTATTTTTGTAAAGTATTTTCTGTCAGTTTTTTGGCAGGTCTTGGATGTCATGTTGGTAAAGCTTGGTTATATTCCTCCATTAAAGGCTGACAGACTGAATAGTATTACTGAGAGTAAAAAAGGTATTAAGAACACGGGTTTGAGGAAAAAAAAATCTCCCAAACAGGTTTGTTTTTGTTGAATAGTTTTGTATATTTCATGAAATGTCTTTCTGCCATGGCCATAATTATTCATTTACATAAAATAGTTTTATTTTGCTGTATGGCTTTACTGAGAGTTCCCTGCCCCTCCACGAGCGTGTGCGGATTTCAAAAGTCTGATCCAGGGAAAGCTCACCACCCCCCTGTTTAATGTGTATGAAAAGCCAAGGCGGGAAGAGCAGCAGCAAAGACCCTCTGGTAAAGAACAGAGCATGCATTAGTGTCGATACATGTGACTCTGGTAAAATCATCCTGACTTTGCTGCCTGCTGAACTAACATGCTCAAGTTAGATTAGTTATCAGCAAACTGCAGATAATATAAAGAGACTAAAATATAGAACTGTTACCATTAAAATGTGAATACAAGGAGATAAACAGGTAGAACTGAGAGGTCAGCAACAACAGCTGTTTCCAGATTATACTAGACAAAATGAAAATACTAGCTCAACTATTGTGCTAATTTTACCACCTCAATCTGGAGGGACTGGTGTGTCGATTAAAAGTGCACACAATAATTTTATGCTAGAGGGACAAAGGGTTTGCTCGAATTGTTGAGTTGGTGACTCTCCTTAAACGATCATATTAAATGTTATATGTTCAGAGAGGTTCTGCTATGTTTGCTGCTTTGTCTCTTTCTGAACTTTAAAGGTCAGATTTGGGCCCCAAAACACAAGGACATAATTCATAATTTGCTGTTTTTTTTTAGTAGGGAAGACTTCAGACTCCATGACAACGACTTTGTAGAATGGCAATAGCGAAAGGGGTTCTAGAGTGCTAGGTTTTGGAGTGCTTTGATGGGGAGGGTCCATAAAGAGGCAGTAGCACAAATGAAGCATTGAAAATTGACAGCGACGACTTTATGTCTAAGTTGTTAATCATGTAAAGCTATGAGAAAGTTAGCAGGATAATATGAAGCCTGATATGTAGGGTTGGGTACCGAGAACCGGTTCCTATTTGGAAACAGTTCCTAACGTCTGGTTCTGGAACCACTAAGCAGATCTTTGAATTTCATTTGTGTATTAAAAGCCAAGGTGGGAAGAGCAGCAGCATCCGCTAGCAAGAACATTACTTATCTTAACATGGACCACAAAAAACACTTGAAAGTCTGGCTTCATTTTAATTTGAACAAGGAGGATGGGGTAGCACAGTACAACATCTGCGAAAAACAATTTCTGCCAAGGAGGATGCACGACCAACATGATTAAAGACCTCTGAATTCATGGCGTAGGAATAACCGAGTGCACCGTCTTTGGTGTGCTGTGCCGGTCCTCCTCTAACCAGTCAGAATCAGATAAGTAAAACAATAAATAACGTCTGTCTTCTGCTAACATTGAAGCAGTAAACGAATTTAACTGTAAATGATGGATCAACTTAAATATCCAACTAACGTTAGCTCGTGTTCTTTTTCATAGACAAACGGCCTGACAACAAAGATTGATATTTATATATTGGTTGAAAATAGCCCAGTGTGAAATTTATAGGGAAGTTCATGTTATTTTAAAAATTCATGGAGAAGTTCTGACATTTCACTCAAAAAGAAGTCTAGTTAGCGCCCTCATTTGAACCATGCCTTTTTTATTTATCCTGCCTTTTAAAAGAATAGAAATAGAGAATCGTTAGGAACCAGAATCGAAACAAGGAATCGGAATCGGAATCGGAATCGTTCAAACTTAAACAATGCCCAACCCTACTGATACGAGTATAACAACCTCCCCTTTAAGTGAAAATTTGTGTAATTGACAAAATTGTCTATGAAATTGAAATTTGTGATATAATTTCACGTTTTTTGGTCTTCATCAAAAGGAGGTGGTAGGGTCATAAATGCAGAGCAAACCCCAGGTGCAAGACACAAAACAGTAAAGAGGCCTTGAGTGTTATTGATCCACTCAACAAGGCCTGAAAGGCCATCAGGTGATGGAGGATGGGTCTGACCGTAAACTGAGCTGATGCTCTCAGTGTGCAGCAGAGTGGGGGTGTGTACTCTTCCAACACTGCTGCCTCAGATGAAAAGCAGAAAAGACTGAGGATGGAAGTACAAGATGATGAAAGGGGTCTGGAAACATTTATATTCCTGCTAAACTGAAGATTTCTGTTCAATCATGTCTGCTGAAAGTAGTGAATCCTGTGTTATCATGTGACTGTGGAGCAAAAAGGAGGAGCTGGACATATTATGAGGCTACAAACTGTATATGCTGTAATTTATTGAGGTAATTTTAATATTTTTAACAGTTGTATAATAGTTTTACTTTGTTTCTTCCTGGCATGCTTAAGATGCCCCATCTACACACACCCTTGTACCAAACTGATCCGTGTGTAGACACTCTGCACCTTTGCCTTTAAACATTTTTGTTTTAATAAAACCCTGAAAATACTCCTGTCTCTTTGTGTTTCCTTAGCAATTACACTCCACACTGTTGGAATATATCAACAGAAATCTTACAGAAAAAGGAACAAATACTTAAAAACACTGGAAAATGTAAGAGTCTGATGGGTTGCAAATCCATGTAAACCTTTAACACTAAAACAGAGCAAACATTTTAAATATTAAAGAAAACTTACTTTTCATGGCAAATATACCCAATATTATTTTTTTTAACAGTTTTATATTTTCAGAAAACAAATACACAGAAAAAAAACATCATGTCCAAAATGAGCCGATCACAGATCCCATGAGAAGGAAGAAATATCAACAGACAAAAGTAATTTCAGCAACAGAGAAACAACAGTGTGGTACACATGCATTCATGCTGCAGCACCACATGGGGCAGGAAATTGACATCTTAAAGTGAGCTCAGCTTAGATAGTAATTCATTGTTACAGCAGTGTTAGAGTGCCTAGGAGAGGAAGTCAGGCGTTCACACCATTTCAGGAGGGACGCCATTCCACACCTCAACACCCCCTGTGTACAGGTCCGCTGCTCAGTCCGGGAGATGGTTTAGAAAAGGCGTTCATAACTTGTCAAAAGTCCTCTCATTTCCTTTTAAAACTAAACTTGAGCGCTCCATCGGCTGTACTTAAAAGATCTTTCCATACCACTGGTAACCGTTAGAGGTCTGGGCCTAGTCCGCCGAAGTAAACTGCATCTCCTTGCTAAGAAGAGACATTTGCGCTTTGCTGGACATCACTCAAAACGAAGCCCTGTATGTCCACTCAAAACGTGGACATTAAGGGGCCGGTAAGGACCAGTGTGTTCTGTCGATTTGTCCCACTCTGTTCTGTTTGATGAGGGTGAAAAGTGCAGAGAGAAATAACATCATGAAAAACTATGCCTTCTTGGACCAGGGTAGTTCAGCCACGTTCTGCTCCGAGCATCTAATGTGGAAGCTAATTGTCAGACAGAAGAACCAGCTTCCTGTTAGACAGAGATAGATAGATAGATAGATAGATAGATAGATAGATAGATAGATAAGATAGATAGATAGAATTTTATTGTCATTGTGATGGAATGGACAGCGTTTGGGAAAAAGCTTTTTTGCAGTCTTGTTGTCCTGGCTTTGATGGCCCTGTACTGTCTGCTTGGCTCAAACAGGGGTTGGCTCAGGTAGGATGAGTCCTTACCGATGTTGGTGGCTCTCCTGAGGCAGTGAGAGCTGTGAAGGTCCTCCAGTGCAGGCAGAGAGTAGCTGATGACTCTCTCAGCCATCCTAGTGACCCTCTGGAGTCAGTGTTGAGCACAATTGGGCAAAAAACCTGTTGTTCCTGCCTTTTCATTAGCTGGCGTGGAGGTGTCTGATCTGTGCAGATGATGTGCTAAGGAAAACTGACAATGATAACCAGTATGAGTTTTTGGGTGAGGTGATTCAATCTGTCAAACAGAATTTCTATGTGGATTACTGTAGAGCTTAGCTTTTTTTTTTTTTTGAATCAGCAGCAGTTGTTTGGCATCTGTGTTGACCTGCGTTTTGTAGTCTCCACTGATGTATTTTTTGTGCATATTTTTGACTCTTTCCCTCAGCCTTTGAGGATTGCCTATGTCAGATTTACACATGTTGATGTCATATAACACACTCCTCAAAAGTCCTCTGAGTGTGGACTGTACTCTTTAGCTTGTCTGTCTGTGATTTGTTGTTTTTCGACTTTAAAATTCAGACGTCTCGTTCTCCTTTGCAGGTTAGCTTTTTCCTGTTCAATGAATTTTATGTTTTTTATTCTGTTCTTTTAACTCCTGTTCTTCATCATTCTGTTTTTGTAGTTCTAAGTTGGTTTTTGTCATGAGTGAACTTTAGTGTTTAGAGTTGCCCCGTTCTCTCTAACTTCCTTGTTTTCTTTCCTCAGTCGACCAACGGTCTCAATTTGACTTTGGATCTCTTTGGTTTGTTCTAAAATGGTGCCCCTTGGCGTCATTTAGCTATTTTTCTAACCAAGAAAATCCTCCTCACCTGCTGACTTACATCTTTCAGCTCCTTTTTGTGTTCATCCAGTTGCATGGAAGTATATGTATATTTTTCATTCATCTCTTCTTCTTCTGTCCTGTGGGACATCCTTATCTGTGTGCTGCTTGTCCTCTCCTCAGTGATAGTGTCCTGCTGGTCTGTTATTTTACTTCCAAAAGCTTCTGTCTCCTTCTGCATCTCTGCTCTAAAACTTTATAATTTCTTCGTCAGACTCCCTCATCTTTTAAGAGTTTTTGACATGTGGATAAATAACACTTTAAAATCACATGTAAGTATTGAAATAAGGAGCAGCATGAGAAGCCTCCTTTAAAGGTTGTCAAGATGCATCCTGACCGGTTGATTATTAGACTTATTCATGTTTAATATTCATGTGAGGACGCCTCTTCCTGCAGCATCTGACATCCTGTTTCAGTGTTGCACCACATCCCCCTCAACTTAACCGAGTTCCCTGCAGGCCTGTGGTTGCCCTCTTAGGTCTCAGCTGTTTACCAACACCCAAAGAAGACAAGCTGAAAGAAGAGTGGACAAGAGGGGCAGCTAGTGGAGAGTTTGTGTGGTGCAGTGATTGGACTCCAGATTTCATGTCTGCTCCTCACCACTGGATGGCGCTGTCTCCACAGTGATTGTCAGAGCCCTGCTTGTGTCATTGTGCACACTGATCAACCCAAAGAGACTGCTCTCACAACGGCTGCACACAAAAAATGTCATTTTAACTCATAAAGCTGTTCATGTTCTGAGACCATTTATTTCAAACTCTGTTAAAAAATTCCCTCGTGTTAGAAGTGCGAATTGTTATACAAAATGAACACTGCAAATATTTTTCACAAATAAAACACACCTAAGAAAATAAAGACTGTGTAAAAACAAAAACATGTACAGAAAAGCAGGATCTTGTCAGCACAGAAGAGATGAGGGTTTGTAAACCTGACAAAGAAACCACTCAAGATCCTGTTTATGTCCTGTTGTAGGATTTCACAGGTGGCATTATGCTTTTTTTCCATAATTTACACAAAAGTATCAATCTAAAAGTGTTGGATGTAACCACTTGACATGGGCAAAGAGTCAAAGTTTTTCCAAAGTGGAGGAGTAAACACGAGTAACAATGAGTATGAGTGAAAAGACTTGGTCCAGATAAGACACTCTAAAAACATAAAGAAATCTGATGTTTAGTTTCTGCGTAGCCCCAAACCTGTGCATGTTAACCTTGAGTGCATGTCTTTTTTCTGTGCCATTAGTGTTATAAAAGATCTAAAAGATTCAATAAATACACCAAAAAAAAAAAAAAAAAAAAAGATTGGCTGAAATCTTGTAACAAAAAACAGGTTCTCTGTAACTGGGTATTTTTTGTCCCTTTCCAAACTTTTCTATAATTTGTCTTTTAGATAGAGAAACAAAAGTTCAGCCAATGACAACAACTCTGAAGCACGGCAGCAGTGGAAGAGGCTCCTGGATAGTGATGTATTCTTTAGTGTCAAGGCTTCAGAGCGTGTGTCAAGTACTCCTGGAAAATTTCAGTAAAGCACAAATTGAAGCTTGTGGTGGTGACGTATGTGATGACATTCAAAGCCTTCTGAGCTGACAGTACCATGTGACTGATTCAGGAACCGGTTCGCAGGTTTGGTGGATGATTCGAAATATAAGGGGCAGCAAAACGCAACTGAGTCCCAATCACAGTCAATAGACTTCAGGCTTGTTGAAAAGAAGTATTGAAATAAAAATGAATGAAACAAAAGCACAGTCACAACCCAAATAACACAAGCACATTCACATCACAACCCTCTCTATTATTTATGTCCTCCATATTGACACCATATTAATAACTTTATAATTTCTGTACTGGTATCACAAACCCATTGCATTACATTTACTCATTTCATACTCACACCAAAGCCTCGGCGTGTCTTTGATAATTACTCAACCTGTTTTACATTTATTGTCCACTTGATGGCACAGTAGAGCAAATGAAGCACAATGAAGCTTTGGCCCAGGAGTGAAGCAATTGGATGGAAAGAGGCTTCATCTCACCATTGCTACTTCCTGCATCAGAGCACATTAAATAGACAGAAATGCAGGTTTACAACCAATTTAAAATGAGCCAAATGTCATTAAATTTTAAGTCACTTTAATTGCCAATTCTGTTTCATTCTGAAAGGGTCTGATGCATCCTCAGTTATACGTTTTACTGCTCTGAATTCAGGTTTTTTAAGGACAACCGCAGATCGATAACATGTAGAAACTTGTAACATCAGATTATTGCTTCTTTTAGATTCCCTTACGCCCAAAAACCGTTAAAGATGTCTTTTGCGCTTAATGTATAAAACATAAACTTCACTAGAGTTGATCCCATAAAACCATCTGTCTGTTCCCTGATCAAGAAACTTCAGCGCAATATAGCTGCAATAAATCACCAGGGAATATCTTTTACCCGAGCGTGTTGACGTTTGCCTTAGTATTTCTAATTTGGCACCACACCTGTGCATTTCATTGCCCACAGGACTGTACATTCATGAGGTCTCTCTGTAAGGTGCAGGTGCTGTTAATAAAATATATACATGACTGCATGATCACAGGTAAAGATAGTGCTCAAAATGTCCCTCTGTAAAATGTTCCAAAAATGTAATGTGCTCTGAGGTCGGACTGGAGGCTTCACCTCAAGAGACTTTACAGCCTTTACCTCGACGACGACTTCCGACACCTGTGAGAAAAACACAACAGTAAATATATGTTTAAAAAAAGGATGAGTTAGCACAGACATAATGTGAAGTCATAGCTGTGTTCCTATCCAGGGGCTGTAGCTTTCCTAAAGACTGAATGTGCCACAGCGGTGTGTTGAAGGTCCTTCCAAATACTGGACAGGCTGCATTTTTCATGGTGCAGCATACACCGTGATTGTTTGCGCACCAATATAAACAAGATGGCAGACTTTCAAACAGCAAAGTAATACTCTGTTAGGTTGGGCCCTTTAAAGCTGCAGCCCCTGGATTGGAACAGAGCTATTGTTGCTTCTTCACATCTCACTGATTTCAGTCTTTACACATTAATGTTTATTCTGGATTCGAATGACACATTTTGTTGACTTACTCTCATTGTCTTGTCCAGAGTTGACCTCTTGTTCTGAAACTGCCTTCCTGCCCAGCTTAGACAGCTTCCTACCCTTTAATTTGCTTGGTGTTTTCACAACCATCTTAGGACTCTCCTCAGGCTTGTGGGTTTCTGTGGTTGTGGGGCTTTTTTGGGCTGGTGTGGGTGGGCGTGGGGGCTTCTTTTTACTTTCTTTCGGTGGGAGGATCGGACCTTCTGCCAGGTTGTTGGGAGGATCCTTATTGTTCAGTTTATCCCAGTCAACCCTCAATGTCCGCCGTCCCTGTTTCTCTGGCGTGGCCCCATCTGGCTTCTTCGTGATTTCAAGCTGGGCTACTGCACTCAGCGGACTCATCCGCTCTGTCTTATCACTGCTCGTCACTTTTGGCTTTTCTGTCTCCATCTCCATCTCCTCAAGAACTTCAGCCAGAGTCTGCTTTCTTTTGGGTCCAGGTGCCTGCAGAGACCCTGGTGGTCGAGGCGGGTTGTCCCCAAACACCAATGAGTATTTGGGGTTGTAGAATTTGTGCGCAGGCACCTGGATGTCAGCTTTCCGCGATTCCCCCAAGGTGACCTGGAAGCGTGACGTGGTGGCAGGCAAAGGAGGACGTTTGGGGCGTAATGTCTCAGTCTTGTTGGCAGCAGGTGGACTGACGTGGAACTCTTTGTAAAGGTCCATTTTATCTGAGATGGCGTAAAGCTCTCGGAAATCTTGGTCAAAGAAGTCCACCACCTGACCCGTCATCACAGTGATCATGTTCCGGTCCATACGGGACGTACACCAGGAGAAACTGACACAGAGACAAATGATGTGGTTTCAGACTTTTCTTATCAGTTCCCTACAATCTATTAATTTCATACAAACACAAGAGGACTCACTAACATCTAACATCCTCAAACCTTTCAACTAAGACCTTCAATCTACGAGTTACTGCCTATTCAACATCATGCAATCTCAACACATCCCAACAAACACAAATTCTCATTAAACAGGAATAAAATGTTTCAGTGCAAAGCAAGCAGAGGATCTCACCTGTAAGAGCCAAACACCACCTTGTCTCCATCCACCAGCATGTACTTGTTACACAGAGAACCAGGAAGTCTACCGAAGGACAGGTTGAAGCCGATTCCATGGAGTGATCGGGCTCGGATGCGCTGAGGAAACAAAGAATTGGAACCGAACCATGAACAGGAAATCAATACGCCAGAAGATAAACACAGGAGACAGTGGCGAGGTGGCAGGGTGTTATGAAGCCCGGGTTGCTCTGATAGCTCCTTTAACTCATCTGGATTGTTGCTCTGGTGTCTCTCATCTTTCTCTGGACAATAGCCCCAAGATTCTCTATGAGGTTCAGGTCAGGTGACCGATCAAGCTCAGTAATACTATGGTCAGCAAACCAGTTTGTGGTCATTTTGGTGCTGTGGACAAGTGCAAGGTTCTGCTGAAATGCTCTAAAATCTCCTTATAGACTTAAGGCTGTGTTGACTGAGCAGGTCTGTGGTAAACCATTTAAATCTAAGACCATTGAAACTTCACAGTACCAATACCGTCATCTCTTTAAGTTGGAAGTAAAGTCATCCCCTTGTGACACATTATGCAACATTTAACTCTTATGTAATGCTGTCATCATACCCGAAGGTGCTGAGAGCCAATCTGCAGCCTGGAGCACATATCCAGAAAATGCGGCACGCCTTGGTTATCCAACAAGATGTAGACGGGTACCGAGCGCCGCCAGGCTGCATCCATCAGGTCCTGCAGGATGTGAATGTCTGTGAGAAGGTCCATCACTATCGCTATTACCTGAGAGAAGGAAAAAAAAAAAAAAAGACGTGTAGCAGCCATTTTGTTGTGTTTTACTTTAACTTAGTTACAGATACAAGAAGACGGCAGGAGAGAGCAGACCTGGTTGGTTGAGCACAACAAAAATTATTTCCCTGGATCGAGGCCAAGCAAAACAAGTCAATCTGAGATGATTTATGACTTAATGACTCTCCTAATCTCTGTAGCAGCTGGATTTTTAACTGGTTACATATGCAAATGTATGTTTATGGTCGATTTTAAGGTTAATTGTTATTGCTGGTCTTCATTTGCACTTTTTGTTTGGCACTTACTTTTCTTGCACACAACACAAGTTCACAAAACGATGTTGGAAAACACTTCAGATCGGTCAGCGGTAACCAAGCCTTGTAGAAATAGAAATACTCTGTCCTATTCTGCATGAGATGACTGGTACATTCTCCAAAAAAAAATGAAATGATCTTTATATTTAGCCAATTTCACTCCATTTCTACCAAGTCTGTTATGTTAAATGCTGCTAAAACTACAGACTGTACCTTTAAAGATGACACTGAAATGTAACCATGACCAGGGCTTTTTTAGATTTGTATCGCCACGATAAAATGTGCATTACCCTCCTTCAGCTAATGATATTTAATGTCAACAATTTCTTCTCAAATGCTGGATTCACATCGGTTAGAGCAATCATTTTTTTCAATTGATTCTATCTGAAAGATGTGATTTGCCAGGAGGTTGTGAAGAGTTAATAATACTAAGTGAGAAGTAGTTAAAAACATAGATGTGATCTCAGACTCAGAACTACGTTAGCTCTCTGGAGCAAGAAAAACAAACTATAAAATGCGGTGAGGAAGAATGTCGTCTTTGGCAGATAAAAGGAAACCAGCAGGTGAAGCCAGTCTGTTTAACTTAAGCACTTTTTCTACCCGCTGATGCACTCACCCAGAGGGCAGAGTGAGGTCACGCTAAAGAGTCCAAGCTGCTGGAAAACCACCAAACTTCCTGGCTGACAGATCACAGAGTTTTGCAGCAACACAAGGAAAGAGGTGAATCTGTCAGTGTCCACAGAGAGGTTTCAGCTTCTGCTTTAGCTGAGGTTTGCACTTCGCTTTGACCAAAAAAGGGGATTCATCAGGGCCTGTAGTGTTTCCTTCACTGTAGCTTGTAATAAACTGCAAGTAAGTGGTGAAGGCATTTAAGGTCAACACAAGTGCTGTTGTGTGTTTTTAAGCCATAAACCAAAAAGTGATGAACATAATCAACTACAGAAAATTATCGGAATTTTATGTAAGCGTTTATACACATATATTAGCTTTTTTTACTCTCTGATAAACCAGAAACTCTAGCATTCCAATTGTGACCCCTAGTGTCTGAAAAATGAATTACACAAACTACATGTTCTGGGGCACACCTGATTCAAATGATCAGCTCGTTATCAAGCTCTGTAATGGCTTGATAACGAGCTGATCATTTGAATCAGGTGTGCAGGACAGTGGGCCTCGAGGACTGGACTTGAGAACCACTGTTCTAGGGGATGTCCTAATCAGCTTTTTTGGGGCTTGATCATGATCTGAGTTTTTGAATTTGTTAGCATCTGTAGACACCAAGTCCTGACCTGATACAAGTATATTTTGAGATTATTTGTTGCCTTTTTAATTCCCATGTGACGTCCTTGTTGGCCTATTTTACATGCTCTGCTGCAGGAAATCCACAAAACTGGTCTGTGTGGTATGAAACTTGGCACGCTTATACCTAAAACAGGAGGAAATGATCCAGTGTGTGAAGTTCAGCAATGACATTAGACGATCGTAAGAGCAACAAAGGTCTGTTGTCAAACTAACAGTGGTCATATTGTGTCTAAAATCATTTTTAAGGCTGCAAAAAACTCTATTATCTGTCAGGGATAGCACCTGGTTGTTCAATGCGATGACTTCAACCACCCCCACTGTGATCTCTTTAGCTAATGTTTATCTTTCCCTTTGAAATCCAGATTTTGTTGCCTTAGTGTAGCAGTGCTTTCCCTCTGATGAAAAGTGAACGTGCTGATTACATTTGCATGTTTGCTTTTTGATTTACAGTGCTTTACTGCTACTGCCTTGCACAAATGGCTGCTGGACTGTTTTTTGCTCCCTCAAATTATCTCCACACTGCTGACATTTTGACCATGAAGTTGCTAATGCTATATCCCCATAGTATTTTTGTTTAGCTGCAAAATCCAGCTCTGCCGACATTAATGATCGGGGTGAGATGATCGGCTTAAATGATTGATTCCTGGTCAGTTAAGAAATGTCCAGATCAGCTATGATCTGATAGTTGAGTTTGAGAGCAGGACACCCCTTGAGGTAAACAACTTTGTTGATAACTTGTTCAATATCCAACATCGCCTTGACAATCAGCCAAGGCTGGTAATTAGTGGACCCCCATGAGAACCAAAGGTGTGCCAACCCAACAACAGCTAACAAGCCTTAGCCTCTGAATGTTCTGAATCTAACACAGACCAAGAGGCAGGCCTGCTTTTCTTTTTTCTACCTTCAGGAGTTTGTTAGCTACAATTTTTTTATTTACCTCAATTTTTAGTCTGCATACTAGCTAACCTTGCAGTCAAACATGCTCAAAAGAATGTACTTGTAACTATGAGATAGCTAGGGCTCAATCTGACGGCTTAAGTGTTCACTTTTCTGTGAAGAAGAAGGATTGTTGTGCGACATAATTAACATGGTAAAGCAGATAAACAAAAGTTTCACACACAGTGCCCCTTCCTAGCTTTGGAAGAAAATGGAAGAAAATAAATGACCACCCTTTGACAAACAGAGGTACCAAAGTTCACTTTCAACCATTAGTCCTGGAGTGACATCCCGTATGCACCACCACACCCACACAGTACATGTAGTGACGCATGTAAAAAACATGCTTTGTAAAAAACTTGGTTTGAATATTCAGAGTGAAATATTCTGAAACAGTCTATCCTCAGAAACTTTAACAGCTGAAACTAAAAGCACTTATGTTCTAGTATTCTGCGGTAGACAGTCACTCACTGCTTGGTTGGTGATTTTCAGTGTGCTGTTACAGGTTATGAGCCATAGAGGAAGTGATTATTTGGAAAAATAATTCAATTTGTTATACTTTTATTTCTATATGCATCCGTCTAAGTTTATAATATCTTAATTGATCCCCAATTGTGTGGTTTTTTTTTTGAGTCTTGTTAAACTAAGTGGCCTGCACACCTGTCATCACAGAGCTCTGCAGACTAACAAGGTGTACATGAATGTAAAAGACGGGTGTGGTTTTCATTCTCTCAAACTTTCTCACAGGAGGATCATCAAAGAACAAAACCTTTTAATCATTTTCTTTGATGCCGTGCCTTAGAGAGGCGTACACCTGCTTTATGTCTGCGCAGCCACACTCCTCAGGTTGAAGTGAAAGTTCAGTGATGGAAGATAATTGTTTAGGCACTCTGCACCTTTTATCAAGTGGATTTATGAAAACCCTGGAACAGTTTTAAACTATAGTTGTGGGTTCAACAACACATTGTGTTTAAAGACCTTGTTTTTTTTGGGAGTGATTTCCACTACAGACTCTTGTCTTATTTTACTGCAGTGCATCCTAAGAACCTCTTTCATATGGAAACTCCTCCAGATCCTGTCTAAATTTAATGATTCTATGTACGGGCCACCTTACATGAAACCTTTGCAACTATTTGCACATGCAAGTTTTCACAAAAAGCTCTCTGAAATTTTGCAAACTCATGTCGCAGACTTGAGATCTATATTTAAGATGACAACACAGGAGCGCCAACCCAGCAGCATATTCTTAAAAAATAAGAAGGAGAGAAGCTTCAGCATATGCTTTGTTCACTGGTCAGAGAGGTGTATTTCTTTTCTTGGCATCGTATTTTACATTTCTGTCACTAGCCATGTTTACATGTGCTAAATTTCTTGATCCGATCAAAAATTGAGTGGATCGGAAAATCTGAATACACTGTTTCTATGAGCGCAAAATCAAATAATCTGTTCATGATCTGCATATACATGTACCATGCTTTATTCAGATTAGAAGCCTTTGGACAGCCGCAGAAGAAAAGTTGTATTCACGCCTGTTCTGTCAACAAACCAACAATAGCAATGGTGGCTCACTTCATCCGATTCAGGATTTTTCCTTCCATTCAGAATCGACCTGTACTAGGTTTTAAGAGCAACTGTATTGCTCCTAGCATACATGATCATCAAGCAGGCCCAGAAGCACATAATGATCTTGCATTACATGAAGAGACTGTATCCAGCAAGAAGTTGCGACAGGCACAGACCAATCGCTCTTGGATCCTGCCATGTTTACGTCTTGTTACTAACGGCAGAAATGCGTCACATTGACGTAGGGCACACCTGCGCAGTCAGGTTAGTTTTGCCCCAACAGAGAGTCAGGATCGGAATAAGTGTTTACATGGACGCGTTTTGGAATAACGATCGGCATAAACCATCCCTCTCGATCGGAATACAATTTTCTTGAATCAGAATCTTCTCATCGACATGTTTACATGGCGCATTTTTTTTCCTCGATTATTTGCGCCCATGTAAATGTAGCGACTGTGTGCTGTGTCACATGCTGCCTTCATCTGATTGGTCACAGGCCTATACAACCACTTTGTCGTATATAAGAATGTGATTGCTTGTACCAGAAATATGGAATGAATTAAATGGTCAGACAAAGCCGGGCAACAAACATGTTTATTTGTACTGTAAAGATGAGATTCTCTGGAAGGGCGAGTACAGTATATGGCTTCTGAACACTTAATGAACTGCAGTTTGAGAACTTCTGCAGTGACTTCATTTTGGTTTTGCATACTGTGTGTCCACTTCTGACCAATCAGATTGCATGTTGTTGCGACGTCTGATTCACCGGTAAATCCAACATGGCCGACCGGCTAATTGTTTACGTGTCAGAGAATAAAGTGCTTTTTGATAAAAGACACAAATATTACAAAGATAACGACCTGAAGGACAACTTGTGGAGAGTCATAGCGTCGGATTTCTCATATGACGATGGTTTGAGTGCTTTAACAGTTTGCTAAACATCTTTGTTTTAACTTTCATCTGTGCTAAGTAACTTTAGCTCGTAAGATAACCTGTTCAGATACAACATACCATATGTATTTTCACTGTCTCAAACTCAATCACAGCATTGCTGTCACAGCACCATTAGGTCTCAGTTGTTACCTTACGTTTATGGATTATAGTTTAATGTGCTTATCTGGTACTGGCCCCGACTCAGTACATGCTACAGGGCTCTCAAGTCTCACGCATTCAGCGTGTGACACACGCATTCCCACCCGTTCACACGCTCACACGCCACACATTGTATTTCTCACGCATTTAAATGAACATGGTGATGTCCACCAAGTTGCACCTCTTTAACTATGGAACAGGTAGGAATCAACTGAGTTCCTCCGAGAGTTCAGAAGCTGCGTGCCACGCGCAAGCCAATCAAATAAAGTATATCTACTGAACAGCCAATAAAAAAGCAGCATTGCTGTATCCGAGTAGATTTTGATATCTTTCGGTTTGACTACAGAAGAAGACAGACACTCGCCGTAATAGAGCAGGTTTTTATAAGGACGAGATAGACCCGATGATTACAGTAAGTCAGTAACCTACACATGCAGAGACCTCAACACCTCATGGCATATAAACTCATATGATAAACTAAAGCCCTATGCTATTGCTATTAACAGCTGTATTGACGGATTTAGTCTCTGTACAGCCATTTCCAGCCATTTTCCCCTCCACAGAAGCAGCATTTCTCATATATCTCAAATATAAGTTCTGATACTCATGACAGTGTAATGCTCATGTACCAAAGGATTAAGTATTGAATTGTACTTAAGTATCTCCATGTTTGTGAAACCTATACTAAAGTAAATGCTCCACAGTGCTGATTTTAACAACTCTCCTTCACAACAGGTAACTTTACGACTTAATACTGATATTAATGACTTTATTCTCCCAAATAATAACTTTATTCTTTAATATTTAAAAACGTTTTTTTTTTCTAATTGTGCCCCTTATATTCCGTTGTATTTAAGAGATAATTATACCAATAGTTATCTTCAATCCCCCCCCCCCCCCCCCCCAGGAAATCTCACTCTAAGCTTAGTTCAAAACTTGAGAGCCCTGATGCTATCATGACAGACAGACATCTCAACACTAGTGTCTAATCAGAACTGAAAACAGTCAGTCTGCTGTTGTGTCAGTCTTCTCGCTTCCACTCGGGATGTGTCCCCCCCCCCCTCATTGGGCTTGATGTGTATAGACAGGCGGGTCAAAATTCGCCAAATTTTTTATAATTTTGCGTTCTATATTCGTGTTGGCCCTGATGTGTAAGGACCTTAAGGATTGCAGCCTTCAAATAACACTTTCTCCATTTTTTAAAATTCCACCTGTGCTTGTTTACATCCCAGTGGTAGAGCATAATAGTTAGCTTAACATGGGCATTGCTTCTGGGTAGAGGAGCATGAAGAAAGTTTAGAGTTAAAGAGAAGGAGACACAGACACAGAGAGAGAGATAGAGAGAGAGAGAGAGAGAGAGAGAGAGAGAGAGAGAGAGAGAGAGAGAGAGAGAGAGAGAGAGAGAGACTGTCTTCTCACACATGTTGGGACATGTACAGCCCCAGCAGAGGAGGGAGTTAGGGTAAATGTGTATTATTCAGCTGCTCCACCGTTCCCTGTAAAAGATTAGTCATGGAAAACTGTGCCTTTAAATTTGCAACAAATGTTACTCTGTCAGGAAGAAGAGGCCTGATATTTCCACCTGGTCTCTGTATGAGGAAGACCACAGAGCTGACCCCTCTGTGTGTGTGTGTGTGTGTGTGTGTGTGTGTGTGTGTGTGTGTGTGTGTGTGTGTGTGTGTGTGTGTGTGTAAGTGTGTGTATGACTACAAAGAAGCAAGCTAGCCTTCACAGGGTGTAATATCTGTGCACAAAGATGAACATGCTGCCTCCAGGAGAACTGGTTACTCAACATGTGTTATCTTTAGCGTGTGTGTGTGTGTGTGTGTGTGTGTGTGTGTGTGTGTGTGTGTGTTATTTAAGGAAGGGCTCTTTGCCTGTCTGATATCGACGCTGCTATGTTTGAAACATTCCACACATGCACACCAGGCTAAACAACGCACAGTGTAATTAACTAACTGCTTTCTCTGACAAGTTCAGGAAACACCCACAAACATGAGATGCCACTTTACATCTGCGGTTTATCTAAAAAACAAAACGTAGAAGGAGTTGAACTAGTTTGCAAAACACTGAGGTGACAATTATAGCTGCTGGACGCTGATAGATGAAATGTAATAACTGAACGGCAGAACAACCAGGAAGAATAAACCAATCTGCTTACTATAAATCACTTTTTTCTCAAGAGAGTACAGACAGTTACAAAAAATTGGAATCTAGAGGGCTGGGGTTTCCACACATGCAATGATTCGGGTACAATAGCTGTATTCAGGAGGAAATGGTGACAACGAGGTTAAAATATGTTTGAAACAAAGTGAAAACAAAAGAGAACAGGGGGTAGGAAAAGACAGGGAAATCCACAGATTAGTTGCATAATAAAGCCAATTACAAAACCCGGACTATTACATCTCTCTTGTCCTCCTTGACCCAGTTTTAAAGAGGCAGGGTGAGCCCAGCAGAGAAGACCCTGCCTCTGTGTGAGGCTGAGTTTGCGGAACAGATGACTCAGCAGAGCTCGAGCAGTCCGTGAGTAAACATTTTGATGATCAGCTCAAATACACAAGCCCACTTTAGGCTCCAGATGACTGTGTCAGGAGGTATTAATCACTTTGAGTTTCATTCAACCAGCCTGGGAATTATAATGCAAATCAACTCGAGAGTTGTGCAAACAATGTAAGAGCCCAGGAGATAGCTTGAATCGGTTAGTAACCAAATGGCAAAGCAAAGGACATTCACGTAATGGATGAAAGCGAACAACCCCTCAATAAATGGGTTTGTTCTTTTGGGGCCAAGCCTTTAATTTCAAATTGTAAGATCTGCAGTAAGTTTGCAGGGAAGTTTGTGGCAACAGTTTGCAACTCAGCAGTGAAAAACTCTTTCTGACTCACTGCTGAGTTGCCTCACAGGGCTGACCCGAAAAGTTCACTATTCAAGTCAGAGTCAAAGACCTTCACTGTTGTTTGGAGCGGTAGGATAGAGCACAGAACTACAGTGTTTCAAACGACCCTTTAAAGTTCACTGTCTGCATGATTATGCTGAGCACAGAATAAACAAGAGAGGTCTTTCAACAAAACAATAAATAATAAAGAGGCTTTATTGTCTTGGGACCGACTGTACACACTACTTTTTCATGATTTATTATAAATCTGTGTTAAACACTCACTCCTTATTGGTCAGCCTGTTATTTTCTGATAGCAGACCTTTGCTGTTAGGAATGAAGCTCTGTTAACTCTGGAGGATTTTATACTAGAAAGGAGTTTAGTTGATATAATGTCACATTTAAACATGAGGAAACCAAGAAAATATGAAAAAAGAGAGTAAATACCAAGACAGAGAAACCTACAAAAGTATAGATTGAGCAGGACATAATCACTTAAAGGCACATGGTGAGTTTATGTGGCATTCAAGTGCCTATAAATGAAAAAAAAATCAGAGTGATCTAATTGGGAGTGTTACATTATAATTTGTAGAGGTTTACAGACATCCGTTTTCCAGGGCTGATACAGATGATGATTATTAGTGGTTCATAAGCCAATAATCTCATAAACGGACTGACACGTATTGACAATATAAGTAAAGTAAAAAAAAAAAAAAGAAATGTTAAAAATGCTGACATAAACTTTTCTTAAATGTATTAAACAAAAGTTTGATAAAAGATAAAATGTTCAACATCATCTGCAGGCCTGAACAGCTGACAGTTTACTGTCAGGATGTAGAAACATCAAGTGGTCATGTGATGCCAATCAGAAGGTGCTGTGGGTGGAATGATAAGTAAGGCAAAGTGGTGCAAGAAAACAGACCAAGGGGGAAAAGACAGGTCTGCAGAAGAGCCAAAGTTGATTAATTTTACCCACTTTATTATGATTATTATTATTATTTTCATATATATAAGGCTGATCTGGATGATGGGGCAAAGAACTGAATATCGGCCCTGATAAATATGCAACCGCTACTGTTTTAAGGACAAATCATCAATTTTTTGACACACAATTGATAGTTAATGAACACTCCTGTGAGGAACTATGAATTTGCTTCAGTTTGGCACCCCCTGTGGACAAAGCAGCCTTTGCTTAATTGTCCTTAACATGTCCTCAACATGTTCACATTCCTCATATTTGCTTATTTCAAAGGTAACCTAAACCAACCTGTCCCTGCCTTCTCTTGAAAACAGCATGTTATTGTTTTCAGACAGTATCTCAACATCAGATGTTTCCACATGTGGTCAGGAATACTGACAGAGGTGTAGGTGTGTTATGGATACAGTGGGGGCAAAGATAACTAGGACACAGAAATGAGCAGGATTCAAGCAGGTAATAAAATGATCTCAACTTCCTGTTAATGGTGTTGTGTGGGTTAGTACAGTAAACACAAACCACTTCAATCATGTCCAGTTATATCACTTTAGCTATACTTTAACAACTAATTTCATATTTTTGTCTGTTTCTTGAACATCACGAAATGATAAAGTTATTTAAAATCCATTAGCTTTTTAAATGTAATGTAATTATCAATTAACAGCACCAATGATCCTCTGTCACCCCCTTGGTCCCCTCACCTTAGTGGCCTCCTGGATGAGTCGCCGCACCACCTCCTTGATGTGAGGTCCGTTGTCTTTAGGCGGGTGTGTGTGTACAGCGACCCGGGTCACCCCCTTGAACATATTCCCGCTGGGCCAGCCTATGTCCAGCGCTGGGACCTCAGTGTCTGACATCTGCGGCCAGTAGGTTGAATGGACCCCCGAGTCCGTGTCGGTACCGGATGGTGATGCCTGGTTGTCTTTGCTTTTGCTGCTGCTGCTGCCACCATCCTCCGTGTCGTACTTTGTGAAAGTGTTCAGTATGTGTTTGACTTCTCTGGCTGACAGAAAGTCTTTCATGTTGTCATCTTTGAGTCGCATTTTAAAGGCACCGTCGCCATTCTTCAGCAGCTCCTCGATAGCCGCGCGCTGCTCCTCGCTGTAGTAAAACTCGGGTTTGTTCTCCGGGACCTTCACACCGATGTGGCCGTCCTCCATGCATACGAGCTGGGATTCAGCCATGGCTGTAGCGGCGGTTACCCCCAAACCTCCTCCTCCTGAGTGTCCTCGCAGGCTGTGGGGTTAGTTAGGTGAGTGACGCTTGACAGGTATGAATAACGCTGGTAAACTTTTCTTACCTGGCCGCGAGGCAGAAGGTGGGGCTCAAGGCAGAGCGCCCGTGCTGCCTTCAGGTACTATTGGAAAATAGTGGCACTACTGTTTTGCATACTGACAGAGAAAGAGCTATGAAGTAGAGGAGACTGGGTACAACTGTAACACGTTTTCACATGTATTTTGCTGCCTGTACCACTGATGACTTATCTCGACTTTTTCTCCATTAAATCAAATTTCTTTAATTAAAAAGCAACTCTGTAAAAGGAAGAATAAGACAGGTCTCTCAACCATACAACTAACTTTTTCCTTTTATTAAAAAAATAACAGCTTAAATTGTAACAAAATTGCTTTTTAAGCGCATAACCCATCTCTGCACCATGTAATTAAACAGTTGTAACAAATAAAATAAAAAAAGAGCCCCAACTCTAACATGCCATATCTTTTCTAAAGGGATATTCCGGCGTAAAATTAATTTAGGGTCAAACACAACACAACACCGAGTTGCATTTCTTTATGGAAATGCAACCAGACCGAGACACTAAGGCAGAAAACTACGGCGTGTGCAGTGCAAAATGATAAATATGGTGGTTATCACTTCAAGGAAATGATAATATAGGATCATAAATGTTCTTCCTTGAGCTGCGTCACCCCGCTGTAGTCTGTAATGGACTTGCCCGAGGTCTCGCTACAGACAAGCGGCTGCTGGAAGAGAGATGGTGAGTTGTGCTTGGTCTCTTTGCTTCAGAAATCAGGCAAAGCTAAAAAGACGTTTGATGGCTAGTGCTATGGCTAGGACCCTATAAGCACTGTTGATGAAGTTAGGTGATGTTCTGAGCATTATTTGTGGCTATAGGGTGGCGTTTTGGTTGAGGTTTGTGTGAGGCTCCATAGACCATGTGAGGCTCCATGTGTAGTTGGTATAACTAGAGAAGCAAGGAGTCGGCAACATTCATCCCTCGAGGGGGTGTCTAACTCGGTGTTACGGTGTGTCGACCCTAAATTAAATTTACGCTGGAATATCCCTTTAATATAGGTCTAAATAAATATGCTTTATGTTCAACAGTCTGGGATTTTCCTTAAGGGCCTAAAAAAATCATGTTTCTCCTACTATTCAAGGAGGCCCAGGAGGTTACATTCAAAATATTCATCACCACAAACAACTAAACAGCAGAGGTCTGATGATGTAGCAAGTCCCAACACTGAGGACATTACTCACCACAATGGTAATGGCAATTTCCAGTTTACAGTAAGACCCTGAATGCAGCAGATTGTTTCTGTGGAAGCTGATGTGGAGCTGTAAAAACTTTCCGCTTCCCTTGTGATCTTGGCATCTGCTTAGTCATTGAACAAGGGGAAACCAGTCCAGGTGATAAACTGAGCAATAGACACATTTAAAGCTGGTCATTTGAGATAGCATACACGCCACATACCAATCTGAAACTCAGTTTTATCAAGCAAACAACTTCTACATCATTATCAGTTTTGCTTTGGGAATATAGACATGATTCCCTCTGGACTGTGTGAGATAAATACAAGGGGGGTGAAACTGCATTGTTTAGTCCTGAATCAGTGGGACTGATTAATATATTTGTCGTCATTATGTATAAAAAATAATTTAAAAATGAGTGAGATTCATAAATAACACAACATAATCATAACTTTCAAAATATTATGAGTAAACCTCAGAACTTGAAGCTTGACTATAACTTGTAAAAAACTTGAGACACTGCTCAGCAGTTTAAGCATCATTATTTGGAAACAGATGAAGTGCTACATGACTAACATTGTCATCTTAAACTTAAGTAAAAAGCTGCAGTTAAGTGATCAAAATAAAGTAATATTGTTTTTCTCTTTCTGAACTTGTGTTGTGTGCTTTACAACATTTCTTGTCATTTTTAAAGCAACAACATCAAGGAGTCTGTACTGGCTCTTCTCAGAGAGGTTTGGTGTAGTTGGAGGGGAACAGGCCTATTTTGCCTCTCAGCTCACCCCTCCACCAGGCGTTGTGTGAGCAATCCAAGACGGTGATGATATCCCCAGCGTCAAAATCCAGCTCATCCATCTCCTCAGCATAGAAACCATACAGAGCTCTGACCCGCTGCTTGGGGGAGGATTTGAGCTGCAGAGGAGGAAGCCATTCATGATGAGATACAGACAGCTAGACCCCTGACTTAGTGCACAAACAAGACCATTAAACTTTAAAGGTTTAATTTTAAATGTTTTTTTTTGGGAAAGATGCATTTATATCCTGCGCCTTAGACAATGCCAATAAGCTACATATGATCAATATTTTTGAAAAAGTAACTTCAAGGGATATTTCAGTGTTTTTGATGTGGGGTTTAATGACCTGCAAGTCATTTTTAAGTGTGCTCGCCACAGTGGATGTGAGTTAGTTCTGTTTTTTTTAATGAGAAAGTGAACAGGCATGTAAGCTAGGCTAGAGGTTTCTGCAGACAAATCCAGCTCAACCGTGTAATTTAGTTTATTCTGAGAGACTACAACCCAATAACTCATCTCTGAGAACATTTCAGCACTTTGTCATCAGAAGGCCTATACCCTGATACCTTAGTCAGGGTATTTGCGGGGTAGTAAAAGGTAGTAAATGTAACTCTATGATTCTGGTATAAACCCGGTTAATACATGGAAGAAGAAAGGGGAGAAACTTCCTAACTGGAGAGCAGGATGGATCCCAAGTTACCTAGTGGTGCAAGTGTGTAAATTGTGAACCCGCTACAAGAAAACTACTTGCTTTGTGAAACCAGCCTGTCACATAAGGCCTGCATCACACAATGATCAAAATCCACTGCTGTGCTGAACGCTGTAGTTTGTTTTAGACTTCTCAAGCAGGAGAACATCAGTCATTACTGAGAAGAGCATACACTGAAACCCAGATGAGTGGGTAACACTGGTTAAATTACGTGACAGACTTGGACTCACCTGCAGAAAACTGTAGCTGAGCTTGACTGCCTTCCTACCTGCAGATTCTTATTAAAGTGGCAGAACTGACAGGGACTATGGTGGCTAGTACATTACTAAGTGACATAAAACTCATACAACCTCACTTTGAATATACTAAAATATCCCTTTAATGTTTACTGCTTCTTTACCAATACTGCCTTTTTACTTTTTCTTCTTATTCTTATCTTATCTTTGTGTTTTTAAATGGCTTTCATTTAAGTATTTATTTATTACCATTGTTTTTGCACCAAAGGGAGCGGCACTCAAATTTCGTTGTACTGTGTACAATGACAATAAAGTCGATTCTGATTCTGATTCTTCTGCTCAGTTCTTTAATTTATGCAGAATGTTTACTGTACAAAAACACATATTCCTACGCTTATGAATTTTAATAAAATTCAATTAGCTTTTTCAATTTTGCGATAATGTAGCATGAAATATCTTATTTAAAAAAACTAGACATTGATTTTGTAAGATGAACAGCATGTAAACACATACCTTTCGTGGTGCAGGTACAGGTGAGCGGTCAGGCAGTGGAGGTGCAGGTGGAGGTGGTTTCATGCGAACACGTCTTTTTTGCTGTTGGAGCACAAACACGTTCAAGTTTGACAAATACAACTCTACCTTATTCAGGACTCTTCAGTATTTCTGCTCAAATCACAACATGAAACATTCCAGTGTGCTTTTTTAAAATGTTTATTTCACCAGTGTTTGTTTTCTTACCGGCGGTTGCATTTCTCGAAGAAATATCTGGGTCTCTTTGGAGATAGAGATGTGTTTGTAATATTCCACCAGCTGGTTAATAGATGAGAACTTTTCTGACCACAGGTAATACTGCCCCCTGCTGTCACGCAGCACCTTAAAGTGCTGCACATCTTCTACATGCCTGCAGGGGAGTCACAAACAGATAAATACCTTTACTCTTCAACTTGTTATGCTTCTTTGAGGGATAAATAGAAATATTCTCAAAACACAAACTGCCACAAACCTGTGAAAGGAAATCAGGAAATTTAATCCAGTGTTTAAGACCTGGTCAGTTAATCTTTGTAAAAATGAAGTAGCAAGACCCTTGGATCACTTGACATTAACGGGTCTACAAGGCTGACCTAGGTCCATAAATACAGAGAACCTAAATAACAGGTCTGCTGCACCTTAATACTCATAGTTTCTGTCATTGAGGGATCTCTCTTTTCTGTCATCCTCTTCCTCTTACTCTTGCACTCTGACCTTGCCTAATTACTCTGCATCTCTTTATTTCCTGTGTGGGTTACACTATACACATTAGTATTACACATTATTACACATTAGTTATGAAATCCTGCAAGAATATAACAATGCAACAAGCTGAAGAGTTTCTGAGAAAGAAGGTGCAGCAAGCTGAAAGTCTCTGAGAAAGTTTCTGCAGGAAGTAGCAAAACCAAGAGCTGATTGTGGCTATCTCTATTAAGACCACATTGATGAAATGTGAACAAAGAGGGAGGGAGAAAGGACCTCTGACATGGGTCAACAGAGAAGAGAAACAGACTGACAGGCATCTAATGCAACACTTAAAAATGCAAAAATATTGATCCTATGAAAGAAGATGAAAGTCCTCTCTTCGTGTTTTTCTGCAGAGCATGAGACTGTCATTATACTGTTCCCAAAAAAGGAAACTAAAGGGAGCACGTCACATTCAGCCTTTAAAAACTATACATCTCAAGATACTTTCCTCATATAGAAACAATCAAAATGGCATGACATTTATTGTATGAATTCCTCAGTTATAGTTTAAAGAAAGGGTCTGACAGTGACCTTTGACCTCAAAACACCACCCTCTAATGGGTCAATACCTGAGTTACAATTTGACATTGCAGGATATAAAGAAATACGGACAAAATATCAAAATAAGAGCAGGACAAACAACTGCAACCTCCTCTTGAAAGAAGTTATATGGATGACGACGTGTAAGTTAACTGTGTGTAACAAAGACGCTCGATCCTTGTCTTGTCTTTCCTAAATTTGACAGATTGTGCAGTTTCATTGTCAGGTTTTGTATAAAATAATGTAATGATATCATTATTGTGATAATTCAGGCCTCTGATGATCATGAGGTGAAAATTTGGTAATGCGACAGCCCTGACAACAAACATAAGACTGTAGACAGGCGGAAAAAGCTGTCTCTGTAGCTGTCAGCATTCAGCACCATCACTTTCATTTACAGCTTTCATTAGGTCACAGAAATGACCATATTACAGCCCAGCCCCTTTAAAGGATGAAAGCAGTTCATCTGAATTAATAAATAGTTGTAATCTGGACTCTTTGGCGGATTAATAGTCTAAAATAAGAAAACTGTACAATTAAATTGCAATTAAGGGCCCAAATCTTAAGTCTAGTTTGACACTGAAAAGTAGTTAAATCTTAGTTAGAGCTTGCATAAAGTTTAAAAATAGAGCATTACACAGAGTATTTTAGTGCTACTAAGGTAGTCAGCAATGAAGGAATCAATTTTCCAATGCATCAGTGGTTTTAAAAACAAAACTGTTTAAAAGAAAAGTAGCTGATGTTAGCAAATGAGTCCTCACTATGCTTCTTGACTTTAAATGTGGTCTAATTTCACTCCAGCTATTCACTCTTCACTGTCTTTGTAGCGGCTTATTAATCAGTGAGCGGTTAAGTCACAAAAATTCGTATTTTGTATGTAAAATAAATATTTAAACAGTGTGGGTCTTAAAACACAGAAGTATAACTAACTCCTGTCCTGAGCTAGATGGTGACGATAGAAAATGGTCTATTGTCGCAGCATTAGCTATATCTCATGCTAAGAGGAAGAGCAGACACATACTGGACACACCTGACAGAGAGGGAAAAGTCACGCGGTGTCGAGTTTTGGCTTCCTCGAATAATGAAGGCCCCCACAGGCTGGGACGTCAGCTTCTCTTGCGCGTCGCTGCGGCTGCAGTCTTCTTGGTACCAGCTGGTCAGAGGAGGCAGAAAATAACAGACATGAAGTTTAACAAATCCTCCAAAGACGTCTGGTTAGCTTCAAGATTTGAAGATTTAAAGATAGTTTTCAAACAGCTTTGGATTTTCTGTAACTATTTTTGGTTTTCTTCTGGCTTCAGGTGAATTTACCTGGGCAGATGAATGTCAATGAAGTTTTTGGGGACAAACCCCTCGGCTCCGTTTAGTTCTGCTTTAAACCAGTTCCCAGTGGTCTTCAGAATCTGGAACGGTAATGAAAATGACTAAAGACCCATCTACATGATATGAAATGATACGTGCAAAACTTTGTAGTTTAACAGCAACAACAACAACTAGGGCCCCGTTGGGGCACTGGCGGGCCCGAGCCGTGTCGCACCCCCCCCCCCCCCCCCCCAACGCGCTGCCTCCCCGTCCCATTCGTTTCCTCCAGCCATCGCCCTCTCTGGTAACGCCCATCACTGCAAAGACCCTTTTCCTTCATCGGCGTTTGCTGTTCTTCCTGCCAGTGCGTGTTGCTTTCACTTACACTTGCCACAGCCAGCCTCGTGAGTGCCTAGCCTATTGGATATCACTGTCACCTACACAGGACAGTCATACTTTGTTTTTTAATTTCACATTAATTTCCATATTGTATAAACGACTGGAAAAAACTTGAGCCCCTGCCCCTGTATTATCATGTGCACGTCCCTGTTCTAGCTCCAAGGTGAATCTTCACTGCTCATGTTCTCCTCAGAAGCACTCACCTCACTCCCCTCAGGTTACTGTACACATGCACCAACTGCCTGCTTCAGGTTTGGATGGAGCTTCATGGTTGTCTTTTGGAGAAATGACCAGTCAAGTTGTGTTTGAAATTTGATTTTTTTCAGGGGCAAAAGGAAGCCTCTGCATTCTTGTCAAATATGTAAATAGCATGTTTTTGCAGGTGCTAAAAAACAGACTCTGAGTGTGTGTGTGTGTGTGTGTGTGTGTGTGTGCGTGTGTGTCTGTGTGTGTGTGTGTGTGTATCCTGCAGTACTCTGAGAAGAATAATAAGCATATTTCTGAGGTGAATTTTGAAGATTCATCTGAGAGTTAGGTCTCAAAAGTGAGGACCTCAACCTATATACCAGTTTTTAAATTGTGTTGATAGGCCAAATAAAACCAGAGTTATGATAAATTATGTCCGCGATACTTTTTTTCTGCTTGTTTTGATCACGTTCGGCGCTCGATCGCGCTGTATGAGACAGGAAAACATAGCATGCACACATTAGCGACAGGTCTTACAGGCGGAAAAGGCTTGCCAAAAGAAAAAAAAACACACCACAACATCTCTCCTATTGGTGGAAAACTTCACCACAACAACCAATCCAAAATTATATGGTGACTGATTGACAAGGGGCGGGCGCTTACGTTCTTCCTGCAACATGAGAAGGGAGGGAGGGACTCTCAGCAGGGATGCAGTCTGGGACACGTAGTTGCAAACCTAGCGACTTTGTTGTTAGATTCAATGACTTTTCAGACCCCCTAACGACTTTTTTTTAGAAAGAAAGGGACTTTTATCGACTTCTTCTGGAGTTTAGAGACTCTGACATGAAGCAGGCTTTCCTTACTGAGGAGTTAGCAACGCTGCTAAGGGTGCAGAGCCACACATGCGCTCCGAGCTCTGCATGGGAGACTGAAGCTGACAGAGCTGCAGCAGTTAGCAGGTTTCACCCTCAGAGACCACCAGGGGTTCATGTTGAGGCATTTTCAGTTTTTGTTTTTTTTGCCATAGACTGTCAGCACAATCTGCAGTTACACTAACAAAAATGCTGCAAAAAACAAAGAATTATGGAAAAATTACATATGGACTGACATAGAGGAGGATCTACACAAGTTTTTTACATCATGTTTTACATCATGCATCATTTACATCATGTTTTTTTGTAGTGGCATAAATAAAAAGTGACATTTGTGAGACTATACAGTGTTTTGTAAATAATTTTACAAAGAACGCCTGGGCCATTGCCTGCATTTTGATGTAAATAGAGGTAAATTACTATGTTCTTTGTTAAAAATTTGCATATGTTTTGAAGTTTACAATTTTTATTTGAAGTTTAAGTTTTAAAAACAGTTCATCATACATATTTGTGGTTTAATTTCACATTAATTTCCATATTGTATAAATGACTGGAAAAAACTTGAGCCCCTGCCCCTGTATAATCATGTGCACGTCCCTGTTCTAGCTCCAAGGTGAATCTTCACTGCTCATGTTCTCCTCAGAAATAGTCACCTCACTCCCCTCAGGTTACTGTACACATGCACCAACTATCTGCTTCAGGTTTGGATGGAGCTTCATGGTTGTCTTTTGGAGAAATGAACAGTCAAGTTGTGTTTGAAATCTGATTTTTTTCAGGGGCAAAAGGAAGCCTCTGCATTCTTGTCAAATATGTAAACAGCATGTTTTTGCAGGTGCTAAAAAACAGACTCTGAGTGTGTGTGTGTGTGTGTGTGTGTGTGTGTGTGTGTGTGTGTGTGTGTGTGTGTGTGTGTGTGTGTGTGTGTGTATCCTGCAGTTCTCTGTACTCCTGCAGTGGCCAAAAAGACTTTTAAGAATGTGGATTTTTGGGTCATCTTTGGCGCCCCCTAGAACTGCAGTACTCTGTACTCCTGCAGTGGCCAAAATGACTTTTAAGAATGTGGATTTTTGGGTCATCTTTGGCGCCCCCTAGAACGTAAACCGTGGGGTGCAGCGTCATGATTTTTACAACTTTGAATGGGCATGGGGTGTAGATTGCCCTGAGCAAATTTGGTATCGGTGGGACGAAAGCCTTAGGAGGAGATAGCCACATTCCAATGTGTGCGAATCGGCAAAAAATGCGAAATAGCCCTTTAACCGTACATTATACAGATACGCGCTTTTTGACTTTTTCGTAGATCTAATTGAGATACACATGATTGTCAATTTTTGTGTCAATATGACAAAGCGTTCAGGCGTGACACTCAACAATGTGTATTTTCATGTAAGGGGACAAGAAAAAATTGACTTTTTTCTCCTGCCATGGGGGGGCGCTCTTTTGGGGAGTAAAAATTCCTTCACAAATGTGTTGATGGCTGGACATTGCATCATCCTAGAAAACTTGGAGGGCAGTGAGGACAAAAATAAAAAGTTATAAGACTTTTAAGAATGTGGATTTTGGGTTATCTTTGGCGCCCCCTAGAACGTAAACCGTGGGGTGCAGCGTCATGATTTGTACAACTTTTAATGGCCATGGGGGGTAGATTGGCCTGCGCAAATGTGGTGCCGGTCGAACGAAAGCCTTCGGAGGAGTTAGCGAAATTCCAATGTGTGCAGATCTGCAAAAAATGCAAAATAACCCATTAACCGTACATTTGACAGATACGCCCGCACTGACTTTTTTGTAGATCTTATTGAGATACATGTGTGTGTCAATTTTTGTGTCAATATGACAAAGCGTACAGCCGTCATGTGAATTTTCACCTTAGGGGGCGCTATGGAGCCATTTTGCATTTTATTGTTTGGGCGACTTCAGAATATCGAATTTTTCACCAGGCCCGGTCGTCCTGCCAAATTTCCTGAGTTTTCGCCAGTGGGAAGTGGGCCATTTTCCAGTTTAAAGCGGAGGAAAAATAATAACGAAAGAAGGAAACATGCAGGAACTAGGGCCCCGGTGGGGCACTGGCGGGCCCGAGCCGTGTCGCGCCGCCCCCAGTGCGACCGCCTACCCCTCCCGATCGCGTCACACTCAAGGTCCAAAGATGGTGTGCGCACTTGTCTGTGGTCATTTACCATTATAATGAATGGGAGGCGCAGTTTCTACCAAAACGCTCGCTGCAGACAAACTCCATGTCCTTTTTGAAAAAAGTCTGGACCATGAGTGAGGGCACAAACACAGCTAGTATATATCCAAATGGCAAGTTGCTCCTCCTTTCGGTTTTGCCGAGAGAGCGATGCGTTTGAGCCATTGAGCGATGGGCAAAAACTTGACTTTTTCTCCTGCCATGAGGGGGCGCTCTTTTGGGGAGTAAAAATTCCTTCACAAATGTGTTGATGGCTGGACATTGCATCATCCTAGAGAACTTGGAGGCCAGTCAGGACAAAAATTAAAAGTTATAAGACTTTTAAGACTGTGGATTTTTGGGTTATCTTTGGCGCCCCCTAGAACCTAAACCGTGGGGTGCAGCATCATGATTTTTACAACTTTGAATGGGCATGGGGTGTAGATTGCCCTGAGCAAATTTGGTATCGGTGGGACGAAAGTCTTAGGAGGAGATAGCCACATTCCAATGTGTGCGAATCGGCAAAAAATGCGAAATAGCCCTTTAACCGTACATTATACAGATACGCGCTTTTTGACTTTTTCGTAGATCTAATTGAGATACACATGATTGTCAATTTTTGTGTCAATATGACAAAGCGTTCAGGCGTGACACTCAACAATGTGTATTTTCATGTAAGGGGACAAGAAAAAAAGGACTTTTTTCTCCTGCCATGGGGGGGCGCTCTTTTGGGGAGTAAAAATTCCTTCACAAATGTGTTGATGGCTGGACATTGCATCATCCTAGAAAACTTGGAGGGCAGTGAGGACAAAAATAAAAAGTTATAAGACTTTTAAGAATGTGGATTTTGGGTTATTTTTGGCGCCCCCTAGAACGTAAACCGTGGGGTGCAGCGTCATGATTTGTACAACTTTTAATGGCCATGGGGGGTAGATTGGCCTGCACAAATGTGGTGCCGGTCGAACGAAAGCCTTCGGAGGAGTTAGCGAAATTCCAATGTGTGCGAATCTGCAAAAAATGCAAAATAACCCATTAACCGTACATTTGACAGATACGCCCGCACTGACTTTTTTGTAGATCTTATTGAGATACATGTGTGTGTCAATTTTTGTGTCAATATGACAAAGCGTACAGCCGTCATGTGAATTTTCACCTTAGGGGGCGCTATGGAGCCATTTTGCATTTTATTGTTTGGGCGACTTCAGAATATCGAATTTTTCACCAGGCCCGGTCGTCCTGCCAAATTTCCTGAGTTTTCGCCAGTGGGAAGTGGGCCATTTTCCAGTTTAAAGCGGAGGAAAAATAACGAACTAGGGCCCCGTTGGGGCACTGGCGGGCCCGAGCCGTGTCGCGCTGCCCCCCCCAACGCGCTGCCTCCCCGTCCCATTCGCGTCCTCTGGCCATCGTCCTCTCTGGTAACGCCCATCACTGCAAAGACCCTTTCCTTCATCGGCGTTTGCTGTTCTTCCTGCCAGTGCGTGTTGCTTTCACTTACACTTGCCACAGCCAGCCTCGTGAGTGCCTAGCCTATTGGATATCACTGTCATCTACACAGGACAGTCATAACCTTTCTATTAATACTTTGTTTTTTAATTTCACATTAATTTCCATATTGTATAAATGACTGGAAAAAACTTGAGCCCCTGCCCCTGTATAATCATGTGCACGTCCCTGTTCTAGCTCCAAGGTGAATCTTCACTGCTCATGTTCTCCTCAGAAATAGTCACCTCACTCCCCTCAGGTTACTGTACACATGCACCAACTATCTGCTTCAGGTTTGGATGGAGCTTCATGGTTGTCTTTTGGAGAAATGAACAGTCAAGTTGTGTTTGAAATTTGATTTTTTTCAGGGGCAAAAGGAGCCTCTGCATTCTTGTCAAATATGTAAATAGCATGTTTTTGCAGGTGCTAAAAAACAGACTCTGAGTGTGTGTGTGAGTGTGTGTGTGTGTGTGTGTGTGTGTGTGTGTGTGTGTGTGTGTGTGTGTGTGTGTGTGTGTGTGTGTTGGTGTGTGTGTATATGTGTGTGTATCCTGCAGTACTCTGTACTCCTGCAGTGGCCAAAAAGACTTTTAAGAATGTGGATTTTTGGGTCATCTTTGGCGCCCCCTAGAACTGCAGTACTCTGTACTCCTGCAGTGGCCAAAATGACTTTTAAGAATGTGGATTTTTGGGTCATCTTTGGCGCCCCCTAGAACGTAAACCGTGGGGTGCAGCGTCATGATTTTTACAACTTTGAATGGGCATGGGGTGTAGATTGCCCTGAGCAAATTTGGTATCAGTGGGACGAAAGCCTTAGGAGGAGATAGCCACATTCCAATGTGTGCGAATCGGCAAAAAATGCGAAATAGCCCTTTAACCGTACATTATACAGATACGCGCTCTTTGACTTTTTCGTAGATCTAATTGAGATACACATGATTGTCAATTTTTGTGTCAATATGACAAAGCGTTCAGGCGTGACACTCAACAATGTGTATTTTCATGTAAGGGGACAAGAAAAAATTGACTTTTTTCTCCTGCCATGGGGGGGCGCTCTTTTGGGGAGTAAAAATTCCTTCACAAATGTGTTGATGGCTGGACATTGCATCATCCTAGAAAACTTGGAGGGCAGTGAGGACAAAAATAAAAAGTTATAAGACTTTTAAGAATGTGGATTTTTGGGTTATCTTTGGCGCCCCCTAGAACCTAAACCGTGGGGTGCAGCGTCATGATTTGTACAACTTTTAATGGCCATGGGGTGTAGACTGGCCTGAGCAAATGTGGTGCCGGTGGAACGAAAGCCTTCGGAGGAGTTAGCGAAATTCCAATGTGTGCGGATCGGCAAAAAATGCGAAATAGCCCTTTAACCGTACATTTGACAGATACGCCCGCACTGACTTTTTTGTAGATCTTATTGAGATACATATGTGTGTCAATTTTTGTGTCAATATGACAAAACGTACAGACGTGACAGTCAATAGTGTGAATTTCCACCTTAGGGGGCGCTATGGAGCCATTTTGCATTTTATTGTTTGGGCGACTTCAGAATATCGAATTTTTCACCAGGCCCGGTCGTCCTGCCAAATTTCATGAGTTTTCGCCAGTGGGAAGTGGGCCATTTTCCAGTTTAAAGCGGAGGAAAAATAATAATAATAACTAGGGCCCCGTTGGGGCACTGGCAGGCCCGAGCCGTGTCGCGCCGCCCCCAGCGCGACCGCCTACCCCTCCCGATCGCATCACACTCAAGGTCCAAAGATGGTGTGCGCACTTGTCTGTGGTCATTTACCATTATAATGAATGGGAGGCGCAGTTTCTACCAAAACGCTCGCTGCAGACAAACTCCATGTCCTTTTTGAAAAAAGTCTGGACCATGAGTGAGGGCACAAACACAGCTAGTATATATCCAAATGGCAAGGTGCTCCTCCTTTCGGTTTTGCCGAGAGAGCGATGCGTTTGAGCCATTGAGCGATGGGCAGGAAAAACTTGACTTTTTCTCCTGCCATGGGAGGGCGCTCTTTTGGGGAGAAAAAATTCCTTCACAAATGTGTTGATGACTGAACATTGCATCATCCTAGAAAACTTGGAGGCCAGTGAGGACAAAAATAAAGTTATAAGACTTTTAAAAATGTGGATATTTGGGTCCTCTTTGGCGCCCCCTAGAACGTAAACCGTGGGGTGCAGCGTCATGATTTTTACAACTTTGAATGGCCATGGGGTGTAGATTGGCCTGAGCAAATTTGGTGTCAGTGGAACGAAAGCCTTAGGAGGAGTTAGCCACATTCCAATGTGTGCGAATCGGCAAAAAATGCGAAATAGCCCTTTAACCGTACATTTTACAGATACGTGCACATTGACTTTTTCGTAGATCTTATTGAGATACACGTGATTGTCAAATTTTGTGTCAATATGACAAAGCGTACAGGCGTGACACTCAACAATGTGTATTTTCGCCTTAGGGGACAAGAAAAAAATGGACTTTTTTCTCCTGCCATGGGGGGGCGCTCTTTTGGCGAGTAAAAATTCCTTCACAAATGTGTTAATTGCTGGACATTGCATCATCCTAGAGAACTTGGAGGCCAGTGAGGACAAAAATAAAAAGTTATAAGACTTTTAAGAATGTGGATTTTTGGGTTATCTTTGGCGCCCCCTAGAACCTAAACCGTGGGGTGCAGCGTCATGATTTGTACAACTTTTAATGGCCATGGGGTGTGGATTGGCCTGAGCAAATTTGGTGCCGGTGGAACGAAAGCCTTCGGAGGAGTTAGCGAAATTCCAATGTGTGCGGATCGGCAAAAAATGCGAAATAACCCTTTAACCGTACATTTGACAGATACGCCCACACTGACTTTTTTGTAGATCGTATTGAGATACATGTGTGTGTCAATTTTTGTGTCAATATGACAAAGCGTACAGGCGTGACAGTCAATAGTGTGAATTTCCACCTTAGGGGGCGCTATGGAGCCATTTTGCATTTTATTGTTTGGGCGACTTCAGAATATCGAATTTTTCACCAGGCCCGGTCATCCTGCCAAATGTCATGAGTTTTCGCCAGTGGGAAGTGGGCCATTTTCCCCTTCAAAGGGGAGGAAAAATAAGAAGAAAGAAAGAAAGAACTAGGACCCCGTTGGGGCACTGGCGGGCCCGAGCCGTGTCGCGTCCCCCCCCCCCCCCAACGTGCTGCCTTCCCGTCCCATTTGTGTCCTCTGGCCATCGCCCTCTCTGGTAACGCCCATCACTGCAAAGACCCTTTTCCTTCATCGGCGTTTGCTGTTCTTCCTGCCAGTGCGTGTTGCTTTCACTTACACTTGCCACAGCCAGCCTCGTGAGTGCCTAGCCTATTGGATATCACTGTCACCTACACAGGACAGTCATTACCTTTCTATTAATACTTTGTGTTTTAATTTCACATTAATTTCCATATTGTATAAACGACTGGAAAAAACTTGAGCCCCTGCCCCTGTATAATCATGTGCATGTCTCTGTTCTAGCTCCAAGGTGAATCTTCACTGCTCATGTTCTCCTCAGAAGCACTCACCTCACTCCCCTCAGGTTACTGTACACATGCACCAACTGCCTGCTTCAGGTTTGGATGGAGCTTCATGGTTGTCTTTTGGAGAAATGACCAGTCAAGTTGTGTTTGAAATTTGATTTTTTTCAGGGGCAAAAGGAGCCTCTGCATTCTTGTCAAATATGTAAATAGCATGTTTTTGCAGGTGCTAAAAACCAGACTCTGAGTGTGTGTGTGTGTGTGTGTGCGTGTGTGTGTGTCTGTGTGTGCGTTCAAGTCACATGACATATTTAACCGGATGTAGCTGCAAGACGGAGCCTCGTTGACTCTCCGTTTCAACTTATCTCAAAAGTGAGGACCTCAACCTATATACCAGTTTTTAAATTGTGTTGATAGGCCAAATAAAACCAGAGTTATGATAAATTATGTCCGCGATACTTTTTTTCTGCTTATTTTGATCACGTTCGGCGCTCGATCGCGCTGTATGAGACAGGAAAACATAGCATGCAGACATTAGCGACAGGTCTTACAGGCGGAAAAGGCTTGCCAAAAAGAAAAAAAAAACACACCACAACATCTCTCCTATTGGTGGAAAACTTCACCACAACAACCAATCCAAAATTATATGGTGACTGATTGACAAGGGGCGGGCGCTTACGTTCTTCCTGCAACATGAGAAGCGAGGGAGGGACTCTCAGCAGGGATGCAGTCTGGGACACGTAGTTGCAAACCTAGCGACTTTGTTGTTAGATTCAATGACTTTTCAGACCCCCTTACGACTTTTTTTTAGAAAGAAAGGGACTTTTATCGACTTCCTCTGGAGTTTAGAGACTCTGACATGAAGCAGGCTTTCCTTACTGAGGAGTTAGCAACGCTGCTAAGGGTGCAGAGCCACACATGCGCTCAGAGCTCTGCATGGGAGACTGAAGCTGACAGAGCTGCAGCAGTTAGCAGGTTTCACCCTCAGAGACCACCAGGGGTTCATGTTGAGGCATTTTAATTTTTTTTTTTTTTTTGTGCCATAGACACTGTCAGCACAATCTGCAGTTACACTAACAAAAATGCTGCAAAAAACAAAGAATTATGGAAAAATTACACATGGACTGACATAGAGGAGGATCTACACAAGTTTTTTACATCATGTTTTACATCATGCATCATTTACATCATGTTTTTTTGTAGTGGCATAAATAAAAAGTGACATTTGTGAGACTATACAGTGTTTTGTAAATAATTTTACAAAGAACGCCTGGGCCATTGCCTGCATTTTGATGTAAATAGAGGTAAATTACTATGTTCTTTGTTAAAAATTTGCATATGTTTTGAAGTTTACAATTTTTATTTGAAGTTTAAGTTTTAAAAACAGTTCATCACACATATTTGTGGTTTAATTTCACATTAATTTCCATATTGTATAAATGACTGGAAAAAACTTGAGCCCCTGCCCCTGTATAATCATATGCACGTCCCTGTTCTAGCTCCAAGGTGAATCTTCACTGCTCATGTTCTCCTCAGAAATAGTCACCTCACTCCCCTCAGGTTACTGTACACATGCACCAACTATCTGCTTCAGGTTTGGATGGAGCTTCATGGTTGTCTTTTGGAGAAATGAACAGTCAAGTTGTGTTTGAAATCTGATTTTTTTCAGGGGCAAAAGGAAGCCTCTGCATTCTTGTCAAATATGTAAACAGCATGTTTTTGCAGGTGCTAAAAAACAAACTCTGAGTGTGTGTGTGTGTGTGTGTGTGTGTGTGTGTGTGTGTGTGTGTGTGTGTGTATGTGTGTGTATCCAGCAGTACTCTGTACTCCTGCAGTGGCCAAAAAGACTTTTAAGAATGTGGATTTTTGGGTCATCTTTGGCGCCCCCTAGAACTGCAGTACTCTGTACTCCTGCAGTGGCCAAAATGACTTTTAAGAATGTGGATTTTTGGGTCATCTTTGGTGCCCCCTAGAACGTAAACCGTGGGGTGCAGCGTCATGATTTTTACAACTTTGAATGGGCATGGGGTGTAGATTGCCCTGAGCAAATTTGGTATCGGTGGGACGAAAGCCTTAGGAGGAGATAGCCACATTCCAATGTGTGCGAATCGGCAAAAAATGCGAAATAGCCCTTTAACCGTACATTATACAGATACGCGCTTTTTGACTTTTTCGTAGATCTAATTGAGATACACGTGATTGTCAATTTTTGTGTCAGTATGACAAAGCGTTCAGGCATGACACTCAACAATGTGTATTTTCATGTAAGGGGACAAGAAAAAATTGACTTTTTTCTCCTGCCATGGGGGGGCGCTCTTTTGGGGAGTAAAAATTCCTTCACAAATGTGTTGATGGCTGGACATTGCATCATCCTAGAAAACTTGGAGGGCAGTGAGGACAAAAATAAAAAGTTATGAGACTTTTAAGAATGTGGATTTTGGGTTATCTTTGGCGCCCCCTAGAACGTAAACCGTGGGGTGCAGCGTCATGATTTGTACAACTTTTAATGGCCATGGGGGGTAGATTGGCCTGCGCAAATGTGGTGCCGGTCGTACGAAAGCCTTCGGAGGAGTTAGCGAAATTCCAATGTGTGCAGATCTGCAAAAAATGCAAAATAACCCATTAACCGTACATTTGACAGATACGCCCGCACTGACTTTTTTGTAGATCTTATTGAGATACATGTGTGTGTCAATTTTTGTGTCAATATGACAAAGCGTACAGCCGTCATGTGAATTTTCACCTTAGGGGGCGCTATGGAGCCATTTTGCATTTTATTGTTTGGGCGACTTCAGAATATCGAATTTTTCACCAGGCCCGGTCGTCCTGCCAAATTTCCTGAGTTTTCGCCAGTGGGAAGTGGGCCATTTTCCAGTTTAAAGCGGAGGAAAAATAATAACGAAAGAAGGAAACATGCAGGAACAAGAGGGCTCTCGCAGCTGCTTAGCAGCTACGCTCGGGCCCTAAAGAAAGAAAGAAGAAAGAAAAACTCATCAGGAATAATAGGGCTCTACGCCCGGCTGCTCTGCAGCTGGCTCGGGCCCTAATAACAAACTAGGACCCCGTTGGGGCACTGGCGGGCCCGAGCCGTGTCGCGTCCCCCCCCCCCCCCCCCCAACGTGCTGCCTCCCCGTCCCATTTGTGTCCTCTGGCCATCGCCCTCTCTGGTAACGCCCATCACTGCAAAGACCCTTTTCCTTCATCGGCGTTTGCTGTTCTTCCTGCCAGTGCGTGTTGCTTTCACTTACACTTGCCACAGCCAGCCTCGTGAGTGCCTAGCCTATTGGATATCACTGTCACCTACACAGGACAGTCATTACCTTTCTATTAATACTTTGTGTTTTAATTTCACATTAATTTCCATATTGTATAAACGACTGGAAAAAACTTGAGCCCCTGCCCCTGTATAATCATGTGCATGTCTCTGTTCTAGCTCCAAGGTGAATCTTCACTGCTCATGTTCTCCTCAGAAGCACTCACCTCACTCCCCTCAGGTTACTGTACACATGCACCAACTGCCTGCTTCAGGTTTGGATGGAGCTTCATGGTTGTCTTTTGGAGAAATGACCAGTCAAGTTGTGTTTGAAATTTGATTTTTTTCAGGGGCAAAAGGAGCCTCTGCATTCTTGTCAAATATGTAAATAGCATGTTTTTGCAGGTGCTAAAAACCAGACTCTGAGTGTGTGTGTGTGTGTGTGTGTGTGTGTGTGTGTGTGTGTGTGTGTGTGTGCGTGTGTGTGTGTCTGTGTGTGTGCGTTCAAGTCACATGACATATTTAACCGGATGTAGCTGCAAGACGGAGCCTCGTTGACTCTCCGTTTCAACTTATCTCAAAAGTGAGGACCTCAACCTATATACCAGTTTTTAAATTGTGTTGATAGGCCAAATAAAACCAGAGTTATGATAAATTATGTTCGCGATATTTTTTTTCTGCTTATTTTGATCACGTTCGGCGCTCGATCGCGCTGTATGAGACAGGAAAACATAGCATGCAGACATTAGCGACAGTTCTTACAGGCGGAAAAGGCTTGCCAAAAGAAAAAAAAAACACACCACAACATCTCTCCTATTGGTGGAAAACTTCACCACAACAACCAATCCAAAATTATATGGTGACTGATTGACAAGGGGGGCGCTTACGTTCTTCCTGCAACATGAGAAGGGAGGGAGGGACTCTCAGCAGGGATGCAGTCTGGGACACGTAGTTGCAAACCTAGCGACTTTGTTGTTAGATTCAATGACTTTTCAGACCCCCTAACGACTTTTTTTTAGAAAGAAAGGGACTTTTATCGACTTCTTCTGGAGTTTAGAGACTCTGACATGAAGCAGGCTTTCCATACTGAGGAGTTAGCAACGCTGCTAAGGGTGCAGAGCCACACATGCGCTCAGAGCTCTGCATGGGAGACTGAAGCTGACAGAGCTGCAGCAGTTAGCAGGTTTCACCCTCAGAGACCACCACGGGTTCATGTTGAGGCATTAAAAATTTTTTTTTTTTTTTGTGCCATAGACACTGTCAGCACAATCTGCAGTTACACTAACAAAAATGCTGCAAAAAACAAAGAATTATGGAAAAATTACACATGGACTGACATAGAGGAGGATCTACACAAGTTTTTTACATCATGTTTTACATCATGCATCATTTACATCATGTTTTTTTGTAGTGGCATAAATAAAAAGTGACATTTGTGAGACTATACAGTGTTTTGTAAATAATTTTACAAAGAACGCCTGGGCCATTGCCTGCATTTTGATGTAAATAGAGGTAAATTACTATGTTCTTTGTTAAAAATTTGCATATGTTTTGAAGTTTACAATTTTTATTTGAAGTTTAAGTTTTAAAAACAGTTCATCACACATATTTGTGGTTTAATTTCACATTAATTTCCATATTGTATAAATGACTGGAAAAAACTTGAGCCCCTGCCCCTGTATAATCATGTGCACGTCCCTGTTCTAGCTCCAAGGTGAATCTTCACTGCTCATGTTCTCCTCAGAAATAGTCACCTCACTCCCCTCAGGTTACTGTACACATGCACCAACTATCTGCTTCAGGTTTGAAATGGAGCTTCATGGTTGTCTTTTGGAGAAATGAACAGTCAAGTTGTGTTTGAAATTTGATTTTTTTCAGGGGCAAAAGGAAGCCTCTGCATTCTTGTCAAATATGTAAACAGCATGTTTTTGCAGGTGCTAAAAACCAGACTCTGAGTGTGTGTGTGTGTGTGTGTGTGTGTGTGTGTGTGTGTGTGTGTGTGTGTGTGTGTGTGTGTGTGTGTATGTTGGCGTGTGTGTATATGTGTGTGTATCCTGCAGTACTCTGTACTCCTGCAGTGGCCAAAAAGACTTTTAAGAATGTGGATTTTTGGGTCATCTTTGGCGCCCCCTAGAACTGCAGTACTCTGTACTCCTGCAGTGGCCAAAATGACTTTTAAGAATGTGGATTTTTGGGTCATCTTTGGCGCCCCCTAGAACGTAAACCGTGGGGTGCAGCGTCATGATTTTTACAACTTTGAATGGGCATGGGGTGTAGATTGCCCTGAGCAAATTTGGTATCGGTGGGACGAAAGCCTTAGGAGGAGATAGCCACATTCCAATGTGTGCGAATCGGCAAAAAATGCAAAATAGCCCTTTAACCGTACATTATACAGATACGCGCTCTTTGACTTTTTCGTAGATCTAATTGAGATACACATGATTGTCAATTTTTGTGTCAATATGACAAAGCGTTCAGGCGTGACACTCAACAATGTGTATTTTTATGTAAGGGGACAAGAAAAAATTGACTTTTTTCTCCTACCATGGGGGGGCGCTCTTTTGGGGAGTAAAAATTCCTTCACAAATGTGTTGATGGCTGGACATTGCATCATCCTAGAAAACTTGGAGGCCAGTGAGGACAAAAATAAAAAGTTATAAAACATTTAAGAATGTGGATTTTTGGGTTATTTTTGGCGCCCCCTAGAACCTAAACCATGGGGTGCAGCATCATGATTTGAATAACTTTTAATGGCCATGGGGTGTAGATTGGCCTGAGCAAATGTGGTGCCGGTGGAACGAAAGCCTTCGGAGGAGTTAGCGAAATTCCAATGTGTGCGTATCGGCAAAAAATGCGGAATAACCCTTTAACTGTACATTTGACAGATACGCGCGCATGGACTTTTTTGTAGATCTTATTGAGTTACATGTGTGTGTCAATTTTTGTGTCATTTTGACAAAGCGTATAGGCTTGACACTCAACAATGTGTATTTTCACCTTAGGGGACAAGAAAAAATGGACTTTTTTCTCCTGCCATGGGGGGGCGCTCTTTTGGGGAGTAAAAATTCCTTCACAAATGTGTTGATGGCTGGACATTGCATCATCCTAGAAAACTTGGAGGCCAGTGAGGACAAAAATAAAAAGTTATAAGACTTTTAAATATGTGGATTTTAGTGTTATCTTTGGCGCCCCCTAGAACCTAAACCTTGGGGTGCAGCGTCATGATTTTGATAACTTTTAATGGCCACGGGGTGTAGATTGGCCTGAGCAAATGTGGTGCCGGTGGAACGAAAGCCTTCGGAGGAGTTAGCGAAATTCCAATGTGTGCGGATCGGCAAAAAATGCGAAATAACCCTTTAACCGTAATTTTGACAGATACGGCCGCACTGACTTTTTTGTAGATCTTATTGAGATACATATGTGTGTCAATTTTTGTGTCAATATGACAAAGCGTACAGGCGTGACAGTCAATAGTGTGAATTTCCACCTTAGGGGGCGCTATGGAGCCATTTTGCATTTTATTGTTTGGGCGACTTCAGAATATCGAATTTTTCACCAGGCCCGGTCGTCCTGCCAAATTTCATGAGTTTTCGCCAGTGGGAAGTGGGCCATTTTCCAGTTCAAAGGGGAGGAAAAAGAAGAAACTAGGACCCCGTTGGGGCACTGGCGGGCCCGAGCCGTGTCGCGTCCCCCCCCCCCAACGTGCTGCCTCCCCGTCCCATTTGTGTCCTCTGGCCATCGCCCTCTCTGTTAACGCCCATCACTGCAAAGACCCTTTTCCTTCATCGGCGTTTGCTGTTCTTCCTGCCAGTGCGTGTTGCTTTCACTTACACTTGCCACAGCCAGCCTCGTGAGTGCCTAGCCTATTGGATATCACTGTCACCTACACAGGACAGTCATTACCTTTCTATTAATACTTTGTGTTTTAATTTCACATTAATTTCCATATTGTATAAACGACTGGAAAAAACTTGAGCCCCTGCCCCTGTATAATCATGTGCATGTCTCTGTTCTAGCTCCAAGGTGAATCTTCACTGCTCATGTTCTCCTCAGAAGCAGTCACCTCACTCCCCTCAGGTTACTGTACACATGCACCAACTGCCTGCTTCAGGTTTGGATGGAGCTTCATGGTTGTCTTTTGGAGAAATGACCAGTCAAGTTGTGTTTGAAATTTGATTTTTTTCAGGGGCAAAAGGAGCCTCTGCATTCTTGTCAAATATGTAAATAGCATGTTTTTGCAGGTGCTAAAAACCAGACTCTGAGTGTGTGTGTGTGTGTGTGTGTGCGTGTGTGTGTGTGTCTGTGTGTGCGTTCAAGTCACATGACATATTTAACCGGATGTAGCTGCAAGACGGAGCCTCGTTGACTCTCCGTTTCAACTTATCTCAAAAGTGAGGACCTCAACCTATATACCAGTTTTTAAATTGTGTTGATAGGCCAAATAAAACCAGAGTTATGATAAATTATGTCCGCGATACTTGTTTTCTGCTTATTTTGATCACGTTCGGCGCTCGATCGCGCTGTATGAGACAGGAAAACATAGCATGCAGACATTAGCGACAGGTCTTACAGGCGGAAAAGGCTTGCCAAAGGAAAAAAAAAAACACACCACAACATCTCTCCTATTGGTGGAAAACTTCACCACAACAACCAATCCAAAATTATATGGTGACTGATTGACAAGGGGCGGGCGCTTACGTTCTTCCTGCAATATGAGAAGGGAGGGAGGGACTCTCAGCAGGGATGCAGTCTGGGACACGTAGTTGCAAACCTAGCGACTTTGTTGTTAGATTCAATGACTTTTCAGACCCCCTAACAACTTTTTTTTTTAGAAAGAAAGGGACTTTTATCGACTTCTTCTGGAGTTTTGAGACTCTGACATGAAGCAGGCTTTCCTTACTGAGGAGTTAGCAACGCTGCTAAGGGTGCAGAGCCACACATGCGCTCCGAGCTCTGCATGGGAGACTGAAGCTGACAGAGCTGCAGCAGTTAGCAGGTTTCACCCTCAGAGACCACCAGGGGTTCATGTTGAGGCATTTTCAGTTTTTTTTTTTTTTTTGCCATAGACACTGTCAGCACAATCTGCAGTTACACTAACAAAAATGCTGCAAAAAACAAAGAATTATGGAAAAATTACACATGGACTAACATAGAGGAGGATCTACACAAGTTTTTTACATCATGTTTTACATCATGCATCATTTACATCATGTTTTTTTTGTAGTGGCATAAATAAAAAGTGACATTTGTGAGACTATACAGTGTTTTGTAAATAATTTTACAAAGAACACCTGAGCCATTGCCTGCATTTTGATGTAAATAGAGGTAAATTACTATGTTCTTTGTTAAAAATTTGCATATGTTCTGAAGTTTACAATTTTTATTTGAAGTTTAAGTTTTAAAAACAGTTCATCACACATATTTGTGGTTTTCACAGTAAAAACGTTACTTTTTTCCACTCGGATTTTATGTTTTGTGTGTGAATTTGGGTCCAATGTGTAAATATAGTATGTCAAAATGATAGAATAACTGTAAATTGACACAGGTGAGGTTGTGCTGAAAAAAATGATACCAGGCAAGGCAAGGTAAAAATTTTGTAAGAGGAAATATAAAGGTAAAATCTAAAGTAGTCAAAAACGGCCAATAGTGACTCACAGACTCCATAGACAAGTCCCTTTGGCGCCACTCAGTGGGCAAAACTACTTTGTCTACTGTAATGTATATTTGGGTCATCTTTGGCGCCCCCTAAAACGTAAACCGTGGGGTGCAGCGTCATGATTTTTACAACTTTGAATGGCCATGGAGTGTAGATTGGCCTGAGCAAATTTGGTGTCAGTGGGACGAAAGCCTTAGGAGGAGTTAGCGAAATTCCAATGTGTGCGAATCGGCAAAAAATGCAAAATAGCCCTTTTACCGTACATTATACAGATACGCGCTCTTTGACTTTTTCGTAGATCTAATTGAGATACACATGATTGTCAATTTTTGTGTCATTTTGCCAAAGCGTACAGGCGTGACAGTCAACAATGTGTATTTTCACCTTAGGGGACAAGAAAAAATGGACTTTTTTCTCCTGCCATGGGGGGGCGCTCTTTTAGGAAGTAAAAATTCCTTCACAAATTTGTTGATGGCTGGACATTGCATCATCCTAAAAAACTTGGAGGCCAGTGAGGACAAAAATAAAAAGTTATAACACTTTTAAAAATGTGGATTTTTGGGTTATCTTTGGCGCCCCCTAGAACGTAAACCGTAGGGTGCAGCGTCATGATTTGAATAACTTTTAATGGCCATGGGGTGTAATTTGGCCTGAGCAAATGTGGTGCCGGTGGAACGAAAGCCTTCGGAGGAGTTAGCGAAATTCCAATGTGTGCGAATCGGCAAAAAATGCGGAATAACCCTTTAACCGTACATTAGACAGATACGCGCGCATGGACTTTTTTGTAGATCTTATTGAGATACATGTGTGTGTCAATTTTTGTGTCATTTTGACAAAGCGTACAGGCGTGACACTCAACAATGTGTATTTTCACCTTAGGGGACAAGAAAAAATGGACTTTTTTCTCCTGCCATGGGGGGGCGCTCTTTTGGGGAGTAAAAATTCCTTCACAAATGTGTTGATGGCTGGACATTGCATCATCCTAGAAAACTTGGAGGCCAGTGAGGGCAAAAATAAAAAGTTATAAGACTTTTAAAAATGTGGATTTTAGGGTTATCTTTGGCGCCCCCTAGAACCTAAACCGTGGGGTGCAGCGTCATGATTTGAATAACTTTTAATGGCCATGGGGTGTAGATTGGCCTGAGCAAATGTGGTGCCGGTGGAACGAAAGCCTTCGGAGGAGTTAGCGAAATTCCAATGTGTGCGGATCGGCAAAAAATGCGAAATAACCCTTTAACCGTACATTTGACAGATACGCCCGCACTGACTTTTTTGTAGATCTTATTGAGATACATGTGTGTGTCAATTTTTGTGTCATTTTGACAAAGCGTACAGGCGTGACAGTCAATAGTGTGAATTTTCACCTTAGGGGGCGCTATGGAGCCATTTTGCATTTTCTTGTTTGGGCGACTTCGGAATATCGAATTTTTCACCAGGCCCGGTCGTCCTGCCAAATTTCCTGAGTTTTCGCCAGTGGGAAGTGGGCCATTTTCCAGTTCAAAGGGGAGGAAAAAGAAGAAAGAAAGAAAGAAAGAAACAAAGAAAAACCCCTTGGGGAATAATAGGGCTCTCGCAGCTGCTTAGCAGCTACGCTCGGGCCCTAAAGAAGGAAACATGCAGGAACAAGAGGGCTCTCGCAGCTGCTTAGCAGCTACGCTCGGGCCCTAAAGAAAGAAAGAAAGAAAGAAACAAAGAAAAACCACTTGGGGAATAATAGGGCTCTCGCAGCTGCTTAGCAGCTACGCTCGGGCCCTAACTCGGGCCCCGTTGGGGCACTGGCGGGCCCGAGCTGTGTCGCCCCCCCCCCCCCCCAACGCGCTGCCTCCCCGTCCCATTCGGGTCCTCTGGCCATCGCCCTCTCTGGTAACGCCCATCACTGCAAAGAGCCTTTTCCTTCATCGGTGTTTGCTGTTCTTCCTGCCAGTGCGTGTTGCTTTCACTAACACTTGCAACAGCCAGCCTCGTGAGTGCCTAGCCCATTGGATATCACTGTCACCTACACAGGACAGTCATTACCTTTCTATTAATTCTTTGTTTTTAATTTCACATTAATTTCCATATTGTATAAATGACTGGAAAAAACTTGAGCCCCTGCCCCTGTATTATCATGTGCACGTCCCTGTTCTAGCTCCAAGGTGAATCTTCACTGCTCATGTTCTCCTCAGAAGCAGTCACCTCACTCCCCTCAGGTTACTGTACACATGCACCAACTATCTGCTTCAGGTTTGGATGGAGCTTCATGGTTGTCTTTTGGAGAAATGACCAGTCAAGTTGTGTTTGAAATCTGATTTTTTTCAGGGGCAAAAGGAGCCTCTGCATTCTTGTCAAATATGTTAATAACATGTTTTTGCAGGTGCTAAAAAAAGACTCTGTGTGTGTGTGTGTGTGTGTGTGTGTGTGTGTGTGTGTGTGTGTGTGTGTGTGTGTGTGTGTGTGTCCTGCAGTACTCTGAGAAGAAGAATAAGCATATTTCTGAGGTGAATTTTGAAGATTCATCTGAGAGTTAGGAGGGCTGATCATTCCCTTACCCTTTAGATGTCTGTCTATGTCTGTTTTTGTGTGATAATGAAAGAATCCCAACTCAAAAAGGCTCTGTTGATCTTTTTTTTGTTGTTCATTCATATTCAAACCACTATTTTATATCACTGCTAATACGCCAAGACCATTTTATGGTATTTAGCTTAATTATTTCTATACATTTTGCAAGGAAAGAAACCAAGGACTTCACTAAAATTTCCATAAACTTTAGGAAAGGACCTCTGGTTGTTTAAGGGGGTCATTACTGCAAAAACATATTCTTCCTAAATTTTGAAGGTCAAAGCTTAGATCCATTAGGTTTAAATAGAAAAGGCATTTAAATATGTTAGGATTATAGCATATGACAAATGTGTGCCTCTCAGTGGCCATAACTACTTTGTCTGCTGGCTCTGCAGTCGATTGACGTTCCCCAGCGTTCAAGTCACATGACATATTTAACCGGATGTAGCTGCAAGACGGAGCCTCGTTGATTCTCCGTTTCAACTTATCTCAAAAGTGAGGACCTCAAACTATACACCAGTTTTCAAATTGTGTTGATAGGCCAAATAAAACCAGAGTTATGATAAATTATGTCCGCGATACTTTTTTCTGCTTATTTTGATCACGTTCGGCGCTCGATCGCGCTGTATGAGACAGGAAAACATAGCATGCAGACATTAGCGAAAGCTCTTACAGGCGGAAAAGACTTGCCAAAAGAAAAGAAAAAAACACACCACAACATCTCTCCTATTGGTGGAAAACTTCACCACAACAACCAATCCAAAATTATATGGTGACTGATTGACACGGGACGGGAGCTCGCGTTCTTCCTGCAACTTGAGAAGGGAGGGAGGGACTCTCAGCAGGGATGCAGTCTGGGACACGTAGTTGCAAACCTAGCGACTTTGTTGTTAGATTCAATGACTTTTCAGACCCCCTAATGACTTTTTTTTTAGAAAGAAAGGGACTTTTATCGACTTCTTCTGGAGTTCTGGAGTTTAGAGACTCTGACATGAAGCAGGCTTTCCTTACTGAGGAGTTAGCAACGCTGCTAAGGGTGCAGAGCCACACATGCGCTCCGAGCTCTGCATGGGAGACTGAAGCTGACAGAGCTGCAGCAGTTAGCAGGTTTAACCCTCAGAGACCACCAGGGGTTCATGTTGAGGCATTTTCAGTTTTTTTTTTTTTTTGCCATAGACACTGTCAGCACAATCTGCAGTTACACTAACAAAAATGCTGCAAAAAACAAAGAATTATGGAAAAATTACACATGGACTGACATAGAGGAGGATCTACACAAGTTTTTTACATCATGTTTTACATCATGCATCATTTACATCATGTTTTTTTGTAGTGGCATAAATAAAAAGTGACATTTGTGAGACTATACAGTGTTTTGTAAATAATTTTACAAAGAACACCTGGGCCATTGCCTGCATTTTGATGTAAATAGAGGTAAATTACTATGTTCTTCGTTAAAAATTTGCATATGTTTTGAAGTTTACAATTTTTATTTGAAGTTTAAGTTTTAAAAACAGTTCATCACACATATTTGTGGTTTAATTTCACATTAATTTCCATATTGTATAAATGACTGGAAAAAACTTGAGCCCCTGCCCCTGTATAATTATGTGCACGTCCCTGTTCTAGCTCCAAGGTGAATCTTCACTGCTCATGTTCTCCTCAGAAATAGTCACCTCACTCCCCTCAGGTTACTGTACACATGCACCAACTATCTGCTCCAGGTTTGGATGGAGCTTCATGGTTGTCTTTTGGAGAAATGAACAGTCAAGTTGTGTTTGAAATTTGATTTTTTTCAGGGGCAAAAGGAGCCTCTGCATTCTTGTCAAATATGTAAACAGCATGTTTTTGCAGGTGCTAAAAAACAGACTCTGAGTGTGTGTGTGTGTGTGTGTGTGTATGTGTGTGTATCCTGCAGTACTCTGTACTCCTGCAGTGGCCAAAAAGACTTTTAAGAATGTGGATTTTTGGGTCATCTTTGGCGCCCCCTAGAACTGCAGTACTCTGTACTCCTGCAGTGGCCAAAATGACTTTTAAGAATGTGGATTTTTGGGTCATCTTTGGCGCCCCCTAGAACGTAAACCGTGGGGTGCAGCGTCATGATTTTTACAACTTTGAATGGGCATGGGGTGTAGATTGCCCTGAGCAAATTTGGTATCGGTGGGACGAAAGCCTTAGGAGGAGATAGCCACATTCCAATGTGTGCGAATCGGCAAAAAATGCGAAATAGCCCTTTAACCGTACATTATACAGATACGCGCTTTTTGACTTTTTCGTAGATCTAATTGAGATACACATGATTGTCAATTTTTGTGTCAATATGACAAAGCGTTCAGGCGTGACACTCAACAATGTGTATTTTCATGTAAGGGGACAAGAAAAAATTGACTTTTTTCTCCTGCCATGGGGGGGCGCTCTTTTGGGGAGTAAAAATTCCTTCACAAATGTGTTGATGGCTGGACATTGCATCATCCTAGAAAACTTGGAGGGCAGTGAGGACAAAAATAAAAAGTTATAAGACTTTTAAGAATGTGGATTTTGGGTTATCTTTGGCGCCCCCTAGAACGTAAACCGTGGGGTGCAGCGTCATGATTTGTACAACTTTTAATGGCCATGGGGGGTAGATTGGCCTGCACAAATGTGGTGTCGGTCGAACGAAAGCCTTCGGAGGAGTTAGCGAAATTCCAATGTGTGCAGATCTGCAAAAAATGCAAAATAACCCATTAACCGTACATTTGACAGATACGCCCGCACTGACTTTTTTGTAGATCTTATTGAGATACATGTGTGTGTCAATTTTTGTGTCAATATGACAAAGCGTACAGCCGTCATGTGAATTTTCACCTTAGGGGGCGCTATGGAGCCATTTTGCATTTTATTGTTTGGGCGACTTCAGAATATCGAATTTTTCACCAGGCCCGGTCGTCCTGCCAAATTTCCTGAGTTTTCGCCAGTGGGAAGTGGGCCATTTTCCAGTTTAAAGCGGAGGAAAAATAATAACGAAAGAAGGAAACATGCAGGAACAAGAGGGCTCTCGCAGCTGCTTAGCAGCTACGCTCGGGCCCTAACTAGGACCCCGTTGGGGCACTGGCGGGCCCGAGCCGTGTCGCGTCCCCCCCCCCCAACGTGCTGCCTCCCCGTCCCATTTGTGTCCTCTGGCCATCGCCCTCTCTGGTAACGCCCATCACTGCAAAGACCCTTTTCCTTCATCTGCGTTTGCTGTTCTTCCTGCCAGTGCGTGTTGCTTTCACTTACACTTGCCACAGCCAGCCTCGTGAGTGCCTAGCCTATTGGATATCACTGTCACCTACACAGGACAGTCATTACCTTTCTATTAATACTTTGTGTTTTAATTTCACATTAATTTCCTTATTGTATAAACGACTGGAAAAAACTTGAGCCCCTGCCCCTGTATAATCATGTGCATGTCTCTGTTCTAGCTCCAAGGTGAATCTTCACTGCTCATGTTCTCCTCAGAAGCACTCACCTCACTCCCCTCAGGTTACTGTACACATGCACCAACTGCCTGCTTCAGGTTTGGATGGAGCTTCATGGTTGTCTTTTGGAGAAATGACCAGTCAAGTTGTGTTTGAAATTTGATTTTTTTCAGGGGCAAAAGGAGCCTCTGCATTCTTGTCAAATATGTAAATAGCATGTTTTTGCAGGTGCTAAAAACCAGACTCTGAGTGTGTGTGTGTGTGTGTGTGTGTGTGTGTGTGTGTGTGTGCGTGTGCGTGTGTGTGTGTCTGTGTGTGCGTTCAAGTCACATGACATATTTAACCGGATGTAGCTGCAAGACGGAGCCTCGTTGACTCTCCGTTTCAACTTATCTCAAAAGTGAGGACCTCAAGCTATATACCAGTTTTTAAATTGTGTTGATAGGCCAAATAAAACCAGAGTTATGATAAATTATGTCCGCAATACTTTTTTTCTGCTTATTTTGATCACGTTCGGCGCTCGATCGCGCTGTATGAGACAGGAAAACATAGCATGCAGACATTAGCGACAGCTCTTACAGGCGGAAAAGGCTTGCCAAAAGAAAAAAAAAACACACCACAACATCTCTCCTATTGGTGGAAAACTTCACCACAACAACCAATCCAAAATTATATGGTGACTGATTGACAAGGGGGGGGCGCTTACGTTCTTCCTGCAACATGAGAAGGGAGGGAGGGACTCTCAGCAGGGATGCAGTCTGGGACACGTAGTTGCAAACCTAGCGACTTTGTTGTTAGATTCAATGACTTTTCAGACCCCCTAACGACTTTTTTTAGAAAGAAAGGGACTTTTATCGACTTCTTCTGGAGTTTAGAGACTCTGACATGAAGCAGGCTTTCCTTACTGAGGAGTTAGCAACGCTGCTAAGGGTGCAGAGCCACACATGCGCTCAGAGCTCTGCATGGGAGACTGAAGCTGACAGAGCTGCAGCAGTTAGCAGGTTTCACCCTCAGAGACCACCAGGGGTTCATGTTGAGGCATTTTAATTAATTTTTTTTTTTTGTGCCATAGACACTGTCAGCACAATCTGCAGTTACACTAACAAAAATGCTGCAAAAAACAAAGAATTATGGAAAAATTACACATGGACTGACATAGAGGAGGATCTACACAAGTTTTTTACATCATGTTTTACATCATGCATCATTTACATCATGTTTTTTTGTAGTGGCATAAATAAAAAGTGACATTTGTGAGACTATACAGTGTTTTGTAAATAATTTTACAAAGAACGCCTGGGCCATTGCCTGCATTTTGATGTAAATAGAGGTAAATCACTATGTTCTTTGTTAAAAATTTGCATATGTTTTGAAGTTTACAATTTTTATTTGAAGTTTAAGTTTTAAAAACAGTTCATCACACATATTTGTGGTTTTCACAGTAAAAATGTTACTTTTTTCCACTCGGATTTTATGTTTTGTGTGTGAATTTGGGTCCATTGTGTAAATTCAGTATGTCAACATGATAAAATAACTGTAAATTCGCACAGGTGAGGTTGTGCTGAAAAAAATGATACCAGGCAAGGCACGTGATTGTCAAATGTTGTGTCAATATGACAAAGCGTATAGGCGTGAATCTCAACAATATGTATTTTCACCTTAGAGGACAAGAAAAAATGGACTTTTTTCTCCTGCCATGGGGGGCGCTCTTTTGGGGAGTAAAAATTCCTTTACAAATGTGTTGATGGCTGGACATTGCATCATCCTAGAAAACTTGGAGGCCAGTGAGGACAAAAATAAAAAGTTATAAGACTTTTAAATATGTGGATTTTAGGGTTATCTTTGGCGCCCCCTAGAACCTAAACCGTGGGGTGCAGCGTCATGATTTTGATAACTTTTAATGGCCATGGGGTGTAGATTGGCCTGAGCAAATGTGGTGCCGGTGGAACGAAAGCCTTAGGAGGAGTTAGCGAAATTCCAATGTGTGCGGATCGGCAAAAAATGCGGAATAACCCTTTAACCGTACATTTGACAGATATGCGCGCATTGACTTTTTCGTAGATCTTATTGAGTTACATGTGTGTGTCAATTTTTGTGTCATTTTGACAAAGCGTATAGGCGTGACACTCAACAATGTGTATTTTCACCTTAGGGGACAAGAAAAAATGGACTTTTTTCTCCTGCCATGGGGGGGCGCTCTTTTGGGGAGTAAAAATTCCTTTACAAATGTGTTGATGGCTGGACATTGCATCATCCTAGAAAACTTGGAGGCCAGTGAGGACAAAAATAAAAAGTTATAAGACTTTTAAATATGTGGATTTTAGGGTTATCTTTGGCGCCCCCTAGAACCTAAACCGTGGGGTGCAGCGTCATGATTTTGATAACTTTTAATGGCCATGGGGTGTAGATTGGCCTGAGCAAATGTGGTGCCGGTGGAACGAAAGCCTTAGGAGGAGTTAGCGAAATTCCAATGTGTGCGGATCGGCAAAAAATGCGGAATAACCCTTTAACCGTACATTTGACAGATACGCCCGCACTGACTTTTTTGTAGATCTTATTGAGATACATGTGTGTGTCAATTTTTGTGTCATTTTGACAAAGCGTACAGGCGTGACAGTCAATAGTGTGAATTTTCACCTTAGGGGGCGCTATGGAGCCATTTTGCATTTTCTTGTTTGGGCGACTTTGGAATATCAAATTTTTCACCAGGCCCGGTCGTCCTGCCAAATTTCCTGAGTTTTCGCCAGTGGGAAGTGGGCCATTTTCCAGTTCAAAGGGGAGGAAAAAGAAGAAAGAAAGAAACAAAGAAAAACCCCTACAGGAATAACAGGGCCTACGCCCGGCTGCTCTGCAGCTGGCTCGGGCCCTAACTAGGACCCCGTTGGGGCACTGGCGGGCCCGAGCCGTGTCGCGTCCCCCCCCCAACGTGCTGCCTCCCCGTCCCATTTGTGTCCTCTGGCCATCGCCCTCTCTGGTAACGCCCATCACTGCAAAGACCCTTTTCCTTCATCGGCGTTTGCTGTTCTTCTTGCCAGTGCGTGTTGCTTTCACTTACACTTGCCACAGCCAGCCTCGTGAGTGCCTAGCCTATTGGATATCACTGTCACCTACACAGGACAGTCATAACCTTTCTATTAATACTTTGTGTTTTAATTTCACATTAATTTCCATATTGTATAAACGACTGGAAAAAACTTGAGCCCCTGCCCCTGTATAATCATGTGCATGTCTCTGTTCTAGCTCCAAGGTGAATCTTCACTGCTCATGTTCTCCTCAGAAGCACTCACCTCACTCCCCTCAGGTTACTGTACACATGCACCAACTGCCTGCTTCAGGTTTGGATGGAGCTTCATGGTTGTCTTTTGGAGAATTGAGCAGTCAAGTTGTGTTTGAAATTTGATTTTTTTCAGGGGCAAAAGGAGCCTCTGCATTCTTGTCAAATATGTAAATAGCATGTTTTTGCAGGTGCTAAAAACCAGACTCTGAGTGTGTGTGTGTGTGTGTGTGTGTGTGTGTGTGCGTGTGTGTGTGTCTGTGTGTGCGTTCAAGTCACATGACATATTTAACCGGATGTAGCTGCAAGACGGAGCCTCGTTGACTCTCCGTTTCAACTTATCTCAAAAGTGAGGACCTCAACCTATATACCAGTTTTTAAATTGTGTTGATAGGCCAAATAAAACCAGAGTTATGATAAATTATGTCCGCGATACTTTTTTTCTGCTTATTTTGATCACGTTCGGCGCTCGATCGCGCTGTATGAGACAGGAAAACATAGCATGCAGACATTAGCGACAGGTCTTACAGGCGGAAAAGGCTTGCCAAAAGAAAAAAACCACACCACAACATCTCTCCTATTGGTGGAAAACTTCACCACAACAACCAATCCAAAATTATATGGTGACTGATTGACAAGGGGCGGGTGCTTACGTTCTTCCTGCAACATGAGAAGCGAGGGAGGGACTCTCAGCAGGGATGCAGTCTGGGACACGTAGTTGCAAACCTAGCGACTTTGTTGTTAGATTCAATGACTTTTCAGACCCCCTAACGACTTTTTTTTAGAAAGAAAGGGACTTTTATCGACTTCTTCTGGAGTTTAGAGACTCTGACATGAAGCAGGCTTTCCTTACTGAGGAGTTAGCAACGCTGCTAAGGGTGCAGAGCCACACATGCGCTCAGAGCTCTGCATGGGAGACTGAAGCTGACAGAGCTGCAGCAGTTAGCAGGTTTCACCCTCAGAGACCACCAGGGGTTCATGTTGAGGCATTTTAATTTTTTTTTTTTTTTGTGCCATAGACACTGTCAGCACAATCTGCAGTTACACTAACAAAAATGCTGCAAAAAACAAAGAATTATGGAAAAATTACACATGGACTGACATAGAGGAGGATCTACACAAGTTTTTTACATCATGTTTTACATCATGCATCATTTACATCATGTTTTTTTGTAGTGGCATAAATAAAAAGTGACATTTGTGAGACTATACAGTGTTTTGTAAATAATTTTACAAAGAACGCCTGGGCCATTGCCTGCATTTTGATGTAAATAGAGGTAAATCACTATGTTCTTTGTTAAAAATTTGCATATGTTTTGAAGTTTACAATTTTTATTTGAAGTTTAAGTTTTAAAAACAGTTCATCACACATATTTGTGGTTTTCACAGTAAAAATGTTACTTTTTTCCACTCGGATTTTATGTTTTGTGTGTGAATTTGGGTCCATTGTGTAAATTCAGTATGTCAACATGATAAAATAACTGTAAATTCGCACAGGTGAGGTTGTGCTGAAAAAAATGATACCAGGCAAGGCACGTGATTGTCAAATTTTGTGTCAATATGACAAAGCGTATAGGCGTGAATCTCAACAATATGTATTTTCACCTTAGGGGACAAGAAAAAATGGACTTTTTTCTCCTGCCATGGGGGGGCGCTCTTTTGGGGAGTAAAAATTCCTTCACAAATGTGTTGATGGCTGGACATTGCATCATCCTAGAAAACTTGGAGGCCAGTGAGGACAAAAATAAAAAGTTATAAAACTTTTAAATATGTGGATTTTAGGGTTATCTTTGGCGCCCCCTAGAACCTAAACCGTGGGGTGCAGCGTCATGATTTGAATAACTTTTAATGGCCATGGGGTGTAGATTGGCCTGAGCAAATGTGGTGCCGGTGGAATGAAAGCCTTAGGAGGAGTTAGCCACATTCCAATGTGTGCGGATCGGCAAAAAATGCGAAAAAACCCTTTAACCATACATTTGACAGATACGCGCGCATTGACTTTTTCGTAGATCTTATTGAGTTACATGTGTGTGTCAATTTTTGTGTCATTTTGACAAAGCGTATAGGCGTGACACTCAACAATGTGTATTTTCACCTTAGGGGACAAGAAAAAATGGACTTTTTTCTCCTGCCATGGGGGGGCGCTCTTTTGGGGAGTAAAAATTCCTTCACAAATGTGTTGATGGCTGGACATTGCATCATCCTAGAAAACTTGGAGGCCAGTGAGGACAAAAATAAAAAGTTATAAGACTTTTAAATATGTGGATTTTAGTGTTATCTTTGGCGCCCCCTAGAACCTAAACCTTGGGGTGCAGCGTCATGATTTTGATAACTTTTAATGGCCACGGGGTGTAGATTGGCCTGAGCAAATGTGGTGCCGGTGGAACGAAAGCCTTCGGAGGAGTTAGCGAAATTCCAATGTGTGCGGATCGGCAAAAAATGCGAGATAACCCTTTAACCGTACATTTGACAGATACGCGCGCATTGACTTTTTCGTAGATCTTATTGAGTTACATGTGTGTGTCAATTTTTGTGTCATTTTGACAAAGCGTGTAGGCGTGACACTGAACAATGTGTATTTTCACCTTAGGGGACAAGAAAAATTGGACTTTTTTCTCCTGCCATGGGGGGGCGCTCTTTTGGGGAGTAAAAATTCCTTCACAAATGTGTTGATGGCTGGACATTGCATCATCCTAGAAAACTTGGAGGCCAGTGAGGACAAAAATAAAAAGTTATAAGACTTTTAAATATGTGGATTTTAGTGTTATCTTTGGCGCCCCCTAGAACCTAAACCTTGGGGTGCAGCGTCATGATTTTGATAACTTTTAATGGCCACGGGGTGTAGATTGGCCTGAGCAAATGTGGTGCCGGTGGAACGAAAGCCTTCGGAGGAGTTAGCGAAATTCCAATGTGTGCGGATCGGAAAAAAATGCGAAATAACCCTTTAACCGTAATTTTGACAGATACGGCCGCACTGACTTTTTTGTAGATCTTATTGAGATACATATGTGTGTCAATTTTTGTGTCAATATGACAAAGCGTACAGGCGTGACAGTCAATAGTGTGAATTTCCACCTTAGGGGGCGCTATGGAGCCATTTTGCATTTTATTGTTTGGGCGACTTCAGAATATCGAATTTTTCACCAGGCCCGGTCGTCCTGCCAAATTTCATGAGTTTTCGCCAGTGGGAAGTGGGCCATTTTCCAGTTCAAAGGGGAGGAAAAAGAAAAAAGAAAGAAAGAAACAAAGAAAAACCACTTGGGGAATAATAGGGCCTACGCCCGGCTGCTCTGCAGCTGGCTCGGGCCCTAACTAGGACCCCGTTGGGGCACTGGCGGGCCCGAGCCGTGTCGCGTCCCCCCCCAACGTGCTGCCTCCCCGTCCCATTTGTGTCCTCTGGCCATCGCCCTCTCTGGTAACGCCCATCACTGCAAAGACCTTTTTCCTTCATCGGCGTTTGCTGTTCTTCCTGCCAGTGCGTGTTGCTTTCACTTACACTTGCCACAGCCAGCCTCGTGAGTGCCTAGCCTATTGGATATCACTGTCACCTACACAGGACAGTCATTACCTTTCTATTAATACTTTGTGTTTTAATTTCACATTAATTTCCATATTGTATAAACGACTGGAAAAAACTTGAGCCCCTGCCCCTGTATAATCATGTGCATGTCTCTGTTCTAGCTCCAAGGTGAATCTTCACTGCTCATGTTCTCCTCAGAAGCACTCACCTCACTCCCCTCAGGTTACTGTACACATGCACCAACTGCCTGCTTCAGGTTTGGATGGAGCTTCATGGTTGTCTTTTGGAGAAATGAGCAGTCAAGTTGTGTTTGAAATTTGATTTTTTTCAGGGGCAAAAGGAGCCTCTGCATTCTTGTCAAATATGTAAATAGCATGTTTTTGCAGGTGCTAAAAACCAGACTCTGAGTGTGTGTGTGTGTGTGTGTGTGTGTGTGTGTGTGTGTGTGTGTGTGTGTGAGTGTCTGTGTGTGCGTTCAAGTCACATGACATATTTAACCGGATGTAGCTGCAAGACGGAGCCTTGTTGACTCTCCGTTTCAACTTATCTCAAAAGTGAGGACCTCAACCTATATACCAGTTTTTAAATTGTGTTGATAGGCCAAATAAAACCAGAGTTATGATAAATTATGTCCGCGATACTTGTTTTCTGCTTATTTTGATCACGTTCGGCGCTCGATCGCGCTGTATGAGACAGGAAAACATAGCATGCAGACATTAGCGACAGGTCTTACAGGCGGAAAAGGCTTGCCAAAAGAAAAAAAAACACACCACAACATCTCTCCTATTGGTGGAAAACTTCCTCCACAACAACCAATCCAAAATTATATGGTGACTGATTGACAAGGGGCGGACGCTTACGTTCTTCCTGCAACATGAGAAGGGAGGGAGGGACTCTCAGCAGGGATGCAGTCTGGGACACGTAGTTGCAAACCTAGCGACTTTGTTGTTAGATTCAATGACTTTTCAGACCCCCTAACGACTTTTTTTTAGAAAGAAAGGGACTTTTATCGACTTCTTCTGGAGTTTAGAGACTCTGACATGAAGCAGGCTTTCCTTACTGAGGAGTTAGCAACGCTGCTAAGGGTGCAGAGCCACACATGCGCTCAGAGCTCTGCATGGGAGACTGAAGCTGACAGAGCTGCAGCAGTTAGCAGGTTTCACCCTCAGAGACCACCAGGGGTTCATGTTGAGGCATTTTAATTTTTTTTTTTTTGTGCCATAGACACTGTCAGCACAATCTGCAGTTACACTAACAAAAATGCTGCAAAAAACAAAGAATTATGGAAAAATTACACATGGACTGACATACAGGAGGATCTACACAAGTTTTTTACATCATGTTTTACATCATGCATCATTTACATCATGTTTTTTTGTAGTGGCATAAATAAAAAGTGACATTTGTGAGACTATACAGTGTTTTGTAAATAATTTTACAAAGAACGCCTGGGCCATTGCCTGCATTTTGATGTAAATAGAGGTAAATCACTATGTTCTTTGTTAAAAATTTGCATATGTTTTGAAGTTTACAATTTTTATTTGAAGTTTAAGTTTTAAAAACAGTTCATCACACATATTTGTGGTTTTCACAGTAAAAATGTTACTTTTTTCCACTCGGATTTTATGTTTTGTGTGTGAATTTGGGTCCATTGTGTAAATTCAGTATGTCAACATGATGAAATAACTGTAAATTCGCACAGGTGAGGTTGTGCTGAAAAAAATGATACCAGGCAAGGCACGTGATTGTCAAATTTTGTGTCAATATGACAAAGCGTATAGGCGTGAATCTCAACAATATGTATTTTCACCTTAGGGGACAAGAAAAAATGGACTTTTTTCTCCTGCCATGGGGGGGCGCTCTTTTGGGGAGTAAAAATTCCTTCACAAATGTGTTGATGGCTGGACATTGCATCATCCTAGAAAACTTGGAGGCCAGTGAGGACAAACTTAAAAGTTATAAGACTTTTAAATATGTGGATTTTAGGGTTATCTTTGGCGCCCCCTAGAACCTAAACCGTGGGGTGCAGCGTCATGATTTTGATAACTTTTAATGGCCATGGGGTGTAGATTGGCCTGAGCAAATGTGGTGCCGGTGGAACGAAAGCCTTAGGAGGAGTTAGCCACATTCCAATGTGTGCGGATCGGCAAAAAATGCGGAATAACCCTTTAACCGTACATTTGACAGATACGCGCGCATTGACTTTTTCGTAGATCTTATTGAGTTACATGTGTGTGTCAATTTTTGTGTCATTTTGACAAAGCGTATAGGCGTGACACTCAACAATGTGTATTTTCACCTTAGGAGACAAGAAAAAATGGACTTTTTTCTCCTGCCATGGGGGGGCGCTCTTTTGGGGAGTAAAAATTCCTTCACAAATGTGTTGATGGCTGGACATTGCATCATCCTAGAAAACTTGGAGGCCAGTGAGGACAAAAATAAAAAGTTATAAGACTTTTAAATATGTGGATTTTAGTGTTATCTTTGGCGCCCCCTAGAACCTAAACCTTGGGGTGCAGCGTCATGATTTTGATAACTTTTAATGGCCACGGGGTGTAGATTGGCCTGAGCAAATGTGGTGCCGGTGGAACGAAAGCCTTCGGAGGAGTTAGCGAAATTTCAATGTGTGCAGATCGGCAAAAAATGCGAAATAACCCTTTAACCGTAATTTTGACAGATACGGCCGCACTGACTTTTTTGTAGATCTTATTGAGATACATGTGTGTGTCAATTTTTGTGTCATTTTGACAAAGCGTACAGTCGTGACAGTGAATAGTGTGAATTTTCATCTTAGGGGGCGCTATGGAGCCATTTTGCATTTTATTGTTTTGGCGACTTCAGAATATCAAATTTTTCACCAGGCCCGGTCGTCCTGCCAAATTTCATGAGTTTTCGCCAGTGGGAAGTGGGCCATTTTCCAGTTCAAAGGGGAGGAAAAAGAAAAAAGAAAGAAAGAAACAAAGAACTAGGACCCCGTTGGGGCACTGGCGGGCCCGAGCCGTGTCGCGTCCCCCCCAACGTGCTGCCTCCCCGTCCCATTTGTGTTCTCTGGCCATCGCCCTCTCTGGTAACGCCCATCACTGCAAAGACCCTTTTCCTTCATCGGCGTTTGCTGTTCTTCCTGCCAGTGCGTGTTGCTTTCACTTACACTTGCCACAGCCAGCCTCGTGAGTGCCTAGCCTATTGGATATCACTGTCACCTACACAGGACAGTCATTACCTTTCTATTAATACTTTGTGTTTTAATTTCACATTAATTTCCATATTGTATAAACGACTGGAAAAAACTTGAGCCCCTGCCCCTGTATAATCATGTGCATGTCTCTGTTCTAGCTCCAAGGTGAATCTTCACTGCTCATGTTCTCCTCAGAAGCACTCACCTCACTCCCCTCAGGTTACTGTACACATGCACCAACTATCTGCTTCAGGTTTGAAATGGAGCTTCATGGTTGTCTTTTGGAGAAATGAACAGTCAAGTTGTGTTTGAAATTTGATTTTTTTCAGGGGCAAAAGGAAGCCTCTGCATTCTTGTCAAATATGTAAACAGCATGTTTTTGCAGGTGCTAAAAAACAGACTCTGAGTGTGTGTGTGTGTGTGTGTGTGTGTGTGTGTGTGTGTGTGTGTGTGTGTATGTTGGCGTGTGTGTATATGTGTGTGTATCCTGCAGTACTCTGTACTCCTGCAGTGGCCAAAAAGACTTTTAAGAATGTGGATTTTTGGGTCATCTTTGGCGCCCCCTAGAACTGCAGTACTCTGTACTCCTGCAGTGGCCAAAATGACTTTTAAGAATGTGGATTTTTGGGTCATTTTTGGCGCCCCCTAGAACGTAAACCGTGGGGTGCAGCGTCATGATTTTTACAACTTTGAATGGGCATGGGGTGTAGATTGCCCTGAGCAAATTTGGTATCGGTGGGACGAAAGCCTTAGGAGGAGATAGCCACATTCCAATGTGTGCGAATCGGCAAAAAATGCAAAATAGCCCTTTAACCGTACATTATACAGATACACGCTCTTTGACTTTTTCGTAGATCTAATTGAGATACACATGATTGTCAATTTTTGTGTCAATATGACAAAGCGTTCAGGCGTGACACTCAACAATGTGTATTTTTATGTAAGGGGACAAGAAAAAATTGACTTTTTTCTCCTACCATGGGGGGGCGCTCTTTTGGGGAGTAAAAATTCCTTCACAAATGTGTTGATGGCTGGACATTGCATCATCCTAGAAAACTTGGAGGCCAGTGAGGACAAAAATAAAAAGTTATAAAACATTTAAGAATGTGGATTTTTGGGTTATTTTTGGCGCCCCCTAGAACCTAAACCATGGGGTGCAGCATCATGATTTGAATAACTTTTAATGGCCATGGGGTGTAGATTGGCCTGAGCAAATGTGGTGCCGGTGGAACGAAAGCCTTCGGAGGAGTTAGCGAAATTCCAATGTGTGCGTATCGGCAAAAAATGCGGAATAACCCTTTAACTGTACATTTGACAGATACGCGCGCATGGACTTTTTTGTAGATCTTATTGAGTTACATGTGTGTGTCAATTTTTGTGTCATTTTGACAAAGCGTATAGGCGTGACACTCAACAATGTGTATTTTCACCTTAGGGGACAAGAAAAAATGGACTTTTTTCTCCTGCCATGGGGGGGCGCTCTTTTGGGAGTAAAAATTCCTTCACAAATGTGTTGATGGCTGGACATTGCATCATCCTAGAAAACTTGGAGGCCAGTGAGGACAAAAATAAAAAGTTATAAGACTTTTAAATATGTGGATTTTAGTGTTATCTTTGGCGCCCCCTAGAACCTAAACCTTGGGGTGCAGCGTCATGATTTTGATAACTTTTAATGGCCACGGGGTGTAGATTGGCCTGAGCAAATGTGGTGCCGGTGGAACGAAAGCCTTCGGAGGAGTTAGCGAAATTCCAATGTGTGCGGATCGGCAAAAAATGCGAAATAACCCTTTAACCGTAATTTTGACAGATACGGCCGCACTGACTTTTTTGTAGATCTTATTGAGATACATATGTGTGTCAATTTTTGTGTCAATATGACAAAGCGTACAGGCGTGACAGTCAATAGTGTGAATTTCCACCTTAGGGGGCGCTATGGAGCCATTTTGCATTTTATTGTTTGGGCGACTTCAGAATATCGAATTTTTCACCAGGCCCGGTCGTCCTGCCAAATTTCATGAGTTTTCGCCAGTGGGAAGTGGGCCATTTTCCAGTTCAAAGGGGAGGAAAAAGAAGAAAGAAAGAAAGAACTAGGGCCCCGGTGGGGCACTGGCGGGCCCGAGCCGTGTCGCGCCGCCCCCAGCGCGACCGCCTCCCCCTCCCGATCGCGTCACACTCAAGGTCCAAAGATGGTGTGCGCACTTGTCTGTGGTCATTTACCATTATAATGAATGGGAGGCGCAGTTTCTACCAAAATGCTCGCTGCAGACAAACTCCATGTCCTTTTTGAAAAAAGTCTGGACCATGAGTGAGGGCACAAACACAGCTTCCATATATCCAAATGGCAAGTTGCTCCTCCTTTCGGTTTTGCCGAGAGAGCGATGCGTTTGAGCCATTGGGCGAAGGGCAGGAAAAACTTAACTTTTTCTCCTGCCATGGGGGGGCGCTCTTTTGGGGAGAAAAAATTCTTTCACAAATGTGTTGATGGCTGGACATTGCATCATCCTAGAAAACTTGGAGGCCAGTGAGGACAAAAATAAAAAGTTATAAGACTTTTAAATATGTGGATTTTAGGGTTATCTTTGGCGCCCCCTAGAACCTAAACCGTGGGGTGCAGCGTCATGATTTGAATAACTTTTAATGGCCATGGGGTGTAGATTGGCCTGAGCAAATGTGGTGCCGGTGGAACGAAAGCCTTCGGAGGAATTAGCCACATTCCAATGTGTGCGAATCTGCAAAAAATGCGAAATAACCCTTTAACCGTACATTTGACAGATACGTGGCCATTGACTTTTTCGAAGATCTTATTGAAATACACGTGTATGTAAAATTTTGTGTCACTACGACAAAACATACAGGCGTAGCACTCAACAATGTGTATTTTCACCTTAGTGGACAAGAAAAAATTGACTTTTTTCTCCTGCCATGGGGGGGCGCTCTTTTGCCGAGTAAAAATTCCTTCACAAATGTGTTGATGGCTGGACATTGCATCATCCTAGAAAACTTGGAGGCCAGTGGGGACAAAAATAAAAAGTTATAAGACTTTTAAATATGTGGATTTTACGGTTATCTTTGGCTCCCCCTAGAACCTAAACCGTGGGGTGCAGCGTCATGATTTGAATAACTTTTAATGGCCATGGGGTGTAGATTGGCCTGAGCAAATGTGGTGCCGGTGGAACGAAAGCCTTCGGAGGAGTTAGCGAAATTCCAATGTGTGCGGATCGGCAAAAAATGCGGAATAACCCTTTAACCGTACATTTGACAGATACGCGCGCATTGACTTTTTCGTAGATCTTATTGAGTTACATGTGTGTGTCAATTTTTGTGTCATTTTGACAAAGCGTACAGGTGTTACACTCAACAATGTGTATTTTCACCTTAGGGGACAAGAAAAAATGGACTTTTTTCTCCTGCCATGGGGGGGCGCTCTTTTGGGGAGTAAAAATTCCTTCACAAATGTGTTGATGGCTGGACATTGCATCATCCTAGAAAACTTGGAGGCCAGTGAGGGCAAAAATAAAAAGTTATAAGACTTTTAAATATGTGGATCTTAGGGTTATCTTTGGCGCCCCCTAGAACCTAAACCGTGGGGTGCAGCGTCATGATTTGAATAACTTTTAATGGCCATGGGGTGTAGATTGGCCTGAGCAAATGTGGTGCCGGTGGAACGAAAGCCTTCGGAGGAGTTAGCGAAATTCCAATGTGTGCGGATCGGCAAAAAATGCGAAATAACCCTTTAACCGTACATTTGACAGATACGCCCGCACTGACTTTTTTGTAGATCTTATTGAGATACATGTGTGTGTCAATTTTTGTGTCATTTTGACAAAGCGTACAGGCGTGACAGTGAATAGTGTGAATTTTCACCTTAGGGGGCGCTATGGAGCCATTTTGCATTTTATTGTTTGGGCGACTTCAGAATATCAAATTTTTCACCAGGCCCGGTCGTCCTGCCAAATTTCATGAGTTTTCGCCAGTGGGAAGTGGGCCATTTTCCAGTTCAAAGGGGAGGAAAAATAATAATAATAACAAAAGAAGGAAACTACAGGAACAAGAGGGCTCTCGCAGCTGCTTAGCAGCTACGTTCGGGCCCTAAAGAAAGAAACAAAGAAAAACCTCTTGGGGAATAATAGGGCCTACGCCCGGCTGCTCTGCAGCTGGCTCGGGCCCTAAGAAAGAAACAAAGAAAAACCCCTACAGGAATAACAGGGCCTACGCCCGGCTGCTCTGCAGCTGGCTCGGGCCCTAAAGAAGAATCCATCAGGAACAAGAGGGCTCTCGCAGCTGCTTAGCAGCTACGCTCGGGCCCTAACTAGGGCCCCGGTGGGGCACTGTCGGGCCCGAGCCGCGTCGCGCCGCCCCCAGCGCGACCGCCTCCCCCTCCCGATCGCATCACACTCAAGGTCCAAAGATGGTGTGCGCACTTGTCTGTGGTCATTTCCCATTATAATGAATGGGAGGCGCAGTTTCTACCAAAACGGTCGCTGCAGACAAACTACATGTCCTATTTGAAAAAAGTCTGGACCATGAGTGAGGGCACAAACACAGCTAGGATATATCCAAATGGCAAGTTGCTCCTCCTTACGGTGTTGCCAGGAGAGCGATGCGATTGAGCCATTGAGCGATGGGCAGGGTTAACTGGACTTTTTCTCCTGCCTTGGGGGGGGGGGGGGGATGTGGATTCTTTTAAGAATGTGGATATTTGGGTCATCTTTGGCGCCCCCTAGAACGTAAACCATGGGGTGCAGCGGCATGATTTTTACAACTTTGAATGGCCATGGGATGTAGATCGGCTTGAGCAAATTTGGTGTCGGTGGGAAGAAAGCCTTAGGAGGAGTTAGCCACATTCCAATGTGTGCGAATCGGCAAAAAATGCGAAATAGCCCTTTAACCGTCCATTTTACAGATACGTGCCCATTGACTTTTTCGTAGATCTTATTGAGATACACGTGTGTGTCAAATTTTGTGTCATTTTGACAAAGCGTATAGGCGTGACAGTCAACAATGTGTTTTTTCACCTTAGGGGACAAGAAAAAATGGACTTTTTTCTCCTGCCATGGGGGGGCGCTCTTTTGGGGAGTAAAAATTCCTTTACAAATGTGTTGATGGCTGGACATTGCATCATCCTAGAAAACTTGGAGGCCAGTGAGGACAAAAATAAAAAGTTATAAGACTATTAAGAATGTGGATTTTTGGGTTATCTTTGGCGCCCCCTAGAACCTAAACCGTGGAGTGCAACGTCATGATTTGTACAACTTTTAATGGCCATGGGGTGTAGATTGGCCTGAGCAAATTTGGTGGCAGTGGAACTAAAGCCTTCGGAGGAGTTAGCGAAATTCCAATGTGTGCGGATCGGGAAAAAATGCGAAATAACCCTTTAAACGTACATTTTACAGATACGTGCCCGTTGACTTTTTCGTAGATCTTATTGAGATACACGTGATTGTAAAATTTTGTGTCAATATGACAAAGCGTATAGGCGTGACACTCAACAATGTGTATTTTCACCTTAGGGGACAAGAAAAAATGGACTTTTTTCTCCTGCCATGTGGGGGCGCTCTTTTGGGGAGTAAAAATTACTTCACAAATGTGTTGATGGCTGGACATTGCATCATCCTAGAGAACTTGGAGGCCAGTGAGGACAAAAATAAAAAGTTATAAGACTTTTAAGACTGTGGATTTTTGGGTTATCTTTGGCGCCCCCTAGAACGTAAACTGTGGGGTGCAGCGTCATGATTTGTACAACTTTTAATGGCCATGGGGTGTAGATTGGCTTGAGCAAATGTGGTGCCGGTGGAACGAATGCCTTCGGAGGAGTTAGCCAAATTCCAATGTGTGCAGATCGGCAAAAAATGCGAAATAACCCTCTAACCGTACATTTCACAGATGCGCCCGCGCTGACTTTTTCGTAGACCGTATTGAGATACACGTGTGTGTCAATTTTTGTGTCAATATGACAAAGCGTACAAGCGTGACAGTCAATAGTGTGAATTTTCGCCTTAGGGGGCGCTATGGAGCCATTTTGCATTTTATTGTTTGGGCGACTTCAGAATATCGAATTTTTCACCAGGCCCGGTCGTCCTGCCAAATTTCATGAGTTTTTGCCAGTGGGAAGTGGGCCATTTTCCAGTTTAAAGCGGAGGAAAAATAATAACTAGGGCCCCGTTGGGGCACTGGCGGGCCCGAGCCGCGTTGCGCCGCCCCCAGTGCGACCGCCTCCCCCTCCCCATCGCGTCACACTCAAGGTCCAAAGATGGTGTGCGCACTTGTCTGTGGTCATTTCCCATTATAATGAATGGGAGGCGCAGTTTCTACCAAAACACTCGCTGCAGACAAACTACATGTCCTATTTGAAAAAAGTCTGGACCATGAGTGAGGGCACAAACACAGCTAGGATATATCCAAACGGCAAGTTGCTCCTCGTTACGGTGTTGCCGGGAGAGCGATGCGATTGAGCCATTGAGTGATGGGCAGGAAAAACTTGACTGTTTCTCCTGCCATGGGGGATGGGGGATGGGAGGGGGGGAAAGGGATGTGGATTCTTTTAAGAATGTGGATATTTGGGTCATCTTTGGCGCCCCCTAGAACGTAAACCGTGGGGTGCAGCGTCATGATTTTTAAAACTTTGAATGGCCATGGGGTGTAGATTGGCCTGAGCAAATTTGGTGTCAGTGGGACGAAAGCCTTAGGAGGAGTTAGCCACATTCCAATGTGTGCTAATCGGCAAAAAATGCAAAATAGCCCTTTAACCGTACATTTTACAGATACGCGCGCATTGACTTTTTCGTAGATCTTATTGAGATACATGTGTGTGTCAAATTTTGTGTCAATATGACAAAGCATACAGGTATGACAGTCAACAATGTGTATTTTCACCTTATGGGACAAGAAAAAATGGACTTTTTTCTCCTGCCATGGGGGGGCGCTCTTTTAGGGAGTAAAAATTCCTTCACAAATGTGTTGATGGCTGGACATTGCATCATCCTAGAAAACTTGGAGGCCAGAGAGGACAAAAATAAAAAGTTATAAGACTTTTAAATATGTGGATTTTAGGGTTATCTTTGGCGCCCCCTAGAACCTAAACCGTGGGGTGCAGCGTCATGATTTGAATAACTTTTAATGGCCATGGGGTGTAGATTGGCCTGAGCAAATGTGGTGCCGGTTGAACGAAAGCCTTCGGAGGAGTTAGCGAAATTCCAATGTGTGCGGATCGGCAAAAAATGCGAAATAACCCTTTAACCGTACATTTGACAGATACGCCCGCACTGACTTTTTTGTAGATCTTATTGAGATACATGTGTGTGTCAATTTTTGTGTAATTTTGACAAAGCGTACAGGCGTGACAGTCAATAGTGTGAATTTTCACCTTATGGAACAAGAAAAAATGGACTTTTTTCTCCTGCCATGGGGGGCGCTCTTTTGGGGAGTAAAAATTCCTTCACAAATGTGTTGATGGCTGGACATTGCATCATCCTAGAAAACTTGGAGGCCAGTGAGGGCAAAAATAAAAAGTTATAAGACTTTGAAATATGTGGATTTTAGGGTTATCTTTGGCGCCCCCTAGAACATAAACCGTGGGGTGCAGCGTCATGATTTGAATAACTTTTAATGGCCATGGGGTGTAGATTGGCCTGAGCAAATGTGGTGCCGGTGGAACGAAAGCCTTCGGAGGAGTTAGCGAAATTCCAATGTGTGCGGATCGGCAAAAAATGCGAAATAACCCTTTAACCGTACATTTGACAGATACGCGCACATGGACTTTTTTGTAGATCTTATTGAGATACATGTGTGTGTCAATTTTTGTGTCATTTTGACAAAGCGTACAGGCGTGACACTCAACAATGTGTATTTTCACCTTAGGGGACAAGAAAAAATGGACTTTTTTCTCCTGCCATGGGGGGGCGCTCTTTTGGGGAGTAAAAATTCCTTCACAAATGTGTTGATGGCTGGACATTGCATCATCCTAGAAAACTTGGAGGCCAGTGAGGACAAAAATAAAAAGTTATAAGACTTTTAAATATGTGGATTTTAGGGTTATCTTTGGCGCCCCCTAGAACCTAAACCGTGGGGTGCAGCGTCATGATTTTGATAACTTTTAATGGCCATGGGGTGTAGATTGGCCTGAGCAAATGTGGTGCCGGTGGAACGAAAGCCTTAGGAGGAGTTAGCGAAATTCCAATGTGTGCGGATCGGCAAAAAATGCGGAATAACCCTTTAACCGTACATTTGACAGATACGCGCGCATTGACTTTTTCGTAGATCTTATTGAGTTACATGTGTGTGTCAATTTTTGTGTCATTTTGACAAAGAGTTTAGGCGTGACACTCAACAATGTGTATTTTCATGTTAGGGGACAAGAAAAAATTGACTTTTTTCTCCTGCCATGGGGGGGCGCTCTTTTGGGGAGTAAAAATTCCTTCACAAATGTGTTGATGGCTGGACATTGCATCATCCTAGAAAACTTGGAGGCCAGTGAGGACAAAAATAAAAAGTTATAAGACTTTTAAATATGTGGATTTTAGTGTTATCTTTGGCGCCCCCTAGAACCTAAACCTTGGGGTGCAGCGTCATGATTTTGATAACTTTTAATGGCCACGGGGTGTAGATTGGCCTGAGCAAATGTGGTGCCGGTGGAACGAAAGCCTTCGGAGGAGTTAGCGAAATTCCAATGTGTGCGGATCGGCAAAAAATGCGAAATAACCCTTTAACCGTAATTTTGACAGATACGGCCGCACTGACTTTTTTGTAGATCTTATTGAGATACATATGTGTGTCAATTTTTGTGTCAATATGACAAAGCGTACAGGCGTGACAGTCAATAGTGTGAATTTCCACCTTAGGGGGCGCTATGGAGCCATTTTGCATTTTATTGTTTGGGCGACTTCAGAATATCGAATTTTTCACCAGGCCCGGTCGTCCTGCCAAATTTCATGAGTTTTCGCCAGTGGGAAGTGGGCCATTTTCCAGTTCAAAGGGGAGGAAAAAGAAGAAAGAAAGAAACAAAGAAAAACCCCTACAGGAATAACAGGGCCTACGCCCGGCTGCTCTGCAGCTGGCTCGGGCCCTAATAACTAGGACCCCGTTGGGGCACTGGCGGGCCCGAGCCTTGTCGGATGGAGCTTTGGATGGAGCTTCATGGTTGTCTTTTGGAGAAATGACCAGTCAAGTTGTGTTTGAAATTTGATTTTTTTTTCAGGGGCAAAAGGAGCCTCTGCATTCTTGTCAAATATGTAAATAGCATGTTTTTGCAGGTGCTAAAAACCAGACTCTGAGTGTGTGTGTGTGTGTGTGTGTGTGTGTGTGTGTGTGTGTGTGTGTGTGTGCGTGTGTGTGTGTCTGTGTGTGCGTTCAAGTCACATGACATATTTAACCGGATGTAGCTGCAAGACGGAGCCTCGTTGACTCTCCGTTTCAACTTATCTCAAAAGTGAGGACCTCAACCTATATACCAGTTTTTAAATTGTGTTGATAGGCCAAATAAAACCAGAGTTATGATAAATTATGTCCGCGATACTTTTTTTCTGCTTATTTTGATCACGTTCGGCGCTCGATCGCGCTGTATGAGACAGGAAAACATAGCATGCAGACATTAGCGACAGGTCTTACAGGCGGAAAAGGCTTGCCAAAAGAAAAAAAAAACACACCACAACATCTCTCCTATTGGTGGAAAACTTCACCACAACAACCAATCCAAAATTATATGGTGACTGATTGACAAGGGGAGGGCGCTTACGTTCTTCCTGCAACATGAGAAGGGAGGGAGGGACTCTCAGCAGGGATGCAGTCTGGGACACGTAGTTGCAAACCTAGCGACTTTGTTGTTAGATTCAATGACTTTTCAGACCCCCTAACGACTTTTTTTTAGAAAGAAAGGGACTTTTATCGACTTCTTCTGGAGTTTAGAGACTCTGACATGAAGCAGGCTTTCCTTACTGAGGAGTTAGCAACGCTGCTAAGGGTGCAGAGCCACACATGCGCTCAGAGCTCTGCATGGGAGACTGAAGCTGACAGAGCTGCAGCAGTTAGCAGGTTTCACCCTCAGAGACCACCAGGGGTTCATGTTGAGGCATTTTAATTTTTTTTTTTTTTGTGCCATAGACACTGTCAGCACAATCTGCAGTTACACTAACAAAAATGCTGCAAAAAACAAAGAATTATGGAAAAATTACACATGGACTGACATAGAGGAGGATCTACACAAGTTTTTTACATCATGTTTTACATCATGCATCATTTACATCATGTTTTTTTGTAGTGGCATAAATAAAAAGTGACATTTGTGAGACTATACAGTGTTTTGTAAATAATTTTGCAAAGAACGCCTGGGCCATTGCCTGCATTTTGATGTAAATAGAGGTAAATTACTATGTTCTTTGTTAAAAATTTGCATATGTTTTGAAGTTTACAATTTTTATTTGAAGTTTAAGTTTTAAAAACAGTTCATCACACATATTTGTGGTTTAATTTCACATTAATTTCCATATTGTATAAATGACTGGAAAAAACTTGAGCCCCTGCCCCTGTATAATCATGTGCACGTCCCTGTTCTAGCTCCAAGGTGAATCTTCACTGCTCATGTTCTCCTCAGAAATAGTCACCTCACTCCCCTCAGGTTACTGTACACATGCACCAACTATCTGCTTCAGGTTTGAAATGGAGCTTCATGGTTGTCTTTTGGAGAAATGAACAGTCAAGTTGTGTTTGAAATTTGATTTTTTTCAGGGGCAAAAGGAAGCCTCTGCATTCTTGTCAAATATGTAAACAGCATGTTTTTGCAGGTGCTAAAAAACAGACTCTGAGTGTGTGTGTGTGTCTGTGTGTGTGTGTGTCTGTGTGTGTGTGTATGTTGGCGTGTGTGTATATGTGTGTGTATCCTGCAGTACTCTGTACTCCTGCAGTGGCCAAAAAAACCTTTTAAGAATGTGGATTTTTGGGTCATCTTTGGCGCCCCCTAGAACTGCAGTACTCTGTACTCCTGCAGTGGCCAAAATGACTTTTAAGAATGTGGATTTTTGGGTCATCTTTGGCGCCCCCTAGAACGTAAACCGTGGGGTGCAGCGTCATGATTTTTACAACTTTGAATGGGCATGGGGTGTAGATTGCCCTGAGCAAATTTGGTATCGGTGGGACGAAAGCCTTAGGAGGAGATAGCCACATTCCAATGTGTGCGAATCGGCAAAAAATGCAAAATAGCCCTTTAACCGTACATTATAAAGATACGCGCTCTTTGACTTTTTCGTAGATCTAATTGAGATACACATGATTGTCAATTTTTGTGTCAATATGACAAAGCGTTCAGGCGTGACACTCAACAATGTGTATTTTCATGTAAGGGGACAAGAAAAAATGGACTTTTTTCTCCTACCATGGGGGCGCTCTTTTGGGGAGTAAAAATTCCTTCACAAATGTGTTGATGGCTGGACATTGCATCATCCTAGAGAACTTGGAGGCCAGTGAGGACAAAAATAAAAAGTTATAAAACATTTAAGAATGTGAATTTTTGGGTTATTTTTGGCGCCCCCTAGAACCTAAACCATGGGGTGCAGCATCATGATTTGAATAACTTTTAATGGCCATGGGGTGTAGATTGGCCTGAGCAAATGTGGTGCCGGTGGAACGAAAGCCTTCGGAGGAGTTAGCGAAATTCCAATGTGTGCGTATCGGCAAAAAATGCGGAATAACCCTTTAACTGTACATTTGACAGATACGCGCGCATGGACTTTTTTGTAGATCTTATTGAGTTACATGTGTGTGTCAATTTTTGTGTCATTTTGACAAAGCGTATAGGCGTGACACTCAAGAATGTGTATTTTCACCTTAGGGGACAAGAAAAAATGGACTTTTTTCTCCTGCCATGGGGGGGCGCTCTTTTGGGGAGTAAAAATTCCTTCACAAATGTGTTGATGGCTGGACATTGCATCATCCTAGAAAACTTGGAGGCCAGTGAGGACAAAAATAAAAAGTTATAAGACTTTTAAATATGTGGATTTTAGTGTTATCTTTGGCGCCCCCTAGAACCTAAACCTTGGGGTGCAGCGTCATGATTTTGATAACTTTTAATGGCCACGGGGTGTAGATTGGCCTGAGCAAATGTGGTGCCGGTGGAACGAAAGCCTTCGGAGGAGTTAGCGAAATTCCAATGTGTGCGGATCGGCAAAAAATGCGAAATAACCCTTTGACCGTACATTTGACAGATACGGCCGCACTGACTTTTTTGTAGATCTTATTGAGATACATATGTGTGTCAATTTTTGTGTCAATATGACAAAGCGTACAGGCGTGACAGTCAATAGTGTGAATTTCCACCTTAGGGGGCGCTATGGAGCCATTTTGCATTTTATTGTTTGGGCGACTTCAGAATATCGAATTTTTCACCAGGCCCGGTCGTCCTGCCAAATTTCATGAGTTTTCGCCAGTGGGAAGTGGGCCATTTTCCAGTTCAAAGGGGAGGAAAAAGAAGAAAGAAAGAAAGAACTAGGGCCCCGGTGGGGCACTGTCGGGCCCGAGCCGCGTCGCGCCGCCCCCAGCGCGACCGCCTCCCCCTCCCGATTGCATCACACTCAAGGTCCAAAGATGGTGTGCGCACTTGTCTGTGGTCATTTCCCATTATAATGAATGGGAGGCGCAGTTTCTACCAAAACGGTCGCTGCAGACAAACTACATGTCCTATTTGAAAAAAGTCTGGACCATGAGTGAGGGCACAAACAGCTAGTATATATCCAAATGGCAAGTTGCTCCTCCTTTCGGTTTTGCCGAGAGAGCGATGCGTTTGAGCCATTGAGCGATGGGCAGGAAAAACTTGACTTTTTCTCCTGCCATGGGGGGGCGCTCTTTTGGGGAGAAAAAATTCCTTCACAAATGTGTTGATGGCTGGACATTGCATCATCCTAGAAAACTTGGAGGCCAGTGAGGACAAAAATAAAAAGTTATAAGACTTTAAAAATGTGGATATTTGGGTCCTCTTTGGCGCCCCCTAGAACGTAGACCATGGGGTGCAGCGTCATGATTTTTACAACTTTGAATGGCCATGGGGTGTAGATTGGCCTGAGCAAATTTGGTGTCAGTGGGACGAAAGCCTTAGGAGGAGTTAGCCACATTCCAATGTGTGCGAATCGGCAAAAAATGCGAAATAGCCCTTTAACCGTACATTTTACAGATACGCGCGCATTGACTTTTTCGTAGATCTTATTGAGATACACGTGATTGTCAAATTTTGTGTCAATATGACAAAGCGTACAGGCGTGACATTCAACAATGTGTATTTTCACCTTAGGGGACAAGAAAAAATTGACTTTTTTGTCCTGCCATGGGGGGGCGCTCTTTTGGGGAGTAAAAATTCCTTCACAAATGTGTTGATGGCTGGACATTGCATCATCCTAGAAAACTTGGAGGCCAGCGAGGGCAAAAATAAAAAGTTATAAAACTTTTAAGAATGTGGATTTTAGGGTTATTTTTGGCGCCCCCTAGAACCTAAACCATGGGGTGCAGCATCATGATTTGTACAACTTTGAATGGCCATGGAGTGTAGATTGGCCTGAGCAAATGTGGTGCCGGTGGACCGAAAGCCTTCGGAGGAGTTAGCGAAATTCCAATGTGTGCAGATCTGCAAAAAATGCGCAATAACCCTTTAACCGTACATTTGACAGATACGCCCGCACTGACTTTTTTGTAGATCTTATTGAGATACATGTGTGTGTCAATTTTTGTGTCAATATGACAAAGCGTACAGGCGTGACAGTCAATAGTGTGAATTTTCACCTTAGGGGGCGCTATGGAGCCATTTTGTATTTTATTGTTTGGGCGACTTCAGAATATCGAATTTTTCACCAGGCCCGGTCGTCCTGCCAAATTTCATGAGTTTTCGCCAGTGGGAAGTGGGCCATTTTCCAGTTTAAAGCGGAGGAAAAATAATAATAATAATAACAAAAGAAGAATCCATCAGGAACAAGAGGGCTCTCGCAGCTGCTTAGCAGCTACGCTCGGGCCCTAACTAGGACCCCGTTGGGGCACTGGCGGGCCCGAGCTGTGTCGCGTCCCCCCCCCAACGCGCTGCCTCCCCGTCCCATTTGTGTCCTCTGGCCATCGCCCTCTCTGGTAACGCCCATCACTGCAAAGACCCTTTTCCTTCATCGGCGTTTGCTGTTCTTCCTGCCAGTGCGTGTTGCTTTCACTTACACTTGCCACAGCCAGCCTCGTGAGTGCCTAGCCTATTGGATATCACTGTCACCTACACAGGACAGTCATTACCTTTCTATTAATACTTTGTTTTTTAATTTCACATTAATTTCCATATTGTATAAACAACTGGAAAAAACTTGAGCCCCTGCCCCTGTATAATCATGTGCACGTCTCTGTTCTAGCTCTAAGGTGAATCTTCACTGCTCATGTTCTCCTCAGAAGCAGTCACCTCACTCCCCTCAGGTTACTGTACACATGCACCAACTGCCTGCTTCAGGTTTGGATGGAGCTTCATGGTTGTCTTTTGGAGAAATGACCAGTCAAGTTGTGTTTGAAATTTGATATTTTTCAGGGGCAAAAGGAGCCTCTGCATTCTTGTCAAATATGTAAATAGCATGTTTTTGCAGGTGCTAAAAACCAGACTCTGAGTGTGTGTGTGTGCGTGTGTTTGTGTGTGTGTGTGTGTGTGTGTGTGTGTGCGTTCAAGTCACATGACATATTTAACCGGATGTAGCTGCAAGACGGAGCCTCGTTGACTCTCCGTTTCAATTTATCTCAAAAGTGAGGACCTCAACCTATATACCAGTTTTTAAATTGTGTTGATAGGCCAAATAAAACCAGAGTTATGATAAATTATGTCCACGATACTTGTTTTCTGCTTATTTTGATCACGTTCGGCGCTCGATCGCGCTGTATGAGACAGGAAAACATAGCATGCAGACATTAGCGACAGGTCTTACAGGCGGAAAAGGCTTGCCAAAGGAAAAAAAAAAACACACCACAACATCTCTCCTATTGGTGGAAAACTTCACCACAACAACCAATCCAAAATTATATGGTGACTGATTGACAAGGGGCGGGAACTTACGTTCTTCCTGCAATATGAGAAGGGAGGGAGGGACTCTCAGCAGGGATGCAGTCTGGGACACGTAGTTGCAAACCTAGCGACTTTGTTGTTAGATTCAATGACTTTTCAGACCCCCTAACGACTTTTTTTTAGAAAGAAAGTGACTTTTATCGACTTCTTCTGGAGTTTAGAGACTCTGACATGAAGCAGGCTTTCCTTACTGAGGAGTTAGCAACGCTGCTAAGGGTGCAGAGCCACACATGCGCTCCGAGCTCTGCATGGGAGACTGAAGCTGACAGAGCTGCAGCAGTTAGCAGGTTTCACCCTCAGAGACCGCCAGGGGTTCATGTTGAGGCATTTTAATTTTTTTTTTTTTTGCCATAGACACTGTCAGCACAATCTGCAGTTACACTAACAAAAATGCTGCAAAAAACAAAGAATTATGGAAAAATTACACATGGACTAACATAGAGGAGGATCTACACAAGTTTTTTACATCATGTTTTACATCATGCATCATTTACATCATGTTTTTTTGTAGTGGCATAAATAAAAAGTGACATTTGTGAGACTATACAGTGTTTTGTAAATAATTTTACAAAGAACACCTGGGCCATTGCCTGCATTTTGATGTCAATAGAGGTAAATTACTATGTTCTTTGTTAAAAATTTGCATATGTTTTGAAGTTTACAATTTTTATTTGAAGTTTAAGTTTTAAAAACAGTTCATCACACATATTTGTGGTTTTCACAGTAAAAACGTTACTTTTTTCCACTCGGATTTTATGTTTTGTGTGTGAATTTGGGTCCAATGTGTAAATATAGTATGTCAAAATGATAAAATAACTGTAAATTGACACAGGTGAGGTTGTGCTGAAAAAAATGATACCAGGCAAGGCAAGGTAAAAATTTTGTAAGAGGAAATATAAAGGTAAAATCTAAAGTAGTCAAAAACGGCCAATAGTGACTCACAGACTCCACAGACAAGTCCCTTTGGCGCCACTCAGTGGGCAAAACTACTTTGTCTACTGTAATGTATATTTGGGTCATCTTTGGCGCCCCCTAAAACGTAAACCGTGGGGTGCAGCGTCATGATTTTTACAACTTTGAATGGCCATGGGGTGTAGATTGGCCTGAGCAAATTTGGTGTCAGTGGGACGAAAGCCTTAGGAGGAGTTAGCCACATTCCAATGTGTGCTAATCGGCAAAAAATGCAAGATAGCCCTTTAACCGTACATTTTACAGATACGCGCGCATTGACTTTTTCGTAGATCTTATTGAAATACATGTGTGTGTCAATTTTTGTGTCATTTTGACAAAGCGTATAGGCGTGACACTCAACAATGTGTATTTTCACCTTAGGGGACAAGAAAAAATGGACTTTTTTCTCCTGCCATGGGGGGGCGCTCTTTTGGGGAGTAAAAATTCCTTCACAAATGTGTTGATGGCTGGACATTGCATCATCCTAGAAAACTTGGAGGCCAGTGAGGACAAAAATAAAAAGTTATAAGACTTTTAAATATGTGGATTTTAGTGTTATCTTTGGCGCCCCCTAGAACCTAAACCTTGGGGTGCAGCGTCATGATTTTGATAACTTTTAATGGCCACGGGGTGTAGATTGGCTTGAGCAAATGTGGTGCCGGTGGAACGAAAGCGTTCGGAGGAGTTAGCGAAATTCCAATGTGTGCGGATCGGCAAAAAATGCGAAATAACCCTTTAACCGTAATTTTGACAGATACGGCCGCACTGACTTTTTTGTAGATCTTATTGAGATACATATGTGTGTCAATTTTTGTGTCAATATGACAAAGCGTACAGGCGTGACAGTCAATAGTGTGAATTTCCACCTTAGGGGGCGCTATGGAGCCATTTTGCATTTTATTGTTTGGGCGACTTCAGAATATCGAATTTTTCACCAGGCCCGGTCGTCCTGCCAAATTTCATGAGTTTTCGCCAGTGGGAAGTGGGCCATTTTCCAGTTCAAAGGGGAGGAAAAAGAAGAAACTAGGACCCCGTTGGGGCACTGGCGGGCCCGAGCCGTGTCGCGTCTCCCCCCCCCCACCCCCCCACCCCGCAACGTGCTGCCTCCCCGTCCCATTTGTGTCCTCTGGCCATCGCCCTCTCTGTTAACGCCCATCACTGCAAAGACCCTTTTCCTTCATCGGCGTTTGCTGTTCTTCCTGCCAGTGCGTGTTGCTTTCACTTACACTTGCCACAGCCAGCCTCGTGAGTGCCTAGCCTATTGGATATCACTGTCACCTACACAGGACAGTCATTACCTTTCTATTAATACTTTGTGTTTTAATTTCACATTAATTTCCATATTGTATAAACGACTGGAAAAAACTTGAGCCCCTGCCCCTGTATAATCATGTGCATGTCTCTGTTCTAGCTCCAAGGTGAATCTTCACTGCTCATGTTCTCCTCAGAAGCACTCACCTCACTCCCCTCAGGTTACTGTACACATGCACCAACTGCCTGCTTCAGGTTTGGATGGAGCTTCATGGTTGTCTTTTGGAGAAATGACCAGTCAAGTTGTGTTTGAAATTTGATTTTTTTCAGGGGCAAAAGGAGCCTCTGCATTCTTGTCAAATATGTAAATAGCATGTTTTTGCAGGTGCTAAAAACCAGACTCTGAGTGTGTGTGTGTGTGTGTGTGTGTGTGTGTGTGTGTGTGTGTGTGTGTGTGTGCGTGTGTGTGTGTCTATGTGTGCGTTCAAGTCACATGACATATTTAACCGGATGTAGCTGCAAGACGGAGCCTCGTTGACTCTCCGTTTCAACTTATCTCAAAAGTGAGGACCTCAACCTATATACCAGTTTTTAAATTGTGTTGATAGGCCAAATAAAACCAGAGTTATGATAAATTATGTCCGCGATACTTTTTTTCTGCTTATTTTGATCACGTTCGGCGCTCGATCGCGCTGTATGAGACAGGAAAACATAGCATGCAGACATTAGCGACAGGTCTTACAGGCGGAAAAGGCTTGCCAAAAGAAAAAAAAAACACACCACAACATCTCTCCTATTGGTGGAAAACTTCACCACAACAACCAATCCAAAATTATATGGTGACTGATTGACAAGGGGCGGGCGCTTACGTTCTTCCTGCAACATGAGAAGGGAGGGAGGGACTCTCAGCAGGGATGCAGTCTGGGACACGTAGTTGCAAACCTAGCGACTTTGTTGTTAGATTCAATGACTTTTCAGACACCCTAACGACTTTTTTTTTAGAAAGAAAGGGACTTTTATCGACTTCTTCTGGAGTTTAGAGACTCTGACATGAAGCAGGCTTTCCTTACTGAGGAGTTAGCAACGCTGCTAAGGGTGCAGAGCCACACATGCGCTCTGAGCTCTGCATGGGAGACTGAAGCTGACAGAGCTGCAGCAGTTAGCAGGTTTCACCCTCAGAGACCACCAGGGGTTCATGTTGAGGCATTTTAATTTTTTTTTTTTTTTGTGCCATAGACACTGTCAGCACAATCTGCAGTTACACTAACAAAAATGCTGCAAAAAACAAATAATTATGGAAAAATTACACATGGACTGACATAGAGGAGGATCTACACAAGTTTTTTACATCATGTTTTACATCATGCATCATTTACATCATGTTTTTTTGTAGTGGCATAAATAAAAAGTGACATTTGTGAGACTATACAGTGTTTTGTAAATAATTTTACAAAGAACGCCTGGGCCATTGCCTGCATTTTGATGTAAATAGAGGTAAATTACTATGTTCTTTGTTAAAAATTTGCATATGTTTTGAAGTTTACAATTTTTATTTGAAGTTTAAGTTTTAAAAACAGTTCATCACACATATTTGTGGTTTAATTTCACATTAATTTCCATATTGTATAAATGACTGGAAAAATCTTGAGCCCCTGCCCCTGTATAATCATGTGCACGTCCCTGTTCTAGCTCCAAGGTGAATCTTCACTGCTCATGTTCTCCTCAGAAATAGTCACCTCACTCCCCTCAGGTTACTGTACACATGCACCAACTATCTGCTTCAGGTTTGAAATGGAGCTTCATGGTTGTCTTTTGGAGAAATGAACAGTCAAGTTGTGTTTGAAATTTGATTTTTTTCAGGGGCAAAAGGAAGCCTCTGCATTCTTGTCAAATATGTAAACAGCATGTTTTTGCAGGTGCTAAAAAACAGACTCTGAGTGTGTGTGTGTGTGTGTGTGTGTGTGTGTGTGTGTGTGTGTGTGTGTGTGTGTGTGTGTGTGTGTATGTTGGCGTGTGTGTATATGTGTGTGTATCCTGCAGTACTCTGTACTCCTGCAGTGGCCAAAAAGACTTTTAAGAATGTGGATTTTTGGGTCATCTTTGGCGCCCCCTAGAACTGCAGTACTCTGTACTCCTGCAGTGGCCAAAATGACTTTTAAGAATGTGGATTTTTGGGTCATCTTTGGCGCCCCCTAGAACGTAAACCGTGGGGTGCAGCGTCATGATTTTTACAACTTTGAATGGGCATGGGGTGTAGATTGCCCTGAGCAAATTTGGTATCGGTGGGACGAAAGCCTTAGGAGGAGATAGCCACATTCCAATGTGTGCGAATCGGCAAAAAATGCAAAATAGCCCTTTAACCGTACATTATACAGATACGCGCTCTTTGACTTTTTCGTAGATCTAATTGAGATACACATGATTGTCAATTTTTGTGTCAATATGACAAAGCGTTCAGGCGTGACACTCAACAATGTGTATTTTTATGTAAGGGGACAAGAAAAAATTGACTTTTTTCTCCTACCATGGGGGGGCGCTCTTTTGGGGAGTAAAAATTCCTTCACAAATGTGTTGATGGCTGGACATTGCATCATCCTAGAAAACTTGGAGGCCAGTGAGGACAAAAATAAAAAGTTATAAAACATTTAAGAATGTGGATTTTTGGGTTATCTTTGGCGCCCCCTAGAACCTAAACCGTGGGGTGCAGCATCATGATTTGAATAACTTTTAATGGGCATGGGGTGTAGATTGGCCTGAGCAAATGTGGTGCCGGTGGAACGAAAGCCTTCGGAGGAGTTAGCGAAATTCCAATGTGTGCGTATCGGCAAAAAATGCGGAATAACCCTTTAACTGTACATTTGACAGATACGCGCGCATGGACTTTTTTGTAGATCTTATTGAGTTACATGTGTGTGTCAATTTTTGTGTCATTTTGACAAAGCGTATAGGCGTGACACTCAACAATGTGTATTTTCACCTTAGGGGACAAGAAAAAATGGACTTTTTTCTCCTGCCATGGGGGGGCGCTCTTTTGGGGAGTAAAAATTCCTTCACAAATGTGTTGATGGCTGGACATTGCATCATCCTAGAAAACTTGGAGGCCAGTGAGGACAAAAATAAAAAGTTATAAGACTTTTAAATATGTGGATTTTAGTGTTATCTTTGGCGCCCCCTAGAACCTAAACCTTGGGGTGCAGCGTCATGATTTTGATAACTTTTAATGGCCACGGGGTGTAGATTGGCCTGAGCAAATGTGGTGCCGGTGGAACGAAAGCCTTCGGAGGAGTTAGCGAAATTCCAATGTGTGCGGATCGGCAAAAAATGCGAAATAACCCTTTAACCGTAATTTTGACAGATACGGCCGCACTGACTTTTTTGTAGATCTTATTGAGATACATATGTGTGTCAATTTTTGTGTCAATATGACAAAGCGTACAGGCGTGACAGTCAATAGTGTGAATTTCCACCTTAGGGGGCGCTATGGAGCCATTTTGCATTTTAATGTTTGGGCGACTTCAGAATATCGAATTTTTCACCAGGCCCGGTCGTCCTGCCAAATTTCATGAGTTTTCGCCAGTGGGAAGTGGGCCATTTTCCAGTTCAAAGGGGAGGAAAAAGAAGAAAGAAAGAAAGAAAGAAAGAAACAAAGAAAAACCACTTGGGGAATAATAGGGCCTACGCCCGGCTGCTCTGCAGCTGGCTCGGGCCCTAAGAAAGAAAGAAAGAAAGAAACAAAGAAAAACCACTTGGGGAATAATAGGGCTCTCGCAGCTGCTTAGCAGCTACGCTCGGGCCCTAACAAGAAACTAGGACCCCGTTGGGGCACTGGCGGGCCCGAGCCGTGTCGCGTCCCCCCCCCCCCCAACGTGCTGCCTCCCCGTCCCATTTGTGTCCTCTGGCCATCGCCCTCTCTGGTAACGCCCATCACTGCAAAGACCCTTTTCCTTCATCTGCGTTTGCTGTTCTTCCTGCCAGTGCGTGTTGCTTTCACTTACACTTGCCACAGCCAGCCTCGTGAGTGCCTAGCCTATTGGATATCACTGTCACCTACACAGGACAGTCATTACCTTTCTATTAATACTTTGTGTTTTAATTTCACATTAATTTCCATATTGTATAAACGACTGGAAAAAACTTGAGCCCCTGCCCCTGTATAATCATGTGCATGTCTCTGTTCTAGCTCCAAGGTGAATCTTCACTGCTCATGTTCTCCTCAGAAGCACTCACCTCACTCCCCTCAGGTTACTGTACACATGCACCAACTGCCTGCTTCAGGTTTGGATGGAGCTTCATGGTTGTCTTTTGGAGAAATGACCAGTCAAGTTGTGTTTGAAATTTGATTTTTTTCAGGGGCAAAAGGAGCCTCTGCATTCTTGTCAAATATGTAAATAGCATGTTTTTGCAGGTGCTAAAAACCAGACTCTGAGTGTGTGTGTGTGTGTGTGTGTGTGTGTGTGTGTGTGTGTGTGCGTGTGCGTGTGTGTGTGTCTGTGTGTGCGTTCAAGTCACATGACATATTTAACCGGATGTAGCTGCAAGACGGAGCCTCGTTGACTCTCCGTTTCAACTTATCTCAAAAGTGAGGACCTCAAGCTATATACCAGTTTTTAAATTGTGTTGATAGGCCAAATAAAACCAGAGTTATGATAAATTATGTCCGCAATACTTTTTTTCTGCTTATTTTGATCACGTTCGGCGCTCGATCGCGCTGTATGAGACAGGAAAACATAGCATGCAGACATTAGCGACAGCTCTTACAGGCGGAAAAGGCTTGCCAAAAGAAAAAAAAACACACCACAACATCTCTCCTATTGGTGGAAAACTTCACCACAACAACCAATCCAAAATTATATGGTGACTGATTGACAAGGGGGGCGCTTACGTTCTTCCTGCAACATGAGAAGGGAGGGAGGGACTCTCAGCAGGGATGCAGTCTGGGACACGTAGTTGCAAACCTAGCGACTTTGTTGTTAGATTCAATGACTTTTCAGACCCCCTAACGACTTTTTTTTAGAAAGAAAGGGACTTTTATCGACTTCTTCTGGAGTTTAGAGACTCTGACATGAAGCAGGCTTTCCTTACTGAGGAGTTAGCAACGCTGCTAAGGGTGCAGAGCCACACATGCGCTCAGAGCTCTGCATGGGAGACTGAAGCTGACAGAGCTGCAGCAGTTAGCAGGTTTCACCCTCAGAGACCACCAGGGGTTCATGTTGAGGCATTTTAATTAATTTTTTTTTTTTGTGCCATAGACACTGTCAGCACAATCTGCAGTTACACTAACAAAAATGCTGCAAAAAACAAAGAATTATGGAAAAATTACACATGGACTGACATAGAGGAGGATCTACACAAGTTTTTTACATCATGTTTTACATCATGCATCATTTACATCATGTTTTTTTGTAGTGGCATAAATAAAAAGTGACATTTGTGAGACTATACAGTGTTTTGTAAATAATTTTACAAAGAACGCCTGGGCCATTGCCTGCATTTTGATGTAAATAGAGGTAAATCACTATGTTCTTTGTTAAAAATTTGCATATGTTTTGAAGTTTACAATTTTTATTTGAAGTTTAAGTTTTAAAAACAGTTCATCACACATATTTGTGGTTTTCACAGTAAAAATGTTACTTTTTTCCACTCGGATTTTATGTTTTGTGTGTGAATTTGGGTCCATTGTGTAAATTCAGTATGTCAACATGATAAAATAACTGTAAATTCGCACAGGTGAGGTTGTGCTGAAAAAAATGATACCAGGCAAGGCACGTGATTGTCAAATGTTGTGTCAATATGACAAAGCGTATAGGCGTGAATCTCAACAATATGTATTTTCACCTTAGAGGACAAGAAAAAATGGACTTTTTTCTCCTGCCATGGGGGGGCGCTCTTTTGGGGAGTAAAAATTCCTTTACAAATGTGTTGATGGCTGGACATTGCATCATCCTAGAAAACTTGGAGGCCAGTGAGGACAAAAATAAAAAGTTATAAGACTTTTAAATATGTGGATTTTAGGGTTATCTTTGGCGCCCCCTAGAACCTAAACCGTGGGGTGCAGCGTCATGATTTTGATAACTTTTAATGGCCATGGGGTGTAGATTGGCCTGAGCAAATGTGGTGCCGGTGGAACGAAAGCCTTAGGAGGAGTTAGCGAAATTCCAATGTGTGCGGATCGGCAAAAAATGCGGAATAACCCTTTAACCGTACATTTGACAGATATGCGCGCATTGACTTTTTCGTAGATCTTATTGAGTTACATGTGTGTGTCAATTTTTGTGTCATTTTGACAAAGCGTATAGGCGTGACACTCAACAATGTGTATTTTCACCTTAGGGGACAAGAAAAAATGGACTTTTTTCTCCTGCCATGGGGGGGCGCTCTTTTGGGGAGTAAAAATTCCTTTACAAATGTGTTGATGGCTGGACATTGCATCATCCTAGAAAACTTGGAGGCCAGTGAGGACAAAAATAAAAAGTTATAAGACTTTTAAATATGTGGATTTTAGGGTTATCTTTGGCGCCCCCTAGAACCTAAACCGTGGGGTGCAGCGTCATGATTTTGATAACTTTTAATGGCCATGGGGTGTAGATTGGCCTGAGCAAATGTGGTGCCGGTGGAACGAAAGCCTTAGGAGGAGTTAGCGAAATTCCAATGTGTGCGGATCGGCAAAAAATGCGGAATAACCCTTTAACCGTACATTTGACAGATACGCCCGCACTGACTTTTTTGTAGATCTTATTGAGATACATGTGTGTGTCAATTTTTGTGTCATTTTGACAAAGCGTACAGGCGTGACAGTCAATAGTGTGAATTTTCACCTTAGGGGGCGCTATGGAGCCATTTTGCATTTTCTTGTTTGGGCGACTTTGGAATATCAAATTTTTCACCAGGCCCGGTCGTCCTGCCAAATTTCCTGAGTTTTCGCCAGTGGGAAGTGGGCCATTTTCCAGTTCAAAGGGGAGGAAAAAGAAGAAAGAAAGAAACAAAGAAAAACCCCTACAGGAATAACAGGGCCTACGCCCGGCTGCTCTGCAGCTGGCTCGGGCCCTAAAAATGGACTTTTTTCTCCTGCCATGGGGGGGCGCTCTTTTGGGGAGTAAAAATTCCTTCACAAATGTGTTGATGGCTGGACATTGCATCATCCTAGAAAACTTGGAGGCCAGTGAGGACAAAAATAAAAAGTTATAAGACTTTTAAATATGTGGATTTTAGTGTTATCTTTGGCGCCCCCTAGAACCTAAACCTTGGGGTGCAGCGTCATGATTTTGATAACTTTTAATGGCCACGGGGTGTAGATTGGCCTGAGCAAATGTGGTGCCGGTGGAACGAAAGCCTTCGGAGGAGTTAGCGAAATTTCAATGTGTGCAGATCGGCAAAAAATGCGAAATAACCCTTTAACCGTAATTTTGACAGATACGGCCGCACTGACTTTTTTGTAGATCTTATTGAGATACATGTGTGTGTCAATTTTTGTGTCATTTTGACAAAGCGTACAGTCGTGACAGTGAATAGTGTGAATTTTCATCTTAGGGGGCGCTATGGAGCCATTTTGCATTTTATTGTTTTGGCGACTTCAGAATATCAAATTTTTCACCAGGCCCGGTCGTCCTGCCAAATTTCATGAGTTTTCGCCAGTGGGAAGTGGGCCATTTTCCAGTTCAAAGGGGAGGAAAAAGAAAAAAGAAAGAAAGAAACAAAGAACTAGGACCCCGTTGGGGCACTGGCGGGCCCGAGCCGTGTCGCGTCCCCCCCCCAACGTGCTGCCTCCCCGTCCCATTTGTGTTCTCTGGCCATCGCCCTCTCTGGTAACGCCCATCACTGCAAAGACCCTTTTCCTTCATCGGCGTTTGCTGTTCTTCCTGCCAGTGCGTGTTGCTTTCACTTACACTTGCCACAGCCAGCCTCGTGAGTGCCTAGCCTATTGGATATCACTGTCACCTACACAGGACAGTCATTACCTTTCTATTAATACTTTGTGTTTTAATTTCACATTAATTTCCATATTGTATAAACGACTGGAAAAAACTTGAGCCCCTGCCCCTGTATAATCATGTGCATGTCTCTGTTCTAGCTCCAAGGTGAATCTTCACTGCTCATGTTCTCCTCAGAAGCACTCACCTCACTCCCCTCAGGTTACTGTACACATGCACCAACTATCTGCTTCAGGTTTGAAATGGAGCTTCATGGTTGTCTTTTGGAGAAATGAACAGTCAAGTTGTGTTTGAAATTTGATTTTTTTCAGGGGCAAAAGGAAGCCTCTGCATTCTTGTCAAATATGTAAACAGCATGTTTTTGCAGGTGCTAAAAAACAGACTCTGAGTGTGTGTGTGTGTCTGTGTGTGTGTGTGTGTGTGTGTGTGTGTGTGTGTGTATGTTGGCGTGTGTGTATATGTGTGTGTATCCTGCAGTACTCTGTACTCCTGCAGTGGCCAAAAAGACTTTTAAGAATGTGGATTTTTGGGTCATCTTTGGCGCCCCCTAGAACTGCAGTACTCTGTACTCCTGCAGTGGCCAAAATGACTTTTAAGAATGTGGATTTTTGGGTCATTTTTGGCGCCCCCTAGAACGTAAACCGTGGGGTGCAGCGTCATGATTTTTACAACTTTGAATGGGGGCATGGGGTGTAGATTGCCCTGAGCAAATTTGGTATCGGTGGGACGAAAGCCTTAGGAGGAGATAGCCACATTCCAATGTGTGCGAATCGGCAAAAAATGCAAAATAGCCCTTTAACCGTACATTATACAGATACACGCTCTTTGACTTTTTCGTAGATCTAATTGAGATACACATGATTGTCAATTTTTGTGTCAATATGACAAAGCGTTCAGGCGTGACACTCAACAATGTGTATTTTTATGTAAGGGGACAAGAAAAAATTGACTTTTTTCTCCTACCATGGGGGGGCGCTCTTTTGGGGAGTAAAAATTCCTTCACAAATGTGTTGATGGCTGGACATTGCATCATCCTAGAAAACTTGGAGGCCAGTGAGGACAAAAATAAAAAGTTATAAAACATTTAAGAATGTGGATTTTTGGGTTATTTTTGGCGCCCCCTAGAACCTAAACCATGGGGTGCAGCATCATGATTTGAATAACTTTTAATGGCCATGGGGTGTAGATTGGCCTGAGCAAATGTGGTGCCGGTGGAACGAAAGCCTTCGGAGGAGTTAGCGAAATTCCAATGTGTGCGTATCGGCAAAAAATGCGGAATAACCCTTTAACTGTACATTTGACAGATACGCGCGCATGGACTTTTTTGTAGATCTTATTGAGTTACATGTGTGTGTCAATTTTTGTGTCATTTTGACAAAGCGTATAGGCGTGACACTCAACAATGTGTATTTTCACCTTAGGGGACAAGAAAAAATGGACTTTTTTCTCCTGCCATGGGGGGGCGCTCTTTTGGGAGTAAAAATTCCTTCACAAATGTGTTGATGGCTGGACATTGCATCATCCTAGAAAACTTGGAGGCCAGTGAGGACAAAAATAAAAAGTTATAAGACTTTTAAATATGTGGATTTTAGTGTTATCTTTGGCGCCCCCTAGAACCTAAACCTTGGGGTGCAGCGTCATGATTTTGATAACTTTTAATGGCCACGGGGTGTAGATTGGCCTGAGCAAATGTGGTGCCGGTGGAACGAAAGCCTTCGGAGGAGTTAGCGAAATTCCAATGTGTGCGGATCGGCAAAAAATGCGAAATAACCCTTTAACCGTAATTTTGACAGATACGGCCGCACTGACTTTTTTGTAGATCTTATTGAGATACATATGTGTGTCAATTTTTGTGTCAATATGACAAAGCGTACAGGCGTGACAGTCAATAGTGTGAATTTCCACCTTAGGGGGCGCTATGGAGCCATTTTGCATTTTATTGTTTGGGCGACTTCAGAATATCGAATTTTTCACCAGGCCCGGTCGTCCTGCCAAATTTCATGAGTTTTCGCCAGTGGGAAGTGGGCCATTTTCCAGTTCAAAGGGGAGGAAAAAGAAGAAAGAAAGAAAGAAAGAAAGAAACAAAGAAAAACCTCTTGGGGAATAATAGGGCCTACGCCCGGCTGCTCTGCAGCTGGCTCGGGCCCTAAAGAAAGAAAGAAAGAAAGAAACAAAGAAAAACCACTTGGGGAATAATAGGGCCTACGCCCGGCTGCTCTGCAGCTGGCTCGGGCCCTAATTGACTTTTTTCTCCTGCCATGGGGGGGCGCTCTTTTGGGGAGTAAAAATTCCTTCACAAATGTGTTGATGGCTGGACATTGCATCATCCTAGAAAACTTGGAGGCCAGTGAGGACAAAAATAAAAAGTTATAAGACTTTTAAATATGTGGATTTTAGGGTTGTCTTTGGCGCCCCCTAGAACCTAAACCGTGGGGTGCAGCGTCATGATTTGAATAACTTTTAATGGCCATGGGGTGTAGATTGGCCTGAGCAAATGTGGTGCCGGTGGACAGAAAGCCTTCGGAGGAGTTAGCGAAATTCCAATGTGTGCGGATCGGAAAAAAATGCGGAATAACCCTTTAACCGTACATTTGACAGATACGCGCGCATTGACTTTTTCGTAGATCTTATTGAGTTACATGTGTGTGTCAATTTTTGTGTCATTTTGACAAAGCGTAAAGGCGTGACAGTCAACAATGTGTATTTTCACCTTAGGGGACAAGAAAAAATGGACTTTTTTCTCCTGCCATGGGGGGGCGCTCTTTTGGGGAGTAAAAATTCCTTCACAAATGTGTTGATGGCTGGACATTGCATCATCCTAGAAAACTTGGAGGCCAGTGAGGACAAAAATAAAAAGTTATAAGACTTTTAAATATGTGGATTTTAGTGTTATCTTTGGCGCCCCCTAGAACCTAAACCTTGGGGTGCAGCGTCATGATTTTGATAACTTTTAATGGCCACGGGGTGTAGATTGGCCTGAGCAAATGTGGTGCCGGTGGAACGAAAGCCTTCGGAGGAGTTAGCGAAATTCCAATGTGTGCGGATCGGCAAAAAATGCGAAATAACCCTTTAACCGTACATTTGACAGATACGCCCGCACTGACTTTTTTGTAGATCTTATTGAGATACATGTGTGTGTCAATTTTTGTGTCAATATGACAAAGCGTACAGGCGTGACAGTCAATAGTGTGAATTTCCACCTTAGGGGGCGCTATGGAGCCATTTTGCATTTTATTGTTTGGGCGACTTCAGAATATCGAATTTTTCACCAGGCCCGGTCGTCCTGCCAAATTTCCTGAGTTTTCGCCAGTGGGAAGTGGGCCATTTTCCAGTTCAAAGGGGAGGAAAAAGAAGAAAGAAAGAAAGAAAGAAACAAAGAAAAACCCCTTGGGGAATAATAGGGCTCTCGCAGCTGCTTAGCAGCTACGCTCGGGCCCTAATAACACTAGGGCCCCGTTGGGGCACTGGCGGGCCCGAGCTGTGTCGCCCCCCCCCCCCCCCCCAACGCGCTGCCTCCCCGTCCCATTCGCGTCCTCTGGCCATCGTCCTCTCTGGTAACGCCCATCACTGCAAAGACCCTTTTCCTTCATCGGCGTTTGCTGTTCTTCCTGCCAGTGCGTGTTGCTTTCACTTACACTTGCCACAGCCAGCCTCGTGAGTGCCTAGCCTATTGGATATCACTGTCACCTACACAGGACAGTCATTACCTTTCTATTAATACTTTGTTTTTTAATTTCACATTAATTTCCATATTGTATAAACGACTGGAAAAAACTTGAGCCCCTGCCCCCGTGTAATCATGTGCACGTCCCTGTTCTCGCTCCAAGGTGAATCTTCACTGCTCATGTTCTCCTCAGAAGCAGTCACCTCACTCCCCTCAGGTTACTGTACACATGCACCAACTGCCTGCTTCAGGTTTGGATGGAGCTTCATGGTTGTCTTTTGGAGAAATGAGCAGTCAAGTTGTGTTAGAAATTTGATTTTTTTCAGGGGCAAAAGGAAGCCTCTGCATTGTTGTCAAATATGTAAATAGCATGTTTTTGCAGGTGCTAAAAAACAGACTCTGAGTGTGTGTGTGTGTGTGTGTGTGTGTGTGTGTGTGTGTGTGTGTGTGTGTCTGTGTGTGTGTGTGTCTGTGTGTGTGTATCCTGCAGTACTCTGTACTCCTGCAGTGGCCAAAACGACTTTTAAGAATGTGGATATTTGGGTCATCTTTGGCGCCCCCTAGAACGTAAACCATGGGGTGCAGCGGCATGATTTTTACAACTTTGAATGGCCATGGGGTGTAGATTGGCCTGTGCAAATTTGGTGTCAGTGGGACGAAAGCCTTAGGAGGAGTTAGCCACATTCCAATGTGTGCGAATCGGCAAAAAATGCAAAATAGCCCTTTAACCGTACATTTTACAGATACGCGCCCATTGACTTTTTCGTAGATCTTATTGAGATACACGTGTGTGTCAAATTTTTTGTCAATACGACAAAGCGTACAGGCGTGACACTCAACAATGTGTATTTTCACCTTAGGGGACAAGAAAAAATGGACTTTTTATTCCTGCCATGGGGGGGCGCTCTTTTGGGGAGTAAAAATTCCTTCACAAATGTGTTGATGGCTGGACATTGCATCATCCTAGAAAACTTGGAGGCCAGTGAGGAAAAAAAAAAAAATTTATAAAACTTTTAAGAATGTGGATTTTTGGGTTATTTTTGGCGCCCCCTAGAACCTAAACCATGGGGTGCAGCATTATGATTTGTACAACTTTGAATGGCCATGGAGTGTAGATTGGCCTGAGCAAATGTGGTGCCGGTGGAACGAAAGCCTTCGGAGGAGTTAGCGAAATTCCAATGTGTGCGGATCTGCAAAAAATGCAAAATAACCCTTTAACCGTACATTTGACAGATACGCGCGCATTGACTTTTTTGTAGATCTTATTGAGATACATGTGTGTGTCAATTTTTGTGTCAATATGACAAAGCGTACAGGCGTGACAGTCAATAGTGTGAATTTCTACCTTAGGGGGCGCTATGGAGCCATTTTGCATTTTCTTGTTTGGGCGACTTCAGAATATCGAATTTTTCACCAGGCCCGGTCGTCCTGCCAAATTTCATGAGTTTTCGCCAGTGGGAAGTGGGCCATTTTCCAGTTTAAAGCGGAGGAAAAATAATAACTAGGGCCCCGGTGGGGCACTGTCGGGCCCGAGCCGCGTCGCGCCGCCCCCAGCGCGACCGCCTCCCCCTCCCGATCGCGTCACACTCAAGGTCCAAAGATGGTGTGCGCACTTGTCTGTGGTCATTTCCCATTATAATAAATGGGAGGCGCAGTTTCTACCAAAACACTCGCTGCAGACAAACTACATGTCCTATTTGAAAAAAGTCTGGACCATGAGTGAGGGCACAAACACAGCTAGGATATATCCAAATGGCAAGTTGCTCCTCCTTACGGTGTTGCCGGGAGAGCGATGCGATTGAGCCATTGACCGATGGGCAGGGTTAACTTGACTTTTTCTCCTGCCTTGGGGGATGTGGATTCTTTTAAGAATGTGGATATTTGGGTCATCTTTGTCGCCCCCTAGAACGTCAACCGTGGGGAGCAGCGTCATGATTTCTACAACTTTGAATGGCCATGGGATGTAGATCGGCTTGAGCAAATTTGGTGTTGGTGGGACGAAAGCCTTAGGAGGAGTTAGCCACATTCCAATGTGTGCGAATCGGCAAAAAATGCGAAATAGCCCTTTAACCGTACATTTTACAGATACGTGCCCATTGACTTTTTCGTAGATCTTATTGAGATACACGTGTGTGTCAAATTTTGTGTCATTTTGACAAAGCGTATAGGCATGACAGTCAACAATGTGTTTTTTCACCTTAGGGGACAAGAAAAAATGGATTTTTTTCTCCTGCCATGGGGGGGCGCTCTTTTGGGGAGAAAAAATTCCTTCACAAATGTGTTGATGGCTGGACATTGCATCATCCTAGAAAACTTGGAGGCCAGTGAGGACAAAAATAAAAAGTTATAAGACTTTTAAAAATGTGGATATTTGGGTCCTCTTTGGCGCCCCCTAGAACGTAAACCGTGGGGTGCAGCGTCATGAGTTGTACAACTTTGAATGGCCATGGGGTGTAGATTGACCTGAGCAAATTTGAAGCCGATGGGACAAAAGATTTAGGAGGAGTTAGCGAAATTCCAATGTGTGCGGATCGGCAAAAAATGCGAAATAACCCTTTAACCGTACATTTGACAGATACGCCCGCACTGACTTTTTTGTAGATCTTATTGAGATACATGTGTGTGTCAAATTTTGTGTCATTTTGACAAAGCGTAAAGGCGTGACAGTCAACAATGTGTATTTTCGCCTTAGGAGACAAGAAAAAATGGACTTTTTTCTCCTGCCATGGGGGGGGCGCTCTTTTGGCGAGTAAAAATTCCTTCACAAATGTGTTGATGGCTGGACATTGCATCATCCTAGAGAACTTGGAGGCCAGTGAGGACAAAAATAAAAAGTTATAAGACTTTTAAGACTGTGGATTTTTGGGTTATCTTTGGCGCCCCCTAGAACGTAAACCGTGGGGTGCAGCGTCATGATTTGGACAACTTTTAATGGCCATGGGGTGTAGATTGGCCTCAGCAAATGTGGTGCCTTTGGAACGAAAGCCTTCGGAGGAGTTAGCGAAATTCCAATGTGTGCGGATCGGCAAAAAATGCGAAATAGCCCTTTCACCGTACATTTGACAGATACGCCCGCACTGACTTTTTTGTAGATCTTATTGAGATACATGTGTGTGTCAATTTTTGTGTCAATATGACAAAGCGTAAAGGCGTGACAGTCAATAGTGTGAATTTTCACCTTAGGAGACAAGAAAAAATGGACTTTTTTCTCCTGCCATGGGGGGGCGCTCTTTTGGGGAGTAAAAATTCCTTCACAAATGTGTTGATGGCTGGACATTGCATCATCCTAGAAAACTTGGAGGCCAGTGAGGACAAAAATAAAAAGTTATACGACTTTTAAGAATGTGGATTTCTGGGTTATCTTTGGCGCCCCCTAGAACGTAAACCGTGGGATGCAGCGTCATGATTTGTACAACTTTTAATGGCCATGGGGTGTAGATTGGCCTGAGCAAATTTGGTGCCGGTGGAACGAAAGCCTTCGGAGGAGTTAGCGAAATTCCAATGTGTGCGGATCGGCAAAAAATGCAAAATAGCCCTTTAACCGTACATTTGACAGATACGCCCGCACTGACTTTTTTGTAGATCTTATTGAGATACACGTGTGTGTCAAATTTTGTGTCATTTTGACAAAGCGTACAGGCGTGACACTCAATCATGTGAATTTTTCACCTTAGGGGGCGCTATGGAGCCATTTTGCATTTGATTTTTTGGGCGACTTCAGAATATCGAATTTTTCACCAGGCCCGGTCGTCCTGCCAAATTTCATGACTTTTCACCAGTGGGAAGTGGGCCATTTTCCAGTTCAAAGGGGCAGAAAAATAATAATAAGAAGAAGAAGAAGAAAGAAGAATCCATCAGGAATAATAGGGCTCTCGCAGCTGCTTAGCAGCTACGCTCGGGCCCTAACTAGGACCCCGTTGGGGCACTGGCGGGCCCGAGCCGTGTCGCGTCCCCCCCCCCCAACGTGCTGCCTCCCCGTCCCATTTGTGTCCTCTGGCCATCGCCCTCTCTGGTAACGCCCATCACTGCAAAGACCCTTTTCCTTCATCTGCGTTTGCTGTTCTTCCTGCCAGTGCGTGTTGCTTTCACTTACACTTGCCACAGCCAGCCTCGTGAGTGCCTAGCCTATTGGATATCACTGTCACCTACACAGGACAGTCATTACCTTTCTATTAATACTTTGTGTTTTAATTTCACATTAATTTCCATATTGTATAAACGACTGGAAAAAACTTGAGCCCCTGCCCCTGTATAATCATGTGCATGTCTCTGTTCTAGCTCCAAGGTGAATCTTCACTGCTCATGTTCTCCTCAGAAGCACTCACCTCACTCCCCTCAGGTTACTGTACACATGCACCAACTGCCTGCTTCAGGTTTGGATGGAGCTTCATGGTTGTCTTTTGGAGAAATGACCAGTCAAGTTGTGTTTGAAATTTGATTTTTTTCAGGGGCAAAAGGAGCCTCTGCATTCTTGTCAAATATGTAAATAGCATGTTTTTGCAGGTGCTAAAAACCAGACTCTGAGTGTGTGTGTGTGTGTGTGTGTGTGTGTGTGTGTGTGTGTGTGCGTGTGCGTGTGTGTGTGTCTGTGTGTGCGTTCAAGTCACATGACATATTTAACCGGATGTAGCTGCAAGACGGAGCCTCGTTGACTCTCCGTTTCAACTTATCTCAAAAGTGAGGACCTCAAGCTATATACCAGTTTTTAAATTGTGTTGATAGGCCAAATAAAACCAGAGTTATGATAAATTATGTCCGCAATACTTTTTTTCTGCTTATTTTGATCACGTTCGGCGCTCGATCGCGCTGTATGAGACAGGAAAACATAGCATGCAGACATTAGCGACAGCTCTTACAGGCGGAAAAGGCTTGCCAAAAGAAAAAAAAAACACACCACAACATCTCTCCTATTGGTGGAAAACTTCACCACAACAACCAATCCAAAATTATATGGTGACTGATTGACAAGGGGGGCGCTTACGTTCTTCCTGCAACATGAGAAGGGAGGGAGGGACTCTCAGCAGGGATGCAGTCTGGGACACGTAGTTGCAAACCTAGCGACTTTGTTGTTAGATTCAATGACTTTTCAGACCCCCTAACGACTTTTTTTTAGAAAGAAAGGGACTTTTATCGACTTCTTCTGGAGTTTAGAGACTCTGACATGAAGCAGGCTTTCCTTACTGAGGAGTTAGCAACGCTGCTAAGGGTGCAGAGCCACACATGCGCTCAGAGCTCTGCATGGGAGACTGAAGCTGACAGAGCTGCAGCAGTTAGCAGGTTTCACCCTCAGAGACCACCAGGGGTTCATGTTGAGGCATTTTAATTAATTTTTTTTTTTTTGTGCCATAGACACTGTCAGCACAATCTGCAGTTACACTAACAAAAATGCTGCAAAAAACAAAGAATTATGGAAAAATTACACATGGACTGACATAGAGGAGGATCTACACAAGTTTTTTACATCATGTTTTACATCATGCATCATTTACATCATGTTTTTTTGTAGTGGCATAAATAAAAAGTGACATTTGTGAGACTATACAGTGTTTTGTAAATAATTTTACAAAGAACGCCTGGGCCATTGCCTGCATTTTGATGTAAATAGAGGTAAATCACTATGTTCTTTGTTAAAAATTTGCATATGTTTTGAAGTTTACAATTTTTATTTGAAGTTTAAGTTTTAAAAACAGTTCATCACACATATTTGTGGTTTTCACAGTAAAATGTTACTTTTTTCCACTCGGATTTTATGTTTTGTGTGTGAATTTGGGTCCATTGTGTAAATTCAGTATGTCAACATGATAAAATAACTGTAAATTCGCACAGGTGAGGTTGTGCTGAAAAAAATGATACCAGGCAAGGCACGTGATTGTCAAATGTTGTGTCAATATGACAAAGCGTATAGGCGTGAATCTCAACAATATGTATTTTCACCTTAGAGGACAAGAAAAAATGGACTTTTTTCTCCTGCCATGGGGGGCGCTCTTTTGGGGAGTAAAAATTCCTTTACAAATGTGTTGATGGCTGGACATTGCATCATCCTAGAAAACTTGGAGGCCAGTGAGGACAAAAATAAAAAGTTATAAGACTTTTAAATATGTGGATTTTAGGGTTATCTTTGGCGCCCCCTAGAACCTAAACCGTGGGGTGCAGCGTCATGATTTTGATAACTTTTAATGGCCATGGGGTGTAGATTGGCCTGAGCAAATGTGGTGCCGGTGGAACGAAAGCCTTAGGAGGAGTTAGCGAAATTCCAATGTGTGCGGATCGGCAAAAAATGCGGAATAACCCTTTAACCGTACATTTGACAGATATGCGCGCATTGACTTTTTCGTAGATCTTATTGAGTTACATGTGTGTGTCAATTTTTGTGTCATTTTGACAAAGCGTATAGGCGTGACACTCAACAATGTGTATTTTCACCTTAGGGGACAAGAAAAAATGGACTTTTTTCTCCTGCCATGGGGGGGCGCTCTTTTGGGGAGTAAAAATTCCTTTACAAATGTGTTGATGGCTGGACATTGCATCATCCTAGAAAACTTGGAGGCCAGTGAGGACAAAAATAAAAAGTTATAAGACTTTTAAATATGTGGATTTTAGGGTTATCTTTGGCGCCCCCTAGAACCTAAACCGTGGGGTGCAGCGTCATGATTTTGATAACTTTTAATGGCCATGGGGTGTAGATTGGCCTGAGCAAATGTGGTGCCGGTGGAACGAAAGCCTTAGGAGGAGTTAGCGAAATTCCAATGTGTGCGGATCGGCAAAAAATGCGGAATAACCCTTTAACCGTACATTTGACAGATACGCCCGCACTGACTTTTTTGTAGATCTTATTGAGATACATGTGTGTGTCAATTTTTGTGTCATTTTGACAAAGCGTACAGGCGTGACAGTCAATAGTGTGAATTTTCACCTTAGGGGGCGCTATGGAGCCATTTTGCATTTTCTTGTTTGGGCGACTTTGGAATATCAAATTTTTCACCAGGCCCGGTCGTCCTGCCAAATTTCCTGAGTTTTCGCCAGTGGGAAGTGGGCCATTTTCCAGTTCAAAGGGGAGGAAAAAGAAGAAAGAAAGAAACAAAGAAAAACCCCTACAGGAATAACAGGGCCTACGCCCGGCTGCTCTGCAGCTGGCTCGGGCCCTAAAGAAGAATCCATCAGGAACAAGAGGGCTCTCGCAGCTGCTTAGCAGCTACGCTCGGGCCCTAAAGAAGAATCCATCAGGAACAAGAGGGCTCTCGCAGCTGCTTAGCAGCTACGCTCGGGCCCTAACAAGAGGGCTCTCGCAGCTGCTTAGCAGCTACGCTCGGGCCCTAACGAAAGAAGGAAACATGCAGGAACAAGAGGGCTCTCGCAGCTGCTTAGCAGCTACGCTCGGGCCCTAAAAATCAGTCTCCATTCAGCGGAATTTAAGTCAACAATTTTTTATGGAGAACAGACCAAACTGAGGTTTTTATTTATTTTACAACAACACCAATAAGAAAATTAATAAAATGCTCTCAGTTGGAACAGAGTTTATTTATTAAGTGGTGCTAAGTTCCACAACTCTATTTTCATCATTGTCTTTGTGTCTGTGTGTATTTGTGGTTGTGGTTTTCTATGTTTAACGTACGTGAAAAGTTTCTTTGAGGCTGAAGAGTTTGTTAATATAGTTGACCATGAATCGCCACAAGTTTATGATGACTGTATTCATTTTCACTCCCTAAACACTGAGAGCCACAATCCTCATCTGTTTGCAAAATAAAAATCATAAATCCATACTCTGCAGTTGTTGACTAGAAATTGTTTGTGTCCTGAAATGGTGGTCACACATCAGTGTCATTACACAGATGAAAACACTGTCTTTATTTCCACTGTAATCTGTGTATCACTTGTTTTCATAGGCGCTTCACCGCAGACATAAATTTGAATCTTTTTTCCAGATATGTTTTTTACATCCTGGTGAAGAGCTCAGCAACTGAAAAATGCAGTACTGTTTCATACAGTGTGCGTGTGTGAGTGTGTTTTGCTTAACCTTCAGTCGCTCTTCCTTTCTGAAGCTGAGTTCATCAGAATCTGATGCTTCATAATCATACTTAGCCGTCGCCTCCATATCTTGAAGTCAGACAAAAATATACAAGATTACATATAATATGCAGATTTAGAGAACACAATTTTACTACATTTCTTTTTGAGCCTTAACTTGACTGTACTGTTAAGTTTTGTCGGCCTTGTACTGTGGCTGACACTCTCTGGGCCAACACTAGCTGAAATATAAGTGCAACATCTTTAAAAGGATATTTCTAACCTGTTGTTTCCAAGCATCAAATTCCAGATATATACTGAAAAACTCACACACAAAGAAAAGAAAAGAAAAGAAAAAAGACACTCTAACATGTCTTGTCTACTCCAATTTTCTTGTTCCTGCCTCTGAGTAATAGAAAGACTCCCCTGACTTCTCCAGAAACAAAGACAACTAAAAAAGAAGTAACTGTTGCTAGGTGTTCTTTGCTGAAGAGGCAGGAACTTTGCAAAACTTACTGCAGAGCCAAGAAAACACAGTTTCACGTAGAGAAGTGACTTACTGTTACTGTCGGCTGATAGAACGCATAGTCAGACTGACTGCTCACCACTTGTGCACGGTCAAACTAAAATAGACACAAGTGAAAAGATTGAAGATCAGAGCTGACATGCATGAAGCTCGTGTGTGTAAGAGAGAGAGAGAGGTCTGTGATGAATATGTGATAGTCAGCTGGGTCATTCTGTAGCCTCTATAAAACAGTAGGTAGGCTAAAAAGGCAAAAATGATGCTAAAGCTCAGACTTACCTCTACAGGTGGAGTGTGCGATTCTTATCGAGTTTGCTGATACTTGACAAACAAGCCCCTCCTGCAACTCTGTGAAAACCCCACCCCAAAATTTCCTGAAGGCCCATTTGCAAGAAAATTGGTTTAATAGCTAACTGGAAACACACAGTACGGCAGTGTATTGCCCCAGGGTAGGATGAGCTCAACAAGAGTAGCTCCAGTTCTCACGGACAGACAAAGTTTGGATTGTTTAGTACAAAGGCTACCTGTTGCTAACAAGCCGGAAAAATGAGTGTGGCTAAATCTGCATAACCCGACATAAACACTTTGCTCAGAGTAAAAAGTTACAGAGCTGATATACTGCGATCACACACAGCTATATTTAGGTAAACCTACAATAATGGAGTCAAGAATACAACAGTTGTCAGATAAAACAACACACACAAAAATCCAAAGATGATTTTACAATTATACCATTATACAAATGCTACATGCCATGATTTGTTAGCTTGAAGCATGTAATCCCTGTAACTCCTCTTCACTCATTCCCTGCATATATGGCATATCTAGAGGTCTGATTATTGATTGAGCTTCCTTGCTTACCGCTCCAATCAGTGAAGACAAGGACAACATGCTATGGTGATACATGATAAGTACAATCCTCCGTTTCTAGAGTTTTGGCCATCAAGAGCATCAATCAAGTTCAAATTCTACTGCCCATAACAGCCACTCTCTCCTTGATCTTCACACTGGTGCATTTTGGACCCCTGCTTATCAAATGCATAAACACCTGTGTTACGAGTTTGTCTACTTCATCCTACTGTAGAAATCTGGTGTAAGATGGGAAGAGGACCCTTTTTTATATAGATGTGTAAGGCTCATTTTAAGTAAACAACTTTAACTTTTTTAAATGAAGACACTGAGAGTCAGAACTTGCAGGTGGATGCATGGGTGGTAGAGGGGGTGACAACATAAGGGCAACATTAATGCATGGCAGCAGTGGAAACGGCAAAGCAGAGGCAGGGACCTTCAATAGAGCACCCAAGACACATGTCAAGGTTGGAATCAGTGCAGCTCGAGTTTACTGCCTGAACTAGCTCACAGGCTTTGCACCATTTATTGACATTAAATTCCCCTATGCAACGAATGTGAAGAATACCATCAGGAAAACCATCCTACCAAAAGATGGAGAGTAAAGCCTTGTAATGCTGAGGTGATGAGCTGCTTTTTGGTCATACAGGTTGGAGAATATGTGTAGATTATGTCACCTATCCAACAAGATAAAACAATGATGTGCAATCATTACCCTGTGAAGAACTTATAATTAACCAGATTACACAAAGCAGGAACACTCCTGACATACCAGTGAAAGCTACTAAAACGACATCAGCTCATGTCAGCGTTTGATAGTTTGCTTCCTGTCCACATACACATGATGTGGTGAGAACATGTTAAAATTACTTCAGTGGGTGACAGTGCAGCTGTGGTTTGCTGAACTTGTTTTGTTAGGTGGAACTTTTGCTATCTTGTTTTGAGTTTGCACATTAAACAAAAGGATCTACTGACAATTTTTCAGCTTGTACTGAGTTGGCTGCAAATGTGGAAATTATTTCAGTTCCCTTGTCATTACAGCCGGAGAAGAAATCTGCCTTTATTTCAAAACAGTTGGCGATGTTGACAAGGTAAATTTGGTCCTTTAACACTGGATGCATTCCCCAAAACATGTCTCCAGTGCAGAGATACTGTCAATCTTAAACCCAGTAACAGTAGACAGAGAACAGTGTGGAGTCAATAATTGCTAGGAGGTTTGGATATCAAATTTGTAAGATGAATCTGGCTGCAGTTACTCTTCCCTCCACGTGGTGGCAGTGTAGCACAGGAAAACATTCAGTTTTACTCTATCAAGTACTTGCTGTTCATCATAAACTAATTTAACTAATAATTAATCCCAGAAAGTCTAACTGCAGATCTCTCCACTGAGAGGACCCACCCCCACTGAGAGGACCCAAAGTGACTTTTTTTCTTACACACTGCAGTTGGTTTGAAATGGTCATCCCGTTTTGTATTTTGTCTTTGTTGAACACATAAATACACAAAAAATCATATTAACAAAACATAAAATAAACCCCCAAGAAAAAAGAAATATATTCACATGAAACAAAAAATATGTGCTTTCCGGTGTTCTTGCTATTGACAGCTGAGAATAAAAAAAAAATAAAAAAAACTAGTAGTGCTGTTACTTTGATGTGAGGTGTCAGAATGCATTGTTGTTCTGAAGCTGTTTGCCATATGATCCAAGAGAGTACGCTCTCATTGTTACCTGACTGTTGAATGGCACTCTTGACCTCAGTAATGTACAAGAACATGTGGGAGAAATTCTCCCAAACAAACACAGGACTGACCAGTCGTTTTCACTACATTTAGTACTGAAGCAGAGAACACCAAAAAGATGATAAAACAAAAACTGGAACATTATTCAGAGTGATGGACAACTTTTTTGGCAGCATTTTTTCACAGCCTCCTAGCCTGCTCTTGTCAAATTCAACACTACAAGATAAACTTTTTCACAGTATTCTCAAACCCAACTACCCAACGTCATGGCTGAGATCAAAACCAAAAGGGTGTTATCAATGCAGTCACTGTAACCACTGTACAAATGTTAAACAGACTTAGACCTTTTTGGACTTAAACTCACAAAAAGAATAGAAAATCAATCACTTTATCAACTGCAAGACCACTTTTGTTATTTACAGGCTAGAATGTCTCATGTGCAAGGTTTTTTACATTGGCAGAACTAAAAGACGCCTACAAGATAGACTTGCAGAACACAAATATACAATAAAATCTGGAAACATTAACTACCCCATGGCTAAACATTACTTGGAGTTCAATGCAGCAATCCAACTTCATTACAAATCATTGGTATTGACCACATCCCACTGATCATTAGAAAAGGTGAGAGACAAAGAAAACTGAACCAAAATGAGGCATTCTGGATTGACAATCTACAAGCAACAAAATACCCCAGACTAAATAAAGAGCAGGATTATACTGTGTTCTTAAAAAGAAGGGTGTTGTTTAAATAATGAGTCATTGAGTTAAAATGTGTACGTCCCTGTGCAGCTGTCTAAACCAGATTTTTTTAAATCTGTTTTTAGTTCCATGAGTTTGAGTTTAAACATTGTTGAAACTGTTATTGACCTGAATAACACCATCTGCTGCAGGTTAAGTCTTATGTCAAGTGGGATATTCATTCAAACTTGCTTCTTTTTAAAGTGACAGCCTTATAGTATGGTGTTGTAGACTGAAATTAATAATAAAAAAAAGCAAAGATGAACTGTGGAGAGGTTTTAAGAAAGGGTTGAACAGAGAAAGAGTCAGACAGAAATGAAAGTGTTATAGGTGAGAAAATCCTGAGATGCAGAGCATGGCAATGCAAGCAAAAACTGCCACACTACCTCCCTGTCTTTGCATCTGACATTCACAGTGAGTCTCAGCAGCGCCTGCCTTGAATGCTCAGACCCCCGTATAGCGTTCAGCAGGGATTGGATCCTACATTGAGGCTAGAAAGCAAATGTGCAGAGGCTCGAAGCAATCAGCCTTTACACCATGTGAGGGCTGATGAATGGACTCCATGTTACCTCATAGATATTTATGTATCTCTGCAATACTCTTTTATTTCTACAATGCCACAAAAAACCTTGGCTGCTTGATATCTGTTGCCAAGGTGACCTACAGAGATACGTGCATCTATTGTTATGCGGTTTGTTGAAACCATTAAAAAAAAAAAAAAAAAAAACAGGTTCAAGTGTAACCATTCAAATGTTGAGTGTGTGCGTGTGTGTGTGTGTGTAATACCCTATTGACTGGGTTTAATGGTCTGAGCACATGTAATATCCCATCAAGCTCCATAACAGAGCTCATAAAACTCTGTTTTAACAGGTGGAGAGGACGTGTTTATAGCTCAATGCAGAGGCCTGTTATCCCCGTTTTGGTGGGGCTGTGTGCACGCCAGTGTGTGTGTAAACACTCTCCAACAGTTGCTGCATCCCTGGCTGAGGTGCTGGGAGACTTTGACTTCTCGAGAAAGAGAAGACTGAATACTAGATGAATGTATTCGACAACAGAGAAGCATGAAAATGCCAGACATCTGATAGATATTCAGTGAGTAAACAGACGACACGTTTGCTTGGCTTGCCTTTCCCAACCTCACAAACCTTCTGTCCGGGTTTCAGACAGAAGGAGGGAAGCAAAGAGAGGAATAGAGAAAGGCTTTTTATGTTTCGTAGTTGTGCGAAAACAAAACAGTTCCCTGGAATCCTGGAAAGATGGGATCACACCTGGAATTGAAAACACCAAATCACAGTGCAGCTGAACTCTAAAAAATGCAACATTTAAAAACGGTTGGTATTGTTTTTAGGTCAAAACGCCACAGACTCTGCTGAGTAAAAAACAAAACAAGTTAAACCATGATCATTATGAGAGTGAGTCAAACTCTCCCTGAGAAATTAAAAAGAATGTGGGCACAGGTTATTATTTTACAAAGTTAAAATTTCATCACTTTTACATTCATTAACGAGCTATAAAGTCAGTTGGTATTCCTGCCACTTCACATTCTTACTCACTGTTAAATTAGGAGTTAAAGATCCACTTTTAGTACCTTCTTTTCGGCACACCTGTTTAGCTGTACCATTTTTATATGAGTCCCCCTTATTAGGTAGTTGGAAGATGGCAGCTTTCAATTAGCATTGTCAGCTAACAACAGAAATAACAATATTTGGTCCTATTTATATATGAATCATCATAAATCCCCTTTGTTTCAATGGATTGGAATTAGTCCCTTTCCCTTGGCCTTGGATGTCACAGAAACACGTACAGTTTGTTCTCGGAAAGTTGCCAGTCTCACAAAGCAAGTGGATTTTGTTTGTTGGTATGTCGTATCGCTCTATTTTTGAAGCTGAAATTGTAAACATAACAATATCATGTGTGCCACAGCCTTGGTGGTGTTTCCTCCGACTGCTGCTACCTCATACATTCCATTATTGTTTCACAAGACACGCAGAATCAATGGACAGCACAGACAAAGGGAACCATTAGGCATAAAGACAAATGGCTCAAAGTAGCTGGACGACGGTTTCATCTGGAGCTGGTTCTCCATTCACATCCCTAATTAGGCGATCATCTGACATTTCAAGAAAAAAGTGGTTAACACTACTGTGCCTGACTTCTGTACCCTCAGGTGTCAGGGGTAACAGATGGTACTGTGTGCCACTGAATGTAATGGATGTCTGCAAATCTTCACGAGCACGAGTATCCAGATGTTCATTTTTTGTATCAAAACAGGAATCAATATCGATTGAGTTTCCCACAGTTGTACTCAAAATCAAATTTAGCTGTGAATCTCACTTCTCGAGGGTAGAGGAGGTGAGGGGACTCAAACATGACAGACTGAATGAACTCTATTACCCCTGGTGGTTGACCCTGACCTCTCTGCATAATGGCTACAGGTGAAACGATCCTTTTAATGCAAGACTCAATAAAAAAATTTGTATTAGTAGGCCACACAGACTATCCAGTGCCCTGTCCTTGCTCTAGTCATTATGATATACATGAGCCTGTCTGTTTCTGTCAATGGGAGTCTATATTTCACCTGCATGCAGTGGACTCATACATCACCAGCTCATCACTGATCCATTACAATACAGAGCACGGACGGTGGTCTCTTCTGCAGAAACAGTCCATCAGGTAAATTAGACACAGAGCTTTCGAACATGTCTGAACCCATGAAGAGGGTAAAACTTTTTCACTTCAATGCCCTCATTTACGTAATTGGAGGGTTGGATTTCATGTGAATGTCAGTTTTCTGCATGAGGAAATGCTTCTCACCATAGAAACAGTTCCCATGTGTTAAGATCTATGGCAAAGAATGCCGAAATGACCTTCATTTCAATAGCGTGCATATTCATCTCTGCATGTCACACCAACAGAGGATGGGTCAGAGTGGGTGATGAGGCATTGAGGTGGGACTGTGAAGGGATGAAGAAAGGGAAAACTTCAAAGAATAAAAGTTAAACAGGAGCAATGCACGTACAAACACTAACATGCACACAATGTTACACACATTTACACACACACTAACACAAATATACATGACCCCCTGTCAGGCTTGGGAGTTGAATAATTCAGCAGGGTGGGGACGTGTCTGAGAATTGTGGCCTGTCAATCATGCAAAAACAAACACAAATGTCTCTTCTATCAGCCCGCCATCACTGCAGGGGTTATTCAGCTGATATCATAGCTAAAGCACATTTCTACAGTCACATCACATGCTACTATTTGATTTCTAAATGCTGCACACAGGCTCAAAAGACAACTACATGACCACAGAGGGGTTTCACAGTTTTCACACACTGCAGTATAGCGAACACCTTTTCCAAATATGTTACAAAATTACAAAGAAATATATTTCAACACTATCAAAAAGTCTCTGCATGTTCCTTGACAGCCAAGCAAGAAGACACATGGCAGCGTTTATTAAATCATATCTGCAATATTGTCAAGTAATTGCTATCACACAGTATCATGCAAACCCTCCCTGTATGATACTTTGTCTCTGTAAATACCCTCCAATTAAAGGCTGAAAAGCTTGTGCGGGTTTTCCAAAGTCTTCCATGCGGAGTGTCTATTTTTTTATAAGGAGTGTCTCAAACTTCAGAATCTTCAGAACATGTCGGTGATTAATCACAAAGGGATTAAAAAGTGTGTCTGCTTGGGACTATTTTTAGCGGCGTATGATTACACATGTGGGGCAGAAGTGAATTTTAATGTCAGCAGTTTCTCTGTTCCTAGTAATGAAGGAAACTGTCACTGATGAGTTTTTAATGATTTTTAGAACAGAGGGGAATTTTAGCACAAGAGAGTGAGACGAGGCTTTTAATACAGAGTAGCTTCATAGAAAGACTCTGAAGTAAACTGAATAGAAATCAAAGTTTCTCACAGTTTAATCTTCCTTTTGCTTTAGTGTTACATTTCTGTCTTTTTCTGTCTAAAATCCAATCAGTTTCATATCTCTTATCTGTCATGTTCATTTAGTATTGACCAAAAAATGCATCTTTTGTGAGCATTTTTCCATGTATATCAAACCACTGATCCTGTATAAATCAGTATCTGTTTGACTGCTAGACTGTGCCAAGTGTGGTTAACATGATTTTAACACTTGTTTGAGTAGCTGTCAATTTATACTTGCAGAGAGAGAATGATGAGAAGCAAACTGAGATCAAGGGCGGTGAAAAATCGAGAAAATGAGAGCAGAAAATTGGAGTGACAGGAGGAGCAGAGTTAATAAGAAGATGAGAGAGGGAGACGAGTAAGTTTCTGGCTCTCATGTTAAGAAACTGAATTTGTAAATTGATGATCCTCATAATACAGACGAGTACTAAAGAGTTGTTTTAGACTGCTGAGATAATTCAGCATTTATTGAGAGAACATCAAACACAAAAAATATCAACTAACAGCTCCTCATTGCCAAATGCAGTTATGTAAGTGTTTGCACTGAATAGGAAGAAAGGAAACTAGTTGGAGAGTATGATCAAAGGGGATGTGCAACACCAACTCAGGTAGACACACTTAAAGGTGTGTGCGTGTAGAGGGTGGTATTATGCTTTCCCACATTTACAGCAGAAAAGTGTTAAGTAACAATGTATGCAAAGTTTCAAATCACAGGGCAAATGTATGTTGTCAGGGTCCTAGAAAATGGATGTAAACTAGTGAGATAACACAAGACTCACTAAAATGCCTGACCCTGCCTCCAACAGCATGTGAGGTGACACCAAGAGTGGAGTGGGGTAACACTACCCACACCCCCCCATGATCAACAGTACATATAGGGTCCCAGCCATAGCACTAACCATCAAACATCTTTTTAGCTTTGCCTGATTTCTTTAGCAAAGAGGCTAAACACAACTCACCTACTCTCCTCCAGCAGCCGCTTGTTTGTACGGAGACCTCCGGGCGAGTCCATCGGCTGCAGCGGGGGGACGCAGCTCAAGGAAGAACATTTATGATCATTACTTTATCATTTCCTTGAAGTAATAATCACCATATTAATAATTTTGCACTGCAGACGTGGTAGTTCTTCTGCCTTAGCGTCTCGGTCTGATTGCATTTCCATGAAGAAATTATCATAAATGTTCTTCCTTGAGCTGCGTCACCCCACTGCAGTCGATGGACTCGCCCGGAGGTCTCCGTACAAACAAGCGGCTGCTGGAAGAGAGTAGGTGAGTTGTGTGTAGTCTCTTTGCTAAAGAAATCAGGCAAAGCTAAAAAGATGTTTGGTGGCTAGTACTATGGCTGGGACCCTATTTGCACTGTCTGAACATCTGAACAGACTACAGTAGAAAACACTGAGGACTGATGAAGATGAAAAGAAAACTGAAGACTATGATAATAACTTTTCTAAAAGGGACTAAAAAAAGTTATGAGGTTTCCCTAACTTGATTAAGGTAACCTAATTTGGACCTGATTGTTTTAACATTTTCAGGATTAATATCTATGTTTCTTAATGTTTGCATTCTGCCACCCTGTCGCATCTTTCTCTCTCTCTTTGCAAATAAATCTCAAAAGTCAAATAAGATTGGAATAACAAATTAAGAGCTGTTTCAGTGTCTGAGCCAAACTGCAAACTTTAGAAAAAGAAACTGCGTTCAAGGTTTCCTTTTGGGTTCAAGTGGCACTATGCAATCTTTGGATGTAAATTGTCAGTTCATCTCATTATAGGTCTGCAGAGAAGAGCTCCCTTCTTTTTTTTTACATTATCTGTGATTTGTTTGTTTGCTCAAATGAAACTGGAAGAATATCTTCCACAGCAAATAGAAACAAGAGACTCTCTAATGATGCACAATTTCACATCCAATTCTATCAGACCCGGGGAGAGAAATGAAAGTCAAATAAATGCAGACAGAGTGACTCATAATCCTCCAATGACGCATCTTTATCCAATTTTTTAGGGAGCACAATTTCTTCCAATTTTCAAAAGTTCAGTTTTCTTTCTGTTGCTTGTTATTTAAATAAGTCAAATTTCAATTCTTATTCTCTTGGGGTTGCACAGCGAATAGGGCAAAGTTTTTTTTTCAAGTGGAGCAAAACACTGCTAAATGTTAATGGAAACCCTTCAAACAGCTATAGGGTAATTTGGATAAAAGTGCCTGTAAAATCAATGAACAGTGAAGAAAGGGGCTCATAAAACCAGCCAAAGAGGATGAACCAGCCAAGAAACTCAATCAGATTCAGTCTAAAGGTTTTGCCAATCCTAACAGATGATAGAAAAAGCTTGAGGGTATAAACAGATCATCAAGATATCTTATGTAACATGTTTGTGGTTCTACAAAATGAGCTTCAATAAAAGACAATGCTTGTTCGCGTGGTAAATACTGGAGGTTTAGTGACACTACTGATGCTGACCAACAGGGGTCAGTAGAGCGCTGCAGGCTGAGTTATTATTAAGACTTTTAATACATGATGGAGTAGAGGACAGACTCGCTCTCTCTCTCTCTCTCTCTCTCTCTCTCTCTCTCTCTCTCTCTCTCTCTCACACACACACACACACACACGCACACACACACACGCACGCACGCACGCACGCACGCACACGTGCGCGCCTGTCTATCAGACATAGCAGTGTAATGATGACACACTATGGGCCTGCTGCTCTGATGCTGACAGCCACCAGCCTTGGCTGTGTGCTGCTGTGCCAAATGCTCAAAGTGCACC